TGCGCGGGGCGCCTGAAATTAATAAACTGAAACCCCCGAAATGGGTAATATTATTAAGGGGTTCGAGTGCGAATAAAATTTCGTTTGACTGCCGATAACAATTCCTGAAATATCTGTGGCACTCCTTCATCACTTGGAAGTGATGAAATTGTCGATGAGTTCGTTATTAGTCATGAAAAATATAAATACACGACCCGACAATCAATTCCGGACAAAGATGATTCAAGTTAATTTTAGTCACCCAAATCGTTCGCAGAGTATGGACTTGAGTTTGAATTCATGTTCTCAAACAAAAAAGGTACCTACTAAATATTTAATCCCTCCTAGAGAAATTGAGCAGCAATATTTTGTTTCATTATGTTCTGATACGAAGTATGTGACCAGTTGCGCCGATAATTTTTTTCTTGGGCTTGTTCGTTCAGGTAATGAAAAAAAAAATCATGTTATAGAGTCTAGAGAGCCATAAATAATATAAATATTCAATTTAGAAATAATCCTAAACTTCTTTGGACAAACCAATCACAAAGCCATAAATATGCTCAACTGTTATATCTTACAAATTTTTATTATTCTTGGGAGGGGCGGGAGTAATTACCCCCATTACCCCCCTCCCCTTAACACCTCTAAACAATTAACAAAATGTATTTTGGTTGACGTCTATATCTGTTTTGAGAAAATGTTACATCATTGAAGGAAATGACAGTCCATGGTTTTTCAGAGTGGCGTATTTTCTACTCCACTGATTAAATTTTAATTATTTCCAATTTCTCGAATTCATTGTTCAATTTTCTCCAAAAAATGCATCACCTTCAACTGAGCTGAATTGAACAGTTTTCGATATATTCGACCCAAAATAGAAGATTTCATAGTAATATTTCATCATTTTCAATAGTAGAAAATTGCAAAAATATTTTCTTTGTGTTGAGTAGATTAGATACTATTCATATCTCATTCTGTAGCTGAACAGAAATAGTTATTCCACACATAAAGAGAAAACAAAGAGTTTTGTAATCTTCTACTACTGAAGAAGATGAAAAATTACTATGCAAACTTCTATTTTGGGTCAAATATTTCGATAACTGTTCATTTTAGCTCAGTTGAAGGTGATGCAGTTTTTCAACATAATTGAACAATCAATTCGCGAAATTAGAGATAATCGAAATTTCATCAGTGGCGTTGAAAATATGGGAGAAAAAGTTATCACAACCCTCTGTAGCGCACCTCTGGTAAAATTCTCGGAATGTCTTTCTGGTCAAAAAATTAACCATTGAAAGATGAAATTATATACCGAATTTGAATGCATTATATTCAATTTTTCTTGAGATATTGCGAAAAATCTATTTAAATTTCTCAACTTCATCTCAGTGATTATGACATCAAGAGGGCTATCACCTGTCAAGCGTTGTCGGTCGAATTTCGAAACACCCTGTATATGTCCATCCTCAGCCTTCTCAGTTATTACTACATATCCTGAAGGAAAGTGGGGAGTACAAAATATTTTTGATTGATGAAATTATGCTCACGTGAGAATGAAAAGAGGTTATAAGTTATATATTATCTTAATGAAATGAAACAAAGATGGGTTTCATTTTAATCCAAGGGGGATTAAAATAATATATAAAATAATGATGTCATGGAGTTGTTGTCAGTCTGGAAGAAATTTAATTTTCAATTTTTAAGCATTTGTCCTCGAATCCCAACAAAATTTTCGTCTGCGGCGCATTTTTGCCGTACAAAGTTTCTTGACCCCACTAGCTTTTTGTCTTTCTTATTGTAGTACTTTCTAAAACAAATAATTTTTGCTGATGATGAAGCTTAGAAGCTTCGAAACATATCCCAATTCCAATGTTAAATAAAGTATAGTTTTGGTGGAGTTGATTGTTAGATTTTCTTCCTGCCCTCCTTCTGTATAGCATCGGAAGGACCCATTTTTTCGTCTCAAATATTGACTCATATACAGGGTGAATCTGAAAGTGAAGTTTTTTTAACAGGATATAGTATATCTCACCAAAATGAGTTGTTTGGCAAAAAAATAACGAAGATAACGAATGTACACGTATTCAAATGTTTTAAGAAGACTACAACTATAAAACATTTTGTTTACGTTTTCTCGAAAAAGGAAAAAAAACCGTTATTACTCCAGCATTAGATACCCTACAGTTGCATTATTTCAGAAAAATTAATCAAAAACCTCTTTTTACATTTTCAACCTATTGATAATTTTTGTTTCAAAGTGTTACTTCATCATATTCTCTCTAATAAATCTGAGATTGATGAAATTAGATTCTTAATGTACAAAACCCCTTAAATTTTGTACATTTTACATTTGGGCCAAACAATTAATTTTGGCGAGATATATAATAATATGTTGAATAAAAGAAACCTCACATTCAGACCCACCCTGTATATGGTTATTACACAGCTTATTATCTGTGAAGGAAAAGCGCTGTTGGATCATCAATAGAAAATTATGAATATTCGCACCAACATTTCGTCTAGTAGCAACCTGATATTTTTAATCGATCGATGATTTTTATCTCGATCAAAATACTCAATCAAAACCAGATACCAATTTGAATTTTTCAATTTGACGTGTACTGTAAGAATAACATTTCATTTTCAAATTGTGTGCATGACAATCTGTCGATGATGCCAATGAAAGAATATTTAATTTGTTATCCCCAATTCAGTTCTAACTTGGGCCACAATCTGCGTAAAATGGTCACCCTCGCTCCTACGCCCATGGCGAAACCTTTCTCTCGACCCCCGCGCCCCCTTCCATGCGCCGCCTCTGCCAGCCGACGCCGCTCCGGCCTGTCGACGCGATGCTCCGTCGCCCCGGCAACGCACAGCCTCCCTCGATTCACCCTCACTTTCGCCGCGTATGATTCAATTAGAACATGTCGTTCGCCTCTTCTTCTCCCTTCTTGGGGCAAGCCGTCGGTGGTCTATTGACTTATTTCTCCAGTGGCCTGCCAAGTGCCAAGTCGATAATCTAGTTGGCCGAGAGGCGATCGCGATTGTTTTTCATGGTTTTCCGGTGCGTCCTTTTAGGAAGGTGATTGTCATGGCTGGCTGGATGACGGGTGGCTGTAGCGCGTTTCGTGTAAGGTGAGTTTTCCTTTCTTGGATGAGGGCTCAGTTTGTGGGTGTGTGATGTTGCGGGGATCGATTTTCGATGTTTTTTTGGGTCCCGATTGGGTTTTGTTTGCGAGAGGTTGTTCAGGAGGTTTAGATTTCAGTGGTATGGACATTGGTTTGCACAAGAAAAATGGGTTCAGTCAGGAGACGGTTTTCAACCTTCTCTTTTCTAATTGGGTTTGCCCGTGGTGTAGCTGATGATGTTCCGGAAGTCAAGTGGCTTTTTTTGGGTTTAATTTCGGGGAAGTTTGTCAGTTCAACATATTTTGGGGCGTAAACCACGTATGGACCTTGGTTTGCACAAGAAAAATGGGTTCAGGAGACGTTTTCCAACTTTCTCTTTTCTAATTGGGTTTGTCCGTGGTTTTGCTAGTGATGTTCCCGAAGTCAAGTGGCTTTTTTTGGATTCAATTTTGGGGAGGTTTGTTAGTTCAACATATTTTGGGGCGTAAGCCACGTATGAACCTTGGTTTGCACAAGAAAAATGTGTTCAGGAGACGTTTTTCAACTTTTTCTTTTCTGATTGTGTTTGTCCGTGGTTTTGCTAGTGATGTTCCCGAAGTCAAGTGGATTCTTTGGGTTCAATTTTGGGAAAGTTTGTCAGTTCAACATATTTTGGGGCGTAAACCACGAATGAACCTTGGTTTGCACAATAAAAATAGGTTCAGGTGATGTTTTTCAACTTTCTCTTCTCTAATTGGGTTTGTCCGTGGTTTTGCTGATGATGTTCCAGAAGTCAAGTGGCTTTTCTTGGGTTGAATTTCGGGAAGGTTTGTTAGTTCAACATATTTTGGGGCGTAAACCACGTATGAACCTTGGTTTGCACAAGAAAAATGGGTTCAGGAGACGTTTTTCAACTTTCTCTTTTCTAATTGGGTTTGCCCGTGGTTTTGCTGATGATGTTCCAGAAGTCAAGTGGCTTTTTTTGGGTTCAATTTCGGGAAGGTTTGTCAGTCCAACATATTTTGGGGCGTAAACCACGAATTTACGAATGAGAAATACATTCTGAAACCAGCAGTTTTCGAGATATCCTTGATATCAGTTATTCATTTCGTTCATCGTTTCAAAATTTGAACCTCCAATGGAATAAGAACGAACTTGCCAAACAGGATTTCATTTATTTTTTGGGAAAGAGAAACATAATTCGAAAACGAAAATGAATTGAAGCCACCGAGGAAGCGACTCTCATGGGTATATTGAATTGGTTTTTCTACTGAATTGTCAATCTTTCAACGTGGGTACATGCTTATACTAGTGTTCCTATTCCAATAGAATGGGCCCTGTAAACATGCTTTTTTTGTTATAGCTATGAATTGTTGAAAATACCCTGATGGTCAGCAAACAAAATGAAATTGCGTTTAAAAATTTTGACTTGTAATCGAACCTCAAAGTTGCATGCCAGATTTCTGACATAAATCGCAGAATCTTGACGTACATTGACCTTTCAACACAGTGAATTGTATTTTATTATTTAAAGGACTCGTGAGTTTATCAATTGGTTTGATTCCTTATTTTTGCCAAACAAACAAGTTTTCGGGGAAAAGAAAGAAATATCGATAAAATTTCACCCTTGATTATATTTCATTTCATTCTACATTCTTATAATTATTCCAGATTTTTTGGGATTTTCTCTCCTCGTTGCTAGAGAATAAAAACAAACCAGAGTTTGTCCCAAAATTACACTACACTATCAGAGAGCCTAAAAGAAAAGTTCATTCGTTTGTCAGTGACACTTAGTTTTGAAAAAGGTTTGGAGCAGAGAAATATAGGTATATAGAAAAAATATCACATTTTTCACTTATCTTTTGGACATTTCTGGAACGAATCTGCTTCATTCTGATTGTTATATTTTTTTCCAGATCAATCTCTCGAATATCATGGCGCTATCACTCAAAATCAACATTGTTGAAGGCAATGTCACAAAAACTATCGTCTTCGATCCTACGACCACTGTACACGACGCCTGTCGAATCATCAGAGAAAAATGCTCGGAAGCCAGTGGAGAAAGTGAGTATTTTCATTCAGTGATTCCATTTTCAAGGATAAGGCTGGACCCTAAAGCTGGACTCAAAAATGGAACATCTTTTACACAATTTTGATGAATGAATTCAAATCCATCGTCTTGTATGAAATGAAATAAAATGAAATAGTATTTTTCTACGGATATAACACAAGATGAGGTACTTTGTATGTCATCAATTTTATTTCCGTATCTGATATCACAATGACTCCATTGTGTTATTTTAAAAAAAAACTCATCATCCATAGAATGTAAAATTTCAATTTTATATAGATGAGCATCACTTGACAGGAAATCAGATGGCTACAAGACGAAGAAATCGAAAATGCCGCTGTTATCTATTTTAGCCGTAGAAAAATTATAGTGTATAACTTGCACGGAATGCTAATTTCCTACTCGAAGGATTGTAGCATTCGCCTATGGCTCATGCTGCACTATCATTCCGTGCTCGTTAAACAATATACTATTCTCCACGACAAAACAAAAAGATACGTATCTAATATTTTGATTTTTGCTATCGATTGTCAAAGTCAGATGAGTTGAACCTGAGACACTCTGTATATCAGTAATTATTATAATTATTTTTGAACGAGTTGAATATGATTTCTCATTATTGAGATTTGGGGAGGGATAGTTCTTGGGTTTTGGATTCAGTGAATAATTATGTTTTCATAGTATCATTTGAAACGTTTTGCCTATGGCCATAAGCTTTTTCAATTTTCATTATTTACATAAAATTCACTGGTCTGGAAAAAATGGAGTAGATAGAGTCTCGTGCTGTGTGCATTCTATAATATTTGTAGGCCTATCAGTAGGCAGAAATTCTTAGGTACATACGTACCTCAACCAGAGCTATATCTTTGGTAGCATTTTTTTTTTGTATTTTTTCCTCTATGTTCTTTCATTATCTTCTATGTTAGGTTAGGTTAGGTTAGGTTAGGTGATATGCAAGATGTCGCTTTTTGCTGATGATACGGCAGTTCTTGCATATTCGACAAATTTCGAGCAAGCAGCTATGAACCTCCAAAGCGCACTGAATTCTCTTCAGGAGTACTTCCTAAGATGGAAGATCAAATTGAATCCTACAAAAACACAATTGGTCGCACTCGGAAGGGAGCGGAGGCCTCCCAGAACCAGAATAGTCCTGGATGGTCATGAGTTAGAGTGGTCTTCACAAGTTAAATACTTAGGTGTGTGCATTGACAAAAAGCTCACCTGGGCCCAGCACATTGAACAGCAAGTTTCTAAAGCTAAACGAGCCATTGGAGCCCTGTATCCATTTCTAAACAGGCGAAGTAAATTGGGTTTGAGACAAAAATTGAATATTTATATCATGGCTATCAGGCCAATTTTACTGTATGCCTCAGTAGTCTGGGGCCACACAGCTAAATCTCATATCACCAGATTACAAACATTACAAAACAAAGTCGCGAGAATGGTGACAGGATCTCCTTGGTATGTTCGGAATAACCAGATCGCCAGGGATCTGAAACTCCCTTCAATCGTGTCAGTCATTAAAGAACGAAACATCAAGACTTTCGAAAAAGCTGAGGTTCATGAGAATCAGCTTCTTCGAAATGCAGTTGATTATGACCCTGGTGATCAATCAAAGTTCAAAAGACCGAGATTGTCCATAAACTAGAGAAAATATCGACATTATGACCAAATTTACTATTCTCAAGTTTTTGATATTTATTTTTTCCGTTCGATCTCTTTCAATTCTTAGAATGAATGAAACTTATTTGGGGCAGAAGGGCTGTTCGCATCAAACTTCAATACCGTTTTTATTTTGTTCCATAATAGATATCAGGATAAGAGGGACTCTTCCCTGGTCTGAATAAAATAAAAGAAAGATCCAATATATATATTGGAAATTAAGGAACAAAGAGGAAAAATACAAACAAAAAATGCTACCAAAGAAATAACTCTGGTTGAGGTACGTACAACACTTTCTGCCTACTGCTAGGCCACGAGAATATCTACTCAATTTTTTCCACATCAAAAATTTTTTAAGATTGAAAAAGCCTATGGCCATAGGCTAAACCGAGGGCAAAATGTTTCAAATGATACTATAAAAACATAATTATTTACTGAATCCAAACCCAAGAACTCTCCCTCCCCAAAAAAACATATAAGGAATCAAGAACGCATCGAGAAAAAAATTTAATTATTGAGTTTGATGATTCCTTAAACTAATTTCAGACACAGATTATGGTCTCTTTCTCACCGACGAGGACAACAAAACAGGGGTGTGGCTAGAGCCGGCGAGGAACTTGGAGTACTACATCCTGAGGAACGGCGACACTATCGAGTACAGGAAGAAGCTCAGACAGCTGCGGGTGAAGATGCTGGACGGCGCGATCAAGACGATGATGGTCGACGATTCGCAGATCATAGCCAACCTGATGGTGGTGATCTGCACGAAACTGGGCATCACGAACCACGACGAATACTCCTTGGTACTAGAGGATATCGAGAACCAGGAAAACATCGGTATGTTTATGATTTTTTCCTACTCAATTAACTAAAATTGCATTTCGCATACGAATATTTACCATGCTAAATGATCCACTAATCATGGATTGACGATTTTTGATTTATTCAAAAAATTTAACAGATATGCATCTAATTTTCTAACATTATTGCTTTACTAATTTGAGGTTTTTGATATGTTTGTTATGATTGTGATTGAACATGTGTTCGGCTACACAAGATTTATCTAACCTACCATATTTTAAATGTGCTAAGTGTTCTTTGAACCTTGTTTTTATGGGACGCGTGGTTTGGCCTATATATGTTTCATCACAATCATCACATCTAATTTCATATATTCCTGACTTTTCAAGAGTGTCCCACCTTATCTTCTGATAAATTGCCTAACTCCGACCCAGACTGATAAACGCTTTCAAAACCTAAGTCTTTGAAGACCTTGTCAAATCCTCTTGTGTACTTGGGATTGAAAGGGGTTGGGATTTTTCTCTGATTGATTTTATCCGCTTGAAAAGTTGTAGAATGCCTGAGTGATAACTGGAATTTATGTCTATGTATTAATTTATCTACTATTTTGATATAACCATTGACGCCAGCCACTTCATAAAAAACACTCCTTTCAACATCGAATCTTTGTTTTGCTCAGAGGAAATGAAACTAGTCTGTATACTAGGAAATTCAAACTTGCTATTTTGTGTTGGAGTCGTTAGTTATGTATCTAAGTGTATTAGTTTCTTATGGAGTAATGAAAATGAAGAATATTAAAATAAAGTAAATGTATTTGATGGAGTTGACACTAATGTTGTCTTCACTAAGATGAGTCTTCTCAGATATTACAAAATGTGTCTACAAATCAAGAAATCACATCAACTTCCAATAAAAGCTATGATTCTTTTTTTTTTCTTTCTTCTAGAGAACCGAAACTACGGCACGCTCACCCTGAAACGAAAAAAGGAAGAACGCGAGCGCGACTTCAAGATGGAGCAGCTGCGCAAGAAACTCCACACCGACGACGAGGTCAACTGGCTGGACCCATCCAAGACCCTCCGTGAGCAGGGCATCGACGAAACCCAAACCGTCTTGCTCAGACGCAAGTTCTTCTACTCGGATCAGAACATAGGTAGAGTTGGAATAAGTCAACTTATATGAAAAAGTCAGAAAAGCCCGACTTATTGAATTGATTCGGACTTTCTTGTAATAATTCACTCGAAAATGAACAAAATTTATGTCGTTATTTATCATTAGTAATCAACTTCTTCCAGCAAATTATTCAAAAATACTCCACGAAGTAGGATTAAAGAGCCCATTCTATCCCATTGCTGTTGAGATATAATTATAATAGTTGCGTTTTATTTATCCGATTCCGACACCGGAATCATTTTAATGTGTTGTTTTATTAGCAATTTTACTACACTACAAGGAACGACGTGAAATGACTGTTGACAGTTGTCAAAGAATTAAATAAGATTGACGAAAAACTAAACTTTTCGAAAGTAGAAAATATTTAGAAGACAATTTTTATCGTGAGGTTCACAAACATATGATCCCTTTGAAGTAAGACAGGTTTCATATGTTCATTCCCAGATAAAATGAATACTCGTGATCTCATAAAAATTTCTCCAATCACCACAATCACTTCTCCAAATATGCGTTGATTTATTTTCTAGATTCTTAACTCTAGTATATTGATTTGGAAATTATTCGGAGCCCCAATATATAAATATAACCTCTATCATCTATAATATGTCAATTCTCTCATGTAAGGTCAAGAAGTTTTACGTTTTATTCGCAAACGTCATTCTGTTCCCACCACAGCTACCAGAATGGAACAAATAAAACGCAACTAATGTATTCAAAGAACAATTTCTGGAAATCTAGACGTATTGATGATGCCGGCAAAATCGTACTGACATTATGAAGTCCTATTGTAACTCTGTGTGAATGTGGCTATTGATAAAGTACGTCATAGGAATGGTGAAGGATACAAGTAACTCTTTCTTTTTTTTCTGAAGTGAAATTTGATCTTACAAAAAATAATAAAAAAAATACATACAGGTCTCACTTTAAACGGTCCCCCTCTATATCTCAGTTATTAGTCATGCGAATCCAACCAAATTTGGTGTGGTATGAATAACCATCAATATGAGCAGTTTTACAGAGATGCAGATTATTTTGAAAAGTGCCGTGCGTTTTTATCGAACTAAAAAGGGGTCGATTTTTCATAAAATCATATTATGCATTTTTTTACAGTAAAGCTAACCGCATATCATTGTTTCTCATGCTTTCAAACCTACATACGCAAAAAATCACCTGATTCCGAATTAACAGGATTGGATTCATTTTTTTCAGTTTCAGTCTCGAATAAATAGTGACTTCAAAATCAACTACGAATTTTGGAACGTTCAATGGCTCCGGTAGGTGGAAAATCATGATTTGGAAGGAAAAACGAGTTATATTTTTTTATGTTAAACTCACCATTTTCGAGTAAATAATTATTACGTTCGCAAAAATGCTGTTTAGATGTGCCTGTTTTTCAGAAACTCTTCATAGGCATCTTATGAAAATCCACATATGCGAGTTTGAAACCATGAAGAAAAATATTATGAGGTCAGTTTTCCTGTGAAAAAATGCCTAATATGATTTAATAAAAAACTGACCCCTATTCATTTCAATAAAAATGCACGGCACTGTCTAAAATGATGTTTGTCTTTGAAGAATTCGTTATACTGATGATTATTCATACCGATACAAATTTGGTAAAGATTGCACGAACGATAGCTGAGATATAGAGGGGGGGCCGTTTGAAATGAGACACGCTGTATACCGGGTGGCTACGGAAGTATTGGGTAAGGAATATCTCAGTTATTGTATGAAGTAGGTTTGTGAAATTTGGAGCGTCGATATAATGACATAAGAGCTAAAATTTGAGCATATTGACATGTCGAAGTTAACTTCCGGTCTGACCGGAAGTAACATCAACTTTCTTATTTTAAATGGAAACCCTATTTTTTCTTCTTTTCGCTTTATTCAGCATTCAATTCCCTTTCTAATGACATATCACAAGTTGGTATCTAACCAGAAACTAGATCAGAAAAAAATTATTATTGAAATTCTTCGAGTAGGCCGTGGAAGCAAAATGAAAGCCAAAAATTGAAAAGTTGGATATGGAAACCATACGTCACTTGATAACAGTTGCTACTACTGTGATATTTTATTTTCATTCGTCGGCGTTATAAAAAGCCGCCAAAAAAATATTGGAAAAATTGGGAAAAAATCAATACTCTGTAGGTCCATAACTTAAATAGGAACATACAACTTTTTCGTGCCTGTACTATTCAGCATAACCATTCCGTTCTAATGATATAATAGAAAGTTATTTTTTGACTTTCATTGCTTCCACGGCCTACTCGGTGAATTTCAATAATATTTTTTTTCTGATCTAGTTTCTGATTAGATACCAACTTGTGATATGTCATCAGAAAGGGAATTGAATGCTGAATAAAGCGAAAAGAAAAAAAAATAGGGTTTCCATTTAAAATAAGAAAGTTGATGTTACTTCTGGTCAGACCGGAAGTTAACTTCGACATGTCAATATGCTCAAATTCTAGCTCTTATGTCATTATATCCGCTCCAAATTTCACAAACCTACTTCATACAATAACTGAGATATTCCGTAGGCAATACTTCCGTAGCCACCCGGTATATTAACATTTTACAAACTTCACAGTGAGATAAAAACCTCAATATAGGAACCTCCTATATATCTATCTTTCTATAGATTCGAGGGACCCGGTACAGCTGAACCTGCTGTACGTTCAGGCCAGAGACGCCATTTTGAATTGTACGCACCCGATCACGCAGGAGAAGGCGTGTGAATTTGCGGGGATCCAGTGCCAGATCCAGTTCGGGGACCACGTGGATACCAAGCACAAGCCCGGGTTCTTGGAGTGAGTCACTTTTTGTTTCTAGCTGAACATGATTTTCTCGAATATAATACGTCATTCATTGTTGTTCTAAATGGAAATCTTGTAGGTGAAATATGATATTGTCTGTTCATTAAAAAAATATGCGGAAATCTCCCTGATCGACAATATTTTTAGTAAATCAGTAATCTCTATTTCTAACTAATTTATTTATGAACATGAATTTCTCGAATATAATACTTCATTCATTGTTGTTCTAAATGGAAATCTAGTAGGCTAGGTGTAATATTGTCTGTTCAAAATAAACGTACCTAGGGAGGATCAGGAGAGATCTTTTAAGCCAGCTCAACTCATTGAAAAAATCTCGATCACCAAAGTAGCATTTCGCGCACTATCTACAAAAATAACTATTTTTGTGTGACGGAAAGAAAATTTTGGCATTTCATCTCTGTTGGCAGAGGTTATAAAATGTCACTTTTCATAAATTACTTTTTTCCCGTGGCAAATGAGTGAGTACTTTTTCCCCGGATATATATCACATATATACACTGTTGATGGCTTTTGTTGTGCTATATTTCCGAAAAATAATACTGTCTCTGAGAACTGCAAAGTCCTTTTATCTTCCATTTGACTTCACGGTTACGTAAATTACTAAACAACCACTAAATTCGCAATTTTTGAAATCAAATCACAGAATTAGACGAACAGAATTTTTTTTTATTGCTTCAAAAGAATGCTAAAGATGCCTAAAACGCAGGTGTCCCTCCTGTTAAAATCTTCAAATTTCACGTCGATAATTTTCAGATTTCAAAATAATGTAATATCTTCTCAATATTGATTCGTCCTTCTGTCACAGAAAAAACTAGTTTATTATACACGGGAGAATTATTAGATTTTAGCTCACGGTTTTTTGTCTCCCTCCGCTACGCGTCGGGAGACAACACAACCTGGAGCTAAAATCTACTACTTTTTTCCCTTGTATAATAAATAACTATTATAATTTTATACACTTCAAGTCATGGAAACCATCCATTCTCTAAGTGGTTCAGTATTATTCAAAAAGGAGAAAACCAAGTCAAAGTCAGTCGACCGCAATATTCAATATAATACACCAATGTGTGTGACTAGTTTAGCCACTAAGGCATTCTTCAGACACAATAAAATAGAAAAAGAACCTGAAAATTGAACAAAGATTTTAAATCTAGATCAATATCAACTAGGGAAAAAGCCAAATACTCAAAGTGGAATGCAATGGTCACAAAAGAGAGAAACTCAAAGTCATTACACAACTAGTTCATAAATGAACGACAATGGTAGATAACGAGAGAAAAACAACTACTTTCCTGGCTATATTCCAGAAATAAATGCTGAGATGCGTTTACGTTAAGTCAGGTTCGCACCAGATAGCGGTCAAGAATCTATCTGGGACAGCCCTGTACTGATGAGAGTCAAGAGCTCGAAACCGGTCTGCAGGTAGTCCGCGTTCCTGAACCACTTAAGCGCAGCTAAGCGTTCAGGAAGGAAACACTTGCGATTTTATTCGTTTATACGAACTATCGCATAGATTTCGGGAGGATGTAATGCAATGTTCTGCGTGGCATATAGCCAGGAAAGTAGTTGTTTTTCTCTCGTTATCTACCATTGTCGTTCATTTATGAACTAGTTGTGGCAATGACTTTGAGTTTCTCTCTTCTAGATCAATATGGCACTTCAGTTTAAACTTTTCATTTCATTCTAGTCAGTTCATGTGCGGGTCATTTAGTATAACTTCTATCTTCTTGGGACAAAAAATAAACAAAGTCATATGAGTCGTAATTTTCATTTTCTGTCATCTTTGGACTTTCCAGTTTTCCATGCAGTGATTTTTTTCTTATTTTCCTCTTGTATTTTCCAGCCTGAAAGAGTTCTTGCCCCAATCCTACACGAAAATCAAGGGCATAGAAAAGAAGATCTTCTCCGAGCACAAGAAGCACCAAGGTCTGAGCGAGCTGGACGCCAAAGTGAAGTACACGAAAAGCGCCCGCTCTCTCAGCACCTACGGCGTGTCCTTCTTTCTCGTCAAGGAGAAGATGAAGGGCAAGAACAAACTGACGCCCAGGTTGCTCGGTGTCACGAAAGAGTCCGTGCTGAGGTTGGATGAAAAGACGAAGGAAATTATGCAGACATGGCCTCTCACACAGGTGAGTGCGTTCGATTTTTTTATAGTGTGAATATTCATCAATGTATACAGGCTGACTAGCCATAGCATCGCTATCACCTATCCGATTTTGGAAAACAAACAAGCAAATGAAAGTACTATGCAAAAAGAATTCCTGAAACGCAGGTATAATTCCAATTAAAAATTGTTTTTGGTACTTACGTATTTTTGTCTGAAAAACACGAATTTATTAAGATATTTGACTATAAAGTTACAAATTTCACCTTCTTTTTCGTCTGTCTTCTGGATGGCATTTTGAACAATTTTCCCTTCTTTTTTCATCATATTGGACAATTTATATATATAACAATGTATGACACATTTTTTTCTATCATATGATTCAACTATGAATATGATTTTCTTGATAATTTAGTGAAAAGAAGGAAGAATATCATTTAAAATAATGGCGTGTGTAATGTCATTCCAAACCAATCTATTGATATTTGACATCTCGTATTTTGATTGACTATTAATTGAATGGTTGTCATCTGGAATGCTTGTTCACTAAATATGAAAAACTCGCCATAAAAATCATATTTCCTGTTGAATTTCTATACAAAAATGTGTCATCGAAGTACATCATGAGTATGGTATAAAGTGTCCAATGACAAAATAAGAAGAGCAAGTAGCTCTAAATGCTCCCAACACAAGGGGAGAAAGAAGGCGAAATTTCGAACTTTTTCTTGAAATATCCCGATAAATAGTGGTTCGTTCACATTTTCATGATCAAATTCGTGTTTTTTAGAGAAAAATATGTAAGTACCAAAAGAAATTTTCGAAAAAAAACCATCGCATGATAAATGCAACTTTACCCTTAAAAATTGCTGTTTCAAGTCTAACGATCAATTGGGTAAAAAATCCAACAACAGGAAATTGAAAACACTCGCTGGCTAATTTTTCAAAATAAAATACATTTTCCTCAATTTTCTTTCAATCAATCTCACGATAAGTTTATGTTCTGCGGGCCCTGTATAAGTAGGTGTGAAGTTTGCCTTCACCACAATTTTTGTCAATATATTTAATTTGAATGGGTTGCTGTAGGTGGGTATGGGTATGGTAAAAATCGAATGGGATGCAAAGAAGGGCTCAGTTGACGACTGGCATCCTTTTTTTTATCCGGAAGCCCTTCAAAAAAACAGCAAAATCGGCTCAATAATGATCTAAAACTAAAATTGAAATACGCGATATAGCGCCATAAGCGCTTGTCGTTTCGAGCCGCTGGTAAGGCCTCACTAAGGTGACGTCACCACGGAGCATGCAGGCCTTATTGTCTCCATGGTAACGGCGGTGGTCTAAATAAGTTTGAGAACCACTGGTGTAAATAATCAAGGATATAAATGAAAAGCTTTAAATAATTTTGAAGGCTGTTAGAATGACTCTTATAATTATCGTTATTTTGTCAATTAATTGTTCAGGTGAGAAGATGGGGCGCCAGCCCGAACACCTTCACTCTGGACTTCGGCGATTACGCCACCCAGTACTATTCGGTGCAGACCACCGAGGCCGAGCAGATCAGACAGATCATCGCCGGGTACATCGACATCATCACGAAGAAGAAGCAGTCGAAGGACCATTTCGGGATCGAGGGGGACGAGGGGTCCACGATGTTCGAGGAAAGCGTCGCTCCCCACAAGTAATTAGAAATATAAATAGAATTTATTCATTTTAGTTTCCTTCTGATGAATTTTCAAAAAATAAGTTCGGAACTCCTCAGTTTTATGACCACGCTGTACATAATGGCGATCGATGAAGTCCAAGTCGTTTTTATTTTCAAAATAAAGCAATTTCTAATTTTCCGGGCGGCAAACTGCGTACCTTCTGAATCTAGTCAGAATATAGCTAGTGAACAGCTAATAAATAAAAAACGAATAAAAAAATAGAAGAAGAAAAAGACAGAAGTGAAACTGGTAAACAAAAAGATACATGACCACAAAATCAGATCAGCTCTTGGTGTGCCTGTCAGTATTTTGTGTGGTGTGGAAGGGCTCCAAGTATTATGCGTTGTTCCAAGATATAATCTGTAACTTTCCTAGAAAATAGATTTGTTCTATAAAGAAACGAATTCTTAAAAACAAAGGGTAATATAACGAAAGTGAAAAATTATTGATCCGATTGCAGAATAGCATAATTCATATTTATTAGTAATCAACTCCTTCCAGGGAATAACATATTCATGGACATTATTCATAATATTCGACATTGAAGATGTATTCAAAGAACGATTTCCGAATATCTAAGGCCTGTTCGTTTGTATTGCTGAACTTGCTAAAGTTGATTTGTTTCATATAGTTGTCTCTGTTCATGGCACGATGTTAACAAAGAAAGTCATAGAAAATAATCAAGTTTAGCAGGTAAAGCAAAAACAAACGAACAGGCCCCTAGACTCCTTGATGATGCCTACAACGTCATACTGACACAGGGATTCATATATTAACTCTGTGTGAATGTGGCTTTTCATAAATGAAGTCATAGAAATCGTGAAGTGGTCAAGTTCCTTTTTCATCAATTTGCTTCTGTAGTGAAATTTGATTCAAAAAAAGAAAAAATACGTATATCACATTTTTACAAACTTCACAATTAGATAAATACCTCAATATTGGAAACTTCCCATCGACTGGTCTATGAAAAGAGTCGAGAGTTTACAAACGTATTCTACACTTCATGAATGAAAGATATAGCTTTGTCATGAATCAATTTGGTTTTCAAGAAAATAGTGGCACACAAGCAACAATACAAGTATATCGAAGACTGGAACCTTTGGCACGATAATTCACTACACTGTTTTACCACTAACCAAACCAATTTTTTAACGCCTCGACACGTGTTTCGCTAACTATGTTAGCATCTTCAGGAGAAGATTAAAACTAAATATCCTATTCTAGTGTGCTGCTTATATACTAGGTATATGTTCACCCAACTGTGAAAAATACTAACCGTCAAGTTAATGTTTGTCATGGTTGAGTTCACATGTTAATCTTAATTTTTATTTGACTAAACAATACAAGTAATACAAGTTATTCAAAAAGGACCTGATACAGGAACAGTGAGCATATTATTTACCTTGAAGATTCTACAGCATGATTCGCTAGCATTCATACTGAACATAATGCCATTTTCCATTCCATTTTTCTTTCTATTCAGTTTCGAGTTTATTCAGTTATGGAAAAATGCCCCATAAGGCAATGGGTCTATAATTTTTTGGATATTGAATATTTCAGTAGTTTTTGTATGAAAAGAATGCATTTTATTTTCAGGGCTACTATTTTACAGCACGAATCCAACAAAATTGGCAGAATGAGCACTGACTCCTTGTCAAAACCAGTAGTGATGAGAGTAGCTGACGGTGAGTTACAATAATTTTGACATAGATTACGTCAGATTCTTCTGTTATTGGAGTCATAATCATCACCACAAAAAGAACAAAAGTATTTCTTTTTTATTTTAGTTTTCTTTTTGTTTTTTTTTTAATTTAGGTGAAAAACCGTTCAGTATGGGTATAATGAGTGGTCCCCAACAAACCACTGTTAGTGGTGCTGTACATTTGGGCCATGCCCCACCAACGGTAAGATAACGATTTTTTTATCTTCATCCTCTAATAACACAGGAAAATTTAAAGCACGGATTTTTCCAGGGTTGATATACTAACTGAGTCAAAAAAATCTACAATGCTTGTGCTAATTCTGCAATAACTAATCATCCTTTTTTTATTGAGCCGTGAATATTTTTCTTTTATTTTTTTCATGTCTTTTCTTGGACAGGGAAGAGAGTAGGTACAGATAGATATTTTTTTCCTCTGTATATAACTCCGCACTTAGCTATAAATTCCCTAACACTATTTTTAAAATGGCCTTTACATCAGTTGGCCATATTTTTTCTATAGTAGCTAACAGAATGCTCTGAATTTTTGTAAATAATACAGGCTGATTCAAGTTTCATTTTCTAAAAAAAAAAGGATATTGGAATCTATTCCCCCAAAATAGAGTTTACTGAAAAGCTATAGGGCATTATCTGCCAATAAAAAAAATAACTGAAATTTTCAATAGGTACTTGATATAATGATTATATAATTTGTGTTATAGAAAAAACATTGAATACGAAGATATCAAAACCAGTTCAAATATTATACAATTCAAAAATAAAGTGATGCAAAGGAATGATAAAAGCTGACAGACTTGAATTGAATTCTGTTCTTTTTTTTTCTCCGCTGTTTTTCTCCCTTCTTGTTCACTATGAATGATTCCAAAGTTTTGTTAACTATTTGTTATTTCAATTATACCAACCGTCGATAATACTTGAATGGTCTTACACCAGGAATTAAAGTATAATCTATCATGTCATTCTTACACCAGGAGTTAGAGTATGATCTATCATGTCATTCCCACTAGAAAGTCAATTATACTTTATATATAATTTTTATAAAATGTATTATTGAAGAAGATGTAATGCAATAACTGAAATAAATAAATAAATCATCTGATTCTGAACCCTAACAAGATAACTTGGATTCCTAGAAGTGTTTGATAGAAAATTTTTGCTACAGTATGTTCCGTCAGTACCCCCTCTAAGATACAGGAAAAATAAACATTTCTTGTTAATCGTATTTTTTCGAAGGAATTATTGAAATATATGGATAAGGATGATTGAAAGTGTTGAAATGTATTTTTTTTATAGATTTCACTCTGTCTCCTTATTTTACTAGCCCTATTAGGGGTATTCCTAATATATTTCGATAATCCATCAACCACTCAAATATTTAGGAAAAACATGAATCAACCTGTGAAACCCCACTTTCTTTCCGACTGTATTTCGACCGTACAATTTATTTTAGTCGACCACCGTTCAGCAAACGAAAATCACCACAGTCCTCACCGAGCCCCAGCGTGCCTTGATATCGACGATATCGGCCACCCAAACGCGAATAAAAGAATCCGAAATCGAGCTGGAAGGAAAAGCGCACATTCCCGAACTGGGCACGGATCCGGGCTCGATGAAATGGAAACAAGTGACTTTGGACACGCGCAAGCAGAACGTCGGTTCGCAAATCGCTGCCATGAATGCGGCGACAGCCCAAGTTGTCACCTTAACATCAGGACCACAAGATGAGGTAATTCAAATGATATATTATATCTTTCATTGGTGTCTCAAACTGTTAGTCACCCGTGTCTTCAATCAAAACTCTCCATATCTTCATCTTCAAAACTAGGAAACTCACTAAAATATTTCGTACACAGCAAAATTACGGAAGATATCTATCAGCCTGCGTCTGTAGTAGTGATTCTATTAGAGTTCTAGTCCAGTAAACGACGCGAATTGGGCGAGTACGCTCATAGACTCACTACTGTATGTAGTGCGTGTAATCAAGTGTTCTGCGGAGTGTGCTCTGTTGATTCAGTTGACCATTTGTTTTCATATTGTGAGGTTGACCACAAAGGTGTCAAATGTGAATAAAATCAGCGCCACTATCAAAATCATTGTATTTCTATCAGATCAAACACTGTTGAATTGTTTATCATTGAGAATAAGAGCAATAAAATATTTCATTTGACCTAATAGGAGGAAGTCATGATAATATGGTTATTAATTTGTGACTTTTTTGAGCAATAAGCTTGCCTCAATATGTTAACGAAACATATTGGCTATAGAAACTTGGCAATGTTGTGCTGAATGCTGATAACTGACAAGACAACGCCCACAGTCCTGTGTTTTCACGTTCACCGGATCAAATGGCCTCTAGTGTGAATCAATATAATTATTATTAACACAAGTTCATCATAATGAATAATGCACAACATATAAGAGGAACGATTCTGCGACATTGGATTTTTATAGCTAATTAGGAATTTATGAATTATCAAATAATAATATTTCTGAAGTTCCCATTCCTATTTCAACATAATGCAACTGTGCTATGGTCTGCCCCTACCTACGAAATCATGACACAACTTTTTATTTGCGGAATATGTCTAGCTTTCTGAAATTTGCTGTGACAATATTGATGATTTTAGCATCGACTGAAAAATCTAAACAAATATAGAGTTGAAAGGTAATGAGTGATGATTCTGTTCACAAGAAAAATATCTCAGGTGATGACGGTTCACTACTTCTAAAACAATGATCTTTCACCACTAGCTCGCATTTATTCATAATGCAAGTATAGAACTAAGTGCCCTGACCTATAGGGTAGCACCACAGAACACGTTTAGCGATTGCTCCGAAATTAAAAACAATTTCTGGTCGCTCTTAGAAATCGTACGTCACCATTGAAGAGTTCAATGTGAATTCAAGAATATGACAGTTACCCAACTCGTATGTATTTTATTTTTAGGTTGATCATAGTGCTGTGGGTGCTGCCATCACCACGATTGGCAGTAACCTTCCCGAGATGACGAAAGACGTCAGAATGATAGCCGCCCTCATGGACGATGGTAGCATGGGTGAGAAATTACTGGACGCTACCAGAAAACTGTGCACTGCTTTCAGTGACTTGTTGAAGGCTGCCGAACCAGAATCCAAAGAGGTAAAATAACCATTTGTGGATTTTTCTAAATATTATTCTCCAAAATTCAGCTTTCAAAATATTCAACCGCTCACGAGATATTATAGTGTTTGAAAATTGGACCCCTTTATGCAACAAGGGACCAACCAAATATTTGTGAAAAAAAAACGAAATATTACCATTATGAGAACATAATTGAGCATCTCCGTCATTTCGCAACAAGAATTCAACAATTTGGAGATCTAGCGCCGTCAGGAGGGTGATAGAACTATCTTGCTTAATTAAAAATATTCGAATTGAAGTTCACAGTTAGGATCCAAAGCTACTTGGTTCTTTTCCGAAGGAACTTGTTATGTAATTTTCAAGACATTGAAGATCCAAAGTTATTTGGTTCCATTTTACGAATTGAACAACAATATGGCATGTATTCAGTTGGTTTGGTAGACTTTTTCTCATCATAAAATGTTTAAGCTAGTAGTTTCTAGAAGGATGAAAAAAAAATTATGACGTGGAGCGCAAGAGGTGGGTTCTTGTTTGAGGAATGATATATCGGAAAAGTGTAAAAAACTTGATTCTTCAGAGCGATTCCTGCTGAGGCTAAAACCGCAACATTGAAATGGTGCTCTTGATGCAATCTAGAGGAGTCGCTACATTTGAAAAGTATCAGGTTGCGGTTTATGGTTTCTGGTCATAGTTTCCGAGTGATCAAAAAACACAATAAGATATATTCCTCAAGATTATAGTAATATCAGAAGAATATATAGAAGGAAAGCCCCATTTATATAAATAAAACTGATGAAATGATGGTTCATCTTATACCGAATTCCATTGGCAGGAACTGGTGGGGTGTTTCTCTACGAGTGTATATTCATCTCTGTTTAACATATGCGCGTAAGAAGGAAGCATTGAGTGCAGAAACACTCCACCATTTCATTCCAATGGAATTCCCTATTAGTTTCCATCCAGCACTAGGATTCTAGAACCACTATTACATCTGTTTGTCAAAATAATTGTATTTTTGTTTCTGTAAGGCGGTGACTGAGACCGAGCGCTGTTTCCTGATAAGGTTTCGTTTTTAATTGTATAAAAAATGCCACAAGCCGCGTGATTTTGTCATTATAACAGCGAAAAAGGTTTGCCTTAACTTTTCCAACGACAATAACGGAACCTAACTTTTGAAAGCATGACAACTAGACATAAACAAATGTTTGATGAATTAAATTGTAAAAGCTAACCGAATTACACTCGTTTTTTTTAGTTGAAGTAAACTTTGCATATATAATTCGAATTTTGTTGCCATTAGGTAATTCAACTCAAAAAACTGCCTACGGACTCGTCATTTTTTCAGAGGCAGTTTTTTTCGTCAAATTGCCAGGCAACAAAATTCTTATTGATACATGTCAAGTTTACTTCGACAAAAATGAAGCGCTCTTGTGATAAGTGAGCAACAGGGATACATGTGATTTTCTTCATACTTTGAAAATGTTGAGTATTTTTTCTTCAATAGAATACTCCTTTCATCCACGAATATCTAAATTATGTTCCGTTCTTTCATGTCGAATATCCCTTCATTTTCTCGAAACAATAAAATACCTGGTTGGTTCCATGTTGCATAAGGGGGTCTAATTTAGAAAATCTTCAAAATCCAATTATGGACGTATGCTTCAATTATTTCGAAATAACCAACCAATTTTTCACCACTTCCAGCCCAGGCAGAGCCTGCTGAACGCGGCGTCCCGCGTTGGCGAGGCGAGCACCGAGGTCCTGGCGAGCATCGGCGAAGACACCGTCGAGAACAAGGAGCTGCAGGACCTGCTCTTGTCGCTGGCCAAGGCGGTGGCCAACACCACGGCCGCCCTCGTGCTCAGGTAGGGTTGTGGCCTGAATAACGATATAGAATTACGTCATTTGACAGGTCGTTGGAGGGTAAACATCGTATTGTTACGTTATTCGGGTGCAGAAGCTAACACGACACTATTTATTTTGGAACTGATATATTTTAACTAAAGGAACACTAACTTATATCGAAGTTATAACTACTATTTATTTAAAACGATTATCACGCGGTATATGACTGTCTCTCTGACACCCGATGCTTGACTTACTGACGGTAGTTGTTATCAGATGATTTGGCCGAAAATATCACTGCGTTTAACAAATTTTTCTCTCGGGGAGCCTAAAAGAAAATTCCAGTAGCTTGTCAGTGACATTTTGTTTGAAAAAATGTTTGAAGGAAAGAAATATAGATATATTGAAAAAATATCGAATTTTTATCTTTGGACGTTTCGGGAACGAATCTGCTCCCGTTCTCAACATGAAAATGCAAAATATTTTTCTTTGGAAGTTGGCATATGAATGAGTGATTTTAGTCGACGAATGAGTTACAGAATGTTTTCATTAATTGATCTTGAATCTACCATTTTCATGTTCAGTTTTCAGTAGTGAATACCATGTTCTATCTATATCAACTAAACAGGAAGCAATGCTATTGTCTCCGTTCAGAAGAATGCAAGCAGATTCCTTGATTTTTCTTTTTTGGTTGTTATTTTCCTTTCCTATGATTTTGATATTATTCCACTCTGTCATATTATGTTGTCCATCTCCAGTAAGGATATGTTCAGTTAGCTTAATTTCTCGATATGTTTTCAATTTCAACAATTGAAATTCCATGGATATATCCTAAATATCTTGGTCTTGCATTTGAAATTGATACAAGTACTGATAAAACCAGAGTATAAATTTATTGATGATTAGGGATGGAGTAAATACAGAGCACAGACTTGTCAAAAACGTCTCTGGCATGCTCCATGGAAAGAGCTATGTAGAGACATAGTCATCACTGTGATCTCACAGGAGCATATCTTGTTCAAGTCTGATGTTGCATCACTGATATAAGTCTGTGATTTCATCTGAGGCGGACATTCATCTTTGCTATATCTATGATGGGAACATCTCTGTGATAAAACATGGCACATTTGAAATGCAGCAGTGATAAAGTTGCTGCATGTTTCGGTCAACTGGGTAGTTATTAATGTTATTGATTTATTTTTCCCTCAGAGCGAAGAACGTCGCGTCGACTTGCGAGGACCAGCAGACGCAGAACAGGGTGATCGGCGCGGCCACACAGTGTGCGCTGGCAACCTCGCAGCTGGTGGCCTGCGCCCGCGTGGTGGCGCCCACGCTGCATTCGGCTGCGTGCCAGGAACAGCTGACAACCGCCATAAGAGAGGTGGGTGGCTTCAAATAAACTAGAGATGGTGGTGGGGGTTGAGAGAAATTTTGAAAAAAAAATTCACACCTACCTAACATTTTCGAACAATTAAAAGCGTGTATTTTGTATCGTTACCATAGCAACTAAACCTTTGCTTTTTTTATGAAAAACAATAATTGTGCAATTATTATTGTTTCGATTGATCATGTTATATGTATGTTTTTGTTGTATATATCCCTATCATAATTGATAATGGTTCTTGGGGTAATGCAGACAGACAATCAATCAATCAATCATTAAAACACAACTCATGGTGATGAAGTCAATCAATCGGTTTTGTTTATTTTCCAGGTGGCCAAAGCAGTCGAGAACTTGGTGTTGGTGTGTAATGAAACCTGCACCAACGAAGATCTCAACAATCAACTCAAAAATGCTGCTTCAGACGTGACAAGAACACTCAACGACTTGCTGAACCACATGAAACTAGGTGAGAACTAGACATATTTTAAACAATACAATACAAACATCACAAGAAGTTGTGGAATGAAACGAAAGAAGATGTAACTTAATGTTTTCGCCAACTTTAACCTCTCATGGTGAGCATTCAAAACGTCTAAGCCATCATTGGGTCAGAAGCGCATGTAAACCTAATATGATATTTTCTTTCTATGATTCGTGTGTCTGTGAAACTTTATTTTTTTCTATCACTTTTTTGTCGCTTCTTCGTTGACAAACTACCTATGAGATGATAAAGTTATCAAAAATATAAAGGTAGATAAGCAGTTCCTTTCTTTCTATTCTCAGTTGACATACCATCATTTCAATAAAGTGCAAGCAGTAGTTATTGTTTTTTTTTCTCAATGATCAAGACAATATTTTACCTCTCTCTCCTACTAGGTTTTCAATTAAAACGTCAATGGTCCGACCTTTGATATTCATACGACTTTTACCTCTCTGACAAACGACATCAAAGTTTCTTATCACAAGTCACAAGTCTTCGATTGAACTATCCAATATGCTGTTAAACTATCTCAATCAACATGGACGACTGTAGGCAAACATACTTTCACGTTCCAATGTCTTTGTTATAGCGGTCCATGGATAATGAATAATCACTTGTATTTTAACCAGCCATAATCATTACTTATCACATCTGAGATTACACTTCTGCTACGGCCATTAGAAAAATGTCACGTGTTCCGGAATGCCATATCCTTGATTATTTACAAAGATGAACCATCCTTATGAGAGCGATAGAGCCAGAAATTCTATTCAGTAAGGGGTGGTACATCTTGTTAGTTTAAATAATCAAGGCTTTTATATCCGTTTGTCCAGCATCCCGCGAACGCGCGAGAGAAACCGTCCAAGAGCACAGCGTCGAGGAGATCTACACGGCCACCGACAAGCTGTCGGCCGCCTCTGGCGATGCCAACGAGATGGTGCGCCAGGCGAGACGTTTGGGCCAGGCGACCGCCCAACTCATCCAGAGCATCAAGGGCGAGGCGGAGAAGCTGCCCGACTCGGAGGTATGATAAAAATCTCGAGACTAAAAAACGAAAGACACCGCGATTCATTCATAAATCATGAGAAAGTATCCGCCAACAATCCAAACAAGGTTGAATAGATGAAATCACGAATGGTGGGGATAACTCTGCAGAATCATTGCCAGAGCATTGAGGAGACTACAGATTTTTTCAAAACGATATCATCCTAGGCTCTAAACCAAAATACTACCAGTAAATATAATGTTGAATTTTCTCATTCATGCTAGGACGATAAAAAAAATAATGCAGAATGGCAATCAGAGTGAGAGATGATTCAGTTCGAGACTAATACTTCACTGCTCCATGTTCATATCTGTCTTTTTGAAATAACTAAATGGAATATGCTGATTTCAAAATGCTGTAGATTCGATGTCCTTCAACTTCAACTTATGATATTGATTATATGTACATTAAATGTTTATCATGATTCATTGATTGAAAATGGTTTGAATGGATTTTTGTCCATCAGTGGTCTTCTCCATCGATATTCTTCATAGATATATTTTATACTACTAATTAATTAAGAATGTGTGTGTAAGCATTAATAAATTAACTCTCGCGTGTTGTGACATAATAAGTAATGTTGCTACGGCTCAGTGAGGTTATTCAATCTTTTTCATATTTCAAAAATGCTTTTCATCAACAGAGCAAGCCATCAAACAAAACGCCACTTGGCAATATTTCTACATACCTATGAAATATCGAAATAGGATATTTGTAACTAACTTTTCTCTACAGATTTGCCGAGCCATATTCTCAAAATAGTCTTCTCTAGGTTATATCAAATGAGTAACTAAAACATCGAAAACTGATCACACAACAAGAGGAAAATCATTAATAACAACAAACACAACGAATTACATTTTTTACCACGATTATTGCTAGTCTTCAAAGAAACTTAGTAGTGCCGCCCACGTCTATCTTTGAATAATCCAAGTTTTTATTTTGTTGCGTACCTTAACAATAACTTTATGATTATCAGTAGTGAATTTCTGATAATTATGTTGTTATGGATATATCATTATTTTTTGAAGGTTCTATTTTTTTGTCATCAATGTCGAGTTGAATACGGCGTTTTATCCGAGATATCCTCTTAAATCGTCTAGTTGACAGCGATTCCACAGAGGTCCTTAGAATGTGATGCATTGTTCGCAGAAGAAATATCTAAGGAAATAAATCATGGTTTTCAACTAGGTACTCTAAGACTCTAGTTATTGCTTGTGATGGAATGATGGAGCAGAGATCACAATAGCCACCATGGAGATCATGGTCGATCATCTGATGATGAAATAGCAGCAACTTCCTGAATTGACTGACTCAAACAGATTTCACATCCCTGTTCAACCAAGAATTCTTTAGATCATCTTCGTATACGAACTCTTATAATAATTTTGTGAAATCATATAGTCACTTTGTGGAACTCTGATGTACCAGATATTGATGTATCTATTCTTCAAAGTTGAAATTCCAAGTCTGAATGTGCATGTTCATGCGTAGTTGAGAAGTGCTAGACGACTACATAGCTCCTAGTGGATTTTGAAGCACTTCTTGGGTACCAAGATACATATTATCAGAGCACAGAACAAGAACGCTTAACGAGTGCACCATTTATGTTAGGTATTGAAAATGATCTTCCGATGGCCGGGTTCAAACCAGCGATCCCCTTCAGCAATGTGAACGGCGATCTATAGCGCTGAAATCCATATGTCTTGGAGAACCTTTATTATTCATCTTAACTGAAATCAGCTCTTATTGATGCCATATCATTCGTTCATTTATTAATTACTTATCACCTACAACTCTTGTACAAGTGAAATTGTTTCATAATGTACCTTGAAATTTATCAGTTTTACCCCATTCTGAACTCTTGTGATGAACAAATATTCGACTGAACGTATAAATATACACCTACATAGAAGAGACTTATTTCATAGGAATACTATATGTATTCCGGTGATATATATGTACGTACTAACTTGATATCGACCTCCATTGAGGTCTTTCAGCCTTATCATTCAATATTTCGAGAAGAAATGATTTTCTAATCAATTTATCGTATCCTTTTACTCATTCGAGGAGACGCTATGCACTCTCATACAAATATCAAAGACAGAGAAAGATATATGGAGGTACTCTTGGAGGAAGGAAGATGCAAGGATCCTTCATCTAAGCGAAAAACATATTCTTGTCCTTGTCTTGAGAAACATATGATCTGCTTCAAAATCGTTTGTGGTTATGTTTGATTGTCACTGCTTGTCTAGTGTCCGTACTCTAATATACAAAAAACGTCAACACAGCAGTGTCAAGTACATTTAGGAACTCTACGTACGGTGAGTACTTCAACTATCTATTACCTTTGGCAGGTGCAGCGCCGCCTATTGGCCGCCGCTAAGACCCTGGCCGACGCCACCGCCAAGATGGTGGAGGCGGCGCGCAACTGCGCCAGCCGTCCGCACGACGTCGGCTGCCAGGACCGGCTGCGCAGAACGGCGGAGGATTTGAGAGATGTTACGGTGGTGGCGGCCACTACGCCTGCGCTGAGGGCCAAGCTGGTGGACAGGGTGAACGTGTGCGCGAAAAAGGCCGTTTCGTCGGCGACCCAGGGTGGGTATCCGTTTTTGTTTTTTGATATTGTAGGAGGGGAGGCAAAGAGGCTAAATAGGGAATTACTCGAGCGCCGTGGGGACGTATCAGATTGTGAAGATTTCCTATTTATTTTATTTTTTGAATTTCGTATAGAATACATTCATAACCTTTTGTACAGGTGAGAATTTTCTAAAACTAATAATAACTAGTTGTAATCAAGGAGACACTAGGGTGGATTCCCTTCATGCATCGTACAATTCTCTTTTAAAGAATGAAAACTTTATTAAAATTAGCTCAGGCCCCCAAAAAATAAGTCCATAGGACAGTATTGACTGTACCAGACCGGAATACCCAATTCTTAAAACATCCATCGATACAGTGTTTTTTAATCGTCTGATGAGGATTGAGCAGAACTCAATTTGCAAACTATGCTATCAATATGGATCTCCCATGTAATTTTTTTATCAAGTGTAATTCCCAAAAATTTTATGGAATCAACTTGTATGGAGTGCCCATTCAGTCTCACCAAGCTACTGGAATTCTGATTAATATTTTTTGTTATGAATGACATGAAGACTGTCTTTTTCATTTATCGTTAAGCCATTATTCGCAAAATATTTATGGAACTCTTCTGCACTTAGATTTGCAGTAATAGTAAAATATTGTTAAGTAGAGATCAATTAACATCAAGTTAATGATCAATACAATTTTGAAGAAATATTTAAATGAAGGGAATGAATATAACAAAAGATATTGCAAAACTTGGGGAAAATATATTATACATTTATGGCTTTGCCTTGAAAGGAATTTGAATTTTAAACAAATTCTTCAAAGCATAACTATATACATACATTAGGTATACAAATTTCTTTGAACATAGTAATTTACAGTGATTATAGTTATAATTATAGGATATTCAAATATTCATTTTGGTTTCTACCCATATACTGCCTAGATTTTTTTTGGAAGGTTCTAAGGTTGTTCATTTTCTTAATATTTGCTGGTAGGGAATTGATTATTTTAGGTGCTATTGACGTGATAAACCTCTGGTTAGCATCTTTTTGACAAAAGGGAATTATCAATCTATCATCAACTTTTGACCGAGTTGCATGATTATGTGTAGATTAGATGCAAAAATAAAAGAAAGTTTATATGATATATGACCTTTTACTGGTGGGGAGAGCGTGTACAGGTGTTAAAAAATGTAAAAAAAATACAGTCACATGGAAATACTCCAGCGCATCAGATATTGATAGTGTATGCGCCCCACGTGTTTCTGATACCCGAAAAATATGAATCTGCCGGTTTGCATGGTGGGGGCGGCCGTACGAAGGGATAGAGAATAGGTAAAAAAAAATTATTCGAGCGCGTGCCAAGAAGGCCGTTTCGTCGGCGACCCAGGGTGGGTATTCGTTGTGTTTTTGACATTAGGAAATACCGGATTGTAACTAGGGGAGAGGTTTATTTTAGGAATTATCTTTGTAATTGCATTAGGAACAATATATGAATAATCCATGTACTACATATAATAAAACCTACGGGCTACGGCACGCTATTCTAGCTTATTACTTATTGACCCTGTCTCTATCTCCATGTCCGTCACCAATAGTGTATTCCAGATAGGATTATAGTAGATGATATGTATGGCAGAGCCCACTTTACACTAGTGAACACGCAAAATATGAATATTTCAGAATGATTTCAAAGTTAAGTGATGAACCGATCATAGTTTTAATAAAGCTAACTTTGAGAGTTCACAAAATGAGTGATATCATTAGTTTTAAATAAATCATAATGAGGAGATCATTATTCACTCTCAAACTTCAATGTGATAATCATGATTTACATGTCGAAACGAATTTTATTTGAAACGTCAACAGTTTGTGGTATCGACTTGTTCCATTGCAAGTAGTGCATAGAAAAACAATGATATTTGAACCATGATAGTGAAGATTATACCTGGAAATATGATGACTTTTCATTGGGCAGGAATGATGGCCGCCCAAGCCAGTCACCCCCACAACACCAACGCCGTCACGAGAGAAACTCTCACGCAAGACACCTACGAGCTGTCAGAAACCATCCCGCAGTTGGTCGAGTGCATCAAGTTGAACGGCGCCGATTCAGAGGATACCAACAGCCAGGTAATATACAATGATAATAATAATATTTATTTCATTCCATTGAATTTTGAGATAGCTCCGTGAGTATTTTCAATGATAACAGAGACTATTTCGATTCGAAGGTGGAGCTGATGTACATCGCCGAGGTGTTCCTGCACCCGGCCACCCAGTTCGTGCAGTCCGCCCGATCGGCGCTGCCCACGCTGACCGACCACTCGATCAGGGAGCAGGTGGCGCAGACCAGCCGACAGCTGAACGCCGATCTGGGCGAGCTGCACGGCGCCATCGGACGCGCCAAGCCGGCCTGCCAGGGCCTGGGGGTGGACGCTGCGCGGCAGCTGATCGACGATCTGCGGGAGGAGCTCGACGAGTTCCAGCGGGCGGTCGACGCGCACAGGTCAGAGTTCATTTCATCTTTATTTTATTTATTGAAAATGTGACTTCCAGTCAGAATCAAGGTATAAGGAAGTATAACATTTATATTTATTTATATTTATATTTACACCACCACTAAAAACCAGCTGATTTGATAGTGTAGATGAGTGTTGGGATTTTAGAGGAACAGAAAAGTGGAGATCGTGTAGATCATTTGTTTACAATCATGGCACTGTGAAAACAAAACGTGAAAATAGCATACAGACATTTATTTATAATATATTTATAATTCCTCAGATTTCACTCTTATTCTCTGATTTTAACAAAACTAACGATTTAACATCTGTCAGTGTATTATGAAATAATACGACTGAATTTATCATCAAACCAAATCCCAAGATACTTTTTCTCATTCGTTTGTTTCAAAGATTCATTTTTAATTCTTAGATTTATTTTGAATATATAATAAATATAAGATTGGTCCTAAAACAGATCCTCGAGGGACACCTTTAGTCATCGGTAGTCTATAAGACTCTGAGTTAGAAGATTTGGTACTGATTATCCTATTTTGAAGATACGAATCTAAAAGGTTCCTTATCATGCATCTAAGTCCCATTGATTTCAAAGCTTCCAAAAGTGTTATGTGCTCTACTGTATCAAAAGCTTTTAACGCTTTCCCCACCCCACTATATTACAGCTATTAGTCGTGCGATTCGTACCAAATTTGGACCGTTATGAATAACCATCAATATGACTATGATAAGAAATCATATTAGTAATTTTTTGCGAGAAAACTGTCTTCATATTATTGTTCCTTATGCTTTTTATAACCTCCATATGCAAAAACACCTCATTCCAAATTTTGTCTTTCATTTTCAGACTCGAAAAAATAGTGAATTCAAATTAACTGCAAAATTTGAAACATTCAATAGCTCTGGAAGGTAGAAAATCGTGATTGGAAAAAAAATCAAGAAACACTTATTTCAACTCACTGTTTCCGGGTAAATAATTATTACGTTTGCAAAAATGCAGTTCAGATGTGCTTGTTTTTTTGAAAAACATCAAAGGAATTACCATGAAGAACAATATTACGAGATTAGTTTTCCTATGAAAATATTCCTAATATCAATTCATGGAAAATGTATCCCTTTCTATTTCAATAAAAACGCACGGCACTGTCGAAAAGGATGTATGTCTCAGAAAAACTAATCATATTGATGGTCATACATACCAGTCCCAATTTGGAAAAGATCGCAGGACTAATAGCTGAGATATAGATGGGTGGCCGTTTGAGATGAGACACGCTGTAGGTTCGTTAATGTTAAATATTTTCTCATTTTTTCTCATTAAACTATTATATTATTAGGATATATTGTGATAACAGTACTCATAGTGTACAAGGAGAGGAGGTAAACGAAAAGACTATCCTGTAAATTCATAATAAATTCTGTCAACTTTGATCATCTCTTTGCAGCAGAATATATTTTTGACTTTACTTTCGAATTGTATAATATTTATTCTCATCGTAATCCATTTAAATGAAGTTGTCGATAATTGCGATTCAAATCGTCGCCCTCTGTCACACAGGCTGAGACCGTTGCCCGAAGATACACCCGAAAGAGCCGCCCAACAACTGGCCTCAAGCAGCAAACTAGTCAACCAGGGCGTGTCTCAGCTCCTGAGCGCCACCGCCCAAGGCAACGAGATGTACACCTCGCAAGCCGCCCGAGACACCGCCCACAGTCTCAAGAACCTCACCGGGGCAGTGCGATCGGTCGCAGCCACCTCAGACAACATCGATGTGCAAAGAAAGATCATCAGCAAGGGCCAAGAAGTGCTCGCGCACTCTGCCCTGCTGGTGTCCGAAGCCCAAAAGAGCTTGCAAACTGTCAGCTTGACGCCGGGGCTGCAGAAAGCCGCCAAAGATATTTCACAGGCCCTGAACGCCACCATGGGGTGCCTGCCCGGACAAAGGGATGTCGATACAGCCATCACCAACATAATCGAATGGTCTTCTACGATCAACACCAGTAACTTACCGCAGACGCAGAAGAGCTATGGTAGGCTCCAGCAGGAGCTGAACGCTGCCGCTGCGAACTTGAACGAAGCTAGTTCCAGCGTGGTACAATCGGTGGGCAGCTCGGTGCAGTTAGCGGGAACCTCGAGGGAGTTCGCCACCGCCTACCAAGATTTGTTAACAGTGTCATTGGAGATGGCGGGGCAGACGCCCGATGTCAGCGTCAGAGGCGAGATGGTGCACTCTCTGAAGAACGTATCGACGACTTCGAGCGCTCTGCTGACCACCGCCAAGTCTCTGTCTGCGGATCCGAAGCTGCCCAACGGGAAGAACCAGCTGGCTGCAGCAGCGAGGGCGGTCACCGACAGCATCAACTTCTTGGTTGACGTTTGCACTTCAGCTGCGCCAGGACAGAACGAGTGCGACAATGCCATCAGGAAGATCAGGGCCATGGGGTACTTGCTGGACAATCCTACCGAGCCGATTAATGACAGTTCTTATTACGAGGCGCTCGATGCTGTTATTGAGAAGAATAAGGCGCTGGGAGAGGGGATTTCGGGTATTACGGCCAGTGCGAAGGCTTCGGAGCACGAGAAGTTCACGGAGCACGTCAATAGTTTCAGCAATGCTATCTGTTCGTTGATCGAGACGTCGGCGCAAACTGCTTATTTGGTGAGTGAGATTTTTGGCAAACCTGACCTGTTAAGTTCGATCCGTATTTTAGGGAACTGTATTGTGTTTGAGTCCTGACATTTTATTATTCAATTTCAATGCACTCAAAATACACTTATAATAAATCATAATAAAACAGTAGTAATCGAGTTCCATTCAAAACATAAAATATCTTCTCATTTTACCTTTGAAATTAATACTCATATCGTTCAAACCTCCACTTCATCTAAATTCTTAGGAACGATTATAGATCGTAACTTAACATGGGAGGACCAAATACAAATGGTTTGCAAAAAAGTCAACAAAAGCTTTTACATTTTGGCAACACTGAGAAATGTTTTGAACACGGACTCATTACTGCAGGTCTACTATGCATTTGTTTATTCTACAATTTCATACAACATTATAGTATGGGGTCAGGCATCAGATATAACAAGAATTTTCGTTGCTCAAAAACGAATCATAAGGCTCATTTTCAACATAAGTAGTCGCCAATCATGTAGACAGGTCTTCAAATCAAAACGGATCCTCACGGTAACGTCAATTTATTTGATGAAACTGTTAACCTACATTTACATTAACAAACATTCATTTCCCATTAATAGTGATTCACATTCTTACAACAATAGAAAAAAGAATGATATCAAACTAAACAAGCCTAAACACTCCTATTACAAAAAATCTCCAATCAATGCAGGCTGCCGTTTTTTCAACTGTCTGCCGAATGAAATAAAAAACGCGGTATCCCCGGCTGTTTTTAAATGTAGACTGAAGAAACTCCTAGTCAGAGAATGCTTCTATACTGTTGAGGAATTCGAATCCTACTTTTCAATTTTGAAATTATAATACTGAAGTATTTCTCAGTTTATGTTAGTCATCACTGTAAATGTCTCGTCTTGTTATAGTATTTCGTTTCGTCTTATTTTTCAATTAAAACTTGATACCACTGTCCATTTATGACATGTAATATTGACTTATCCTATCTATTGTTACTGATAGTTTAAAGGATTAATAAATATTTTATTTATTTATAATGAATAATTCCTTGATAAGATTGAGTATTAGTATTTTATAAATGAATACTTTGCTTCAGGACACACAATTGTTTTCAACCTGAGGGATACATTATCTGTTCCTATGTCCAATCACACACATTTCAATCTTTCAAATACAGAAATGATTCTAAAGCTAAACTCAATCATCATATTCTCAATTTTGCTGTTTGGGAAATTCTCGAACTTTCTGAATGATTTCTCTTACATTTTGGAACATTCTGAAATATTCTCAAACCTTTTGGAGCATTTTAGAATATCATTGAGTATGTTGAAAAATTCTGGAACACCAGCTAACATTCTTGAAGGTTCTAAAATATTCTCGAACCTTTTGGAAGATTCTATAACTTTCTTGAACGTCCTAGAGCGTTTTCGAACATTATGAAACAATCCAGAGCATTCTGGAACATTATGAAACAATCCAGAGCACTCTCATATATTCTGGAAATTATGAATGATAAATCAACATTCTGGAACGATCTCGAAACTTCTGAAATATTATGTGCCATTCTGGATCATTTCGAGATCAATGTTAAAACTTCACAAACGATAAGATTTCCACAAAATTCTCAAACACACGACATGTTTCGAATCTTTTTAGAGAGTACTCGAGTATTCTGGAAAATTCCTGTACCGTTCTAGAACTTTCCTGGAACCGTCTGAAATATTCTGAAACATTCTCGGACCATTCCAGATCGGCGTTTCAGACCCGTCGAGCATCGCCGGCCGCCCCGGGCTGGTCGACCAGGCGCAGTTCGCCCGCGCCTCGCAGGCCATCCGGCAGGGCTGTGCCGCCCTCGCGGCCCCCTCCAGTCCGCAGAAGCAGGTGCTCGAGGCGGCGACGCTGATCGCCAAGCACACGAGCGCCCTCTGCAACTCGTGCCGGTCGGCCAGCGCGAAGACGGCCAATCCGGTGGCGAAGCGGCAGTTCGTGCAGAGTGCGAAAGCGGTGGCCAATAGCACGGCGGCGCTGGTGAAGGAGATCAAGGCGCTGGACGCGTGCTATTCGGAGGAGAATAGGGGGAGGTGTGCGGAGGCGACTAGACCGCTGCTAGGTAATGATGATATTAATATTTGCACTTATCATGGGATGTTTTTTGTTTCGATTTTTTTTGTTTTGCTACTTATTTTTGCCTGGAAAAGACGAATTCATAATGGGAATTACGATGATTTCTGTTGATTCAATTCAAAATTCGAGGTCTAGGGTTTACCAAATTAGGATAGATCCTACTGAAATTTATATCCTTCTAAAACATAATTAACATACAAAAATAACTGAAGCAGGATTGTGCATTGGATAAAGAACAAAGAAGCAGCGAAGACTGACGAAGTCTACCGTCTAACTCCCTAATCGCGGTCGCCAAGGTCAAATATACAGATGTAACAAAATTTTTAGGTCTTTATATTGATGAACGACCATTGTGGAATAAACATATAGATCATTTGAGGAACAAACTTAATCCTATTACAGGCATTTTATTCAAAATACGAAATTTCATTTCTACCAGATACTTGAAGAGTATTTATTTCTCTCTTATTTACTCAAAATTTCAATACCTAATATCTATATGGGGAAGTACCAATATTTCACGTTTGAGTCCACTAATGAAATTACAAAATAAAACATTGAAGTGTATTTTCAATTTAAATTTTCTCGAACCAACCATGAATTTATACAAACCTAGAGATTTATTAGATCTGACATCACTATATAAACTTAAAATATGTTGTTTTATTCAATTTGTCCTATATAAATTGAAAATTTCGAATTTAAATTTCAATGAAATCAATTCATTACATAATCATGGAACAAGACAATCAAATTTACTAATAGCAAATACGTTCAAGTCAAATATCGGCAAACAATCAATTTTTCACACAGGAATCGTTCTATACAACTCATTACCAAGTCAATTGAGGAATATACAGGAAGCAACTAGATTAAAAATTAATTTAAAAAAATATCTGCTTCAGAGACTTTGATAACTCCTTTTTTTATTTGAATACCTACTTATAAAAGACTAGGTTGATATTGCATGATTATTTGCATTTTTTTTAACTTGTTATATCTTATTATAATTTCATAATTGTATGTATAACATTATGTATATTGTTTATGTATCCCTATTATAAACAACTATGTTTCTTGGGGTAATGAAGACAATCAATCAATTATTTCGTGATGAAAATGTGAACAAACCACTATCGACCGAGATATTTCACGAAAGAGACTTCGTTTTATGTATCTCTTGGATAGGCATTTACCAGAGTATTTGCTCTTTTTTATCTTTTTATCACTACATATACTCATGTACTTCATGTCCTTCATGTACTTCGTTTTTTGTTGGTGAGCCTGTATTTGTGATCCATATCAAATAAAAAAAAATCACCCTATTATTGAAACAATTTCGAATCTCCATTTGTATCAGATGCCGTCGACAACCTCTGTGTCTACGCGAGCTCCAGCGAGTTCGCCACCGTACCGGCCAAGATACCGGTGCAGGCGAGACAGGCGCAGCAGCCCGTCATCGAGTCGGGTCGACGGCTCATAGACAGCGCGTGCGCAGTCATCGCCTGCACGAAGAACCTCATCGTGATGCCTGGAGATCCGTCGACCTGGCAACAGTTCTCGGCCAGCTCCAAGAACGTCTCGGACTCGATCAAACAGCTGGTCATCAACATAAAGTTAGTGTGGCTTGAACTGAACCATTGTCGTGAAACGAATATTTCGTTTCTAATAAGATTGTATATGTTCACCCCACCCCGTATATTCTCGACGAAAAACAACGACTAGCCTGAGAGAGACCGCTCCTGGATAAAGAACGGCACTAATGGTCAAGCAGTCTAACAGTGGTCAGTGATAGTGGTTGATAAAATTGTCTTCGAAGTATATGAAGTACTGTATAGACGGAAATAAGTCAATCACTAGTGATTAAATTGAATCATTTCGGCCCAGTAGGTGCACTCGCAGTTTTTTTTTTTTTCGTTCAATACGGATCAAACTAGCTATGTAGGTGAGATGTTTAGAGAGATAGCAAAGTTATCTAACATTTAGGGGTGAATAAGCAGTTTCTACCTTTTCATTTTGCATTTCAATTAAGCGCAAACAGTAATGTTTCATCACAGCATGGCTGAGTTTGCAGTGCCTACTCATATTCCAATAGCATCAATGAATCAAGCTATTTTATCATCTCATAAACAGCGGTTTTTTATTCGGGCATCCATATTTTATTGAACTATATATATGTATGTGTGCATATAAACATGTTTATATTTAATATTGAGTGCTGACAGAAAAAAAGATCGTGACTGGAATATAAAATATGAATAAATAACTTAGTTCAAAATAGAAGACACTGGCTTACTGAAAATATCTTCAAGAAGCAAATCATTTAATCATTGAAGGATTCAAATGTAGTGTTTTCACATTCTCAAATTCAGCTTCGAAAACGTGAGAAAATCAGCACATTGAATGAAATATATTGTGTAAAGTTGTACCAACATATTGCCTATTTGTGCCATGTCGCCAGGTCTCAGACATTTCGATATGTTGAGACTCAAATCTTGGGGGGACTTTGAAATTTTTCCTTTATTCACAACTGGGAATGGAATAATGTTTTTTTCTCCAAGCGTCATAGAAAGTGGCTTTTCTCTGATACTTAACAGGCAGGAAATATGCACTTTTTCTGCCTAGACAGGAAAAGTTTGTTGCTATGGAACGTTCCAAGTAATTTGAATGCAATTGGTCAAGTCAATCTACTACCTTGCTGCCTAGTAAAACTAATAACTATTTTAGTACTGATCTTGAGCATTGTTTCGAATTGACAAAATATCACATTCTATAATAATATGTGTGAATAAATCATTCGATTTCTTCAGAAATTACATGATTTCTTGAAGGGCCCATTCATTGTTAGAATCGTATTTTCAATTATGTTTTTTTTTTTGTAAGGAATGAGGCACCAGGACGAAACGAGTGTGAGAGCGCTGCTCTGATCATCAAGCATCACCTGAAAACTTTGGACGCTGCCTATATGGATGCAGTGTCGCAATCATTGCCTCCCCAAAAATCAGCCACCCTACCCATCTTCAGTCAACAAGTGGCTAGGTCTGCTGCCGGATTGTTCGACACCATCGAACCTTTAAGGCATGCCGCAAAATATGAAGCAGAAAATATAGGTGAGTAATTGAATTGGTCTTTGAATTTCAATGTGTATCAGTTATTTTCATCCATTTTTTTTTTTGTCCCTCGTCTATTCATTGATAATTTGCCAAATGCCTCATAATTTTGTGCTCAGTCTCTGGAATAATTCGAAAATGTATTTATGATTTTTTCGTTTCATAAAATTATGTTCACACTGATTAGCTTTGTTTGGGCAATCTGGACAAATAGCGTTTTCCGTGTAGGAGTTTTTCTGAATATAACATGAAACAAAATTGAAACTGACAACGTTAGAGTCGCGCTAGTGAAATCGCGTTTTGAAAACAGCAATCAATCAGAGATCCTTGGATTCCTCCACTATTTATAATGAAACGAGGGACTTTGCTTGCATTTTGTCTTAGCAATGAAATTGTCAGTACTTGTCGATCTGTCGACTGTTTGAATTCGAAAAACTGCATTGATATTCCAGAATCTTGAATTTGATGATCAATAATCATGATTATATTCGGGTCGATTCTGTTTGTAAATAGCAATATGGTTGTAGAGAAGATATTGCTATCATAGCAAGGTTCGAAGAAGTGGAATTCTAATCATCGATTTTTGGCAATATGATCTGTCAATTTCAGTGACATCTGGTCAGCTTTCTTGCTATCTCGGCAATATAAATTTCGTGCTTGCTATCTTATAACAAGGTAGTGGATTCTATGTTTTTGCACTACAAATTCTTCCAACTGTACGAAAATTCAGAAAATAGTGGATTAAAAACATATGAGAGTTCATTTGTGTCACTGATTACTCGAAAACCTTTCCTCAAAGTTTCAATTCGTAGGAGAATTATCGAAAAACTTAAAATGGTAGTTGCAAACATATAGGATAGGTTCACTAGCGTGACCAACTACTTGAAAACCTTTTCTTGATGTTCCAATTTGTAGAGAAAATATGCGAGGAAATAGACTACGATTCCGGCATATCAGAGAAATTTCAGTTGCCTGATGGATAGTTTATCAAGCTATTTTGCTAGAATATTGAAAAAAAATCACGATTTGTTTCATCCGGCTTCTAGTTGTTTCTCATTTCGGGGACATGATTGATTACTTGCACCAGTCGCACAACGATGACCAGATTCAGCAAATACAAGATCTCTCGATTTGAACAATATAATTTTGTAAAAAAAATGCAGAATTTGAGAGGTTTGATAATCATGAACTCTTCTTCTTCATGAAATAATGGCAAAATCGATACCTAACACTTAAACAATTAGTTGAAAACAGTGTTGTCAGCTCAAAAATTCTCAATATTTCAACAATATTGCTATCACTCGAACTTGAAACTAGTCTTGCAGTTACACTGCAAACAGAATACAGAACTTCATAGCAAGATTGTTATATGTTATGATCATAACAATATTATTATCTTAGCAATGTTATAACAAGATCTGAACAGAATCGACCCGATTGTATGGTTCCTCCCCATATTTGAGAATACGAATATTCACAATGGTTTTTTCCTAACTTCACGGAGAATTTCAACATCAATCTAATGTGTAGTCATATTCTTACGATTACGAGGTGTGTTTTCGTTAGAGCTCTGAACGATTCCTTCTTTCAAGGTCACGCCGTCAACCAAATGGTGCAGTACTTCGAGCCGCTGGTGGACAGCACCATCGGGGCCGCCTCCAACATGACCAATTCCAAGCAGCAGGAGCAGCTGCTGGACCAGGCGAAGTCGATAGCCGAGTCCACGTTGCAGTTCATCTATGCCGCCAAAGATTGCGGCGGCAATCCCAAGGCCGTCAACATCCACCCTGATATCGACGAGTGCGCCAATTCCACCCGAGACACCGTACAAGATCTGGTGAGGATTTTCGGTTTTTGTCTCATGTTTTTATAATGGGAGATGATAACTTTCATTGAAAAGTTGTCATAGAGTCCGACCACGATAACTTCGGGACAGCACGTGACGCAATGCATATGAAAAGTCAATGCATACGCGAACACCTGCTGTTCCAAAGTTATCGTGGTCGGACTCTACTACTTTCCACAACTTTTTTTCAGATCATACTCATCTGGTCGCAAACAGAATCTATGTATTTTATTTATTTATTGAACAAATAACTTCCAGACAGAATAGGCTCTGGTATAAGGAAGTACATAATTATATACCTATAGGTAAACATATCGTTATACAAAATATATCAACAACTGTAAATTGACAAACAAAGAATGATATTTGTAAAAAAAAAATGGCATGTTCAATTTTATCCAGTTCGCTCAGAAATAATCAATTTTTTCACTTTATTTTTGAATGAACCTATATTTCTGCAATTTTTTATATTGTCAGGTAGTTTATTGAATTCAGTTAAGGCTGAATGAGTGAATCTTTTTTGTCCGATAATGGAGCTAGCGGCGTCAAGATGAAACAAGTTATATTGTCTTGTTTCATGATTATGAATTTCAGAATTCCGTATCAACATAAAATTCGACTTCAATTTTTCATTTATGATATTATATGATATTTTGAGATTTTCAATTCTATATATTTCATCTAAAGAATACGTATTTGTTGTATCAAATGGGAGACGATACAATACTTTTAACGATTTTCTATATAATGTTGATATTTTATTGAAATTGTTCTTTGAACAAGTTCCCCAAACATTTATTAAATAGTTGATACGACTCAGTATATGAGAGTAGAGAATCATGTTTGCAATTTTAATATCAAGTTTGGGACATCTTCTCAATGCACCAATAATTGGAGATATTTTTTTTGTCAGAACATCAATATGTTTGTCCCACTTCAACCTGTCATCAAACCAAATTCCAAGATATTTTATCTGGTCAATTTGTTTTAAGAGTTCATTTTTCATTTTAAGATTGAGGTAAATTTTTTGTTTATTTTTTTGGTGAAAAATCATATATTCTGTTTTTTTAGTATTTATCGATAAAAGGTTAGAGTGGAGCCATTTTTCAAATATTTTCAAGTTTTCATTTATCATATTTTCTAAATTTGAAGGATTCTTGCCTTCATATAAAAGTACTGTATCATCTGCATACATGGTATATTTACTCGTGAGACCAATTTCACTGATATTATGAACATAAAGTAAATATAGTATAGGTCCTAAAACAGAGCCCTGTGGGACACCCTTATTGATTAATAGTTTATTTGACACAGAGTTGGTTGATTTTGTATTGATTGTCCTATTTTCAAGATATGAATTCAAAATATTTCTCACAGTGCCTCTGAGTCCCATTGTTTCTAAGTTTTCTAAAAGTGTTGTATGATCAACTGTGTCAAAAGCCTTTTTGAGATCAATGAAAACAGCTACCACATAATTTCCTGAATCAAGTCCTCTCTGGATTGATTCTATCACTTGTAATACTGCTGCTTGTGTTCCACTGTTTTCTTGAAAACCAAATTGATTAGAATCGAAGCTATATTTTTTGTTGATGAATTCTACAATGCGTTTCTTGAGAATTTATTACATGTCAGTTTTACATAGAGTACCTCAAAACTCTGGAATTGTAATTTTTGTAATGAAGTCAATTTTTTGTAGAGGTCTATGAAAAATATACAGGGTGTTGCGAAATTCGAGCTACAACGCTTGGCAGGTGATAGCCGTCGTGATTTCATAATCACTGAGATAGGGACATACAGTCTCCAAGTGTTCAGTTCTCGAGATACAGGGCGTTGAAGTTGAGAAATTGAAATAGTTTTTCCGCAATATCTCAAGAAGAATTGGATATAATGCATTCAAAGTCGGTATATGGTTTCATCTTTCAATGGTTCATTTTTTGACCAGAAAGACATTCCGAGAATTTTATCCAGAGAAGCGCTACAGGGGGTTGTGAAACCTTTTCCTCCCATATTTTTTACGCCACTGATGGAAGGAATTTCGATTTTTTCCAATTCCTCGAATGGATTGTTCAATGGGCGTGTACACCTTAGTAGAACTTTTAACTCAAACCATGTTTATAATGATCCTTCTATACATAAATAATGATTGACGACATAATTCGATCGAAAAATTAACTGGAATGTTTCATTTTTGGACATAAATAATAGTACCTTCTGAAAACGGACCCTCTTATGACGTAGAAACCTCATCTCGCCATAGTTTAAAGAAAATACCAAACGCCCGACGGAGACTGAGGCAACTGATATATTAATTCTTTCAACTGTGATCTCGCGCTAATTCACTCCGTCAGAGGGTTCTGACGTCACATCATCGCCTCGTTTTCAGAGGTCAGAAAAATCGGGGATTTCAATAATTTTTTATAAAACGTAGGGAGCTCACAGCAAGAAACGGTTTGCGGTGGTGAGCTAGTTTGGGTGAGTTCTATTGAATTATGGAATAAAAATTTCTTGTGCTATAAGCTCATTATCACCTTCAACTGAGCTAAAATGAACAGTTATCTAGATATTTTACCCAAAATAGAAGTTTGCATAGTAATTTTTCATCTTCCTCAGTAGTAGAAAATTATAAAAATGTTTGTTTTCTCTTTATGCATGCATATTTTTGCAATTTTCTACTACTGAAAATGATGAAATATTACTATGCAATCTTCTATTTTGGGTCGAATATCTCGAAAACTGTTCATTTCAGTTCAGTTGAAGGTAATGCATTTTTTTTAGCAAAATTGAACAATGAATTCGAGGAATTGGAAATAATTGAAATTTAATCAGTGGTGTTGAAAATATGGGAGGAAAAGTTACCACAACCCCCTGTAGGGCACCACTGGATAAAATGTCCGGAATGGCTTTCTGGTCAAAAAATTACCCATTCAAAGATGTAACCATATACCGAATGCATTATATTCAATTATTCTTGAGATATTGCGGAACAACTATTTTTATTTCTTAACTTTACGCCCTGTATCTCGAGAACTGAACACTTGAAGACCTTATGTCCCGATATCAGTGTCAAGCGATTAATCCTTCAAGTTGGGAAAGTAGGGTATATAAAAGTTGAGCAAGCCAACGTTGCCTTAGTTCATTGTACGGGTGATTGACTATGGATTTCTCGACTTCAACAGCTGATATCTCGAAAACGAAAAAAGATATTCGAAATTTGGAAAAAGTTACATGAATGAGATGTCATTTCCTTCTAGAAAATGTGTTCTCTGCTTGATTTTATCATTTCATATAAAGGGTTTGTGAAAAAAAATGTTTTTTTTCAAATGGATATTATCGCATATTTCGAAAGAGCTATTTTTCCTGATTTTGAAAATATATACTTTTCATATATTCTATAGAGGGCTTGACGAAATATCAGCAAAATTAAATATTAATATATGGTCCAAGTTAGCTATGGTTGAAATAGAATGAGATGATGAATAAGTGAATTGATATTTGGTCAACATTCCAGTGACATAGGTGCGCAAAATTTCGACAATTTTTTTCACGATGCCATATCCACTGGAACAAAGAAGAGATATTTTGGAGTGCTATTTTTCAGTTAATAAAAATCTTGTCTCATATTTAATCTTTCAGATATGACAAGACAAAATTCAATCCGCTTCTCATTATCATCATAATTGAGTTTGTGGCATGGTCTAATTCGGAAATCCCTATCTTTAAGGTATGTTGAACAAAATAATAGCTGAAACCAAACTCTCTCACTGCATTTCTTATTGAATGTGAAGGATCCTCAACAAAATACTGGATTACAAGAAGTTCCTCGTCTTCGTTGTCTTGCCTTCTCACTATTCTCTTGATATTCGACAAACTGGAAGTTCTGTCAAATTAAGCAGCCAAATACTTTACATAATTCTTACTTGGTAATCTCCTGCCTGGATAACTCCTTATAAACTTACGAAGTGTTTCAGCAAGATTTTTATTAACAGAAAAATAGCACTCCAAAATATCTCTTCTTTGTTCCAGTGGATATGGCATCGTGAAAAAATTGTCGAAATTTTGCGCACTTATGTCACTGGAATGTTGACCAAATGTCAATTCACTTATTCATCATCCATCATCATCTCATTCTATTTCAACCATAGCTAACTTGGACCATGTATTAATATTTAATTTTGCCGATATTTCGTCAAGCCCTCTATAGAATATATGAAAAGTATATATTTTCAAAATCAGGAAAGATAGCTCTTTCGAAATATGCGATAATATAGAGGGGGTTCCATTTGAAAAAAAATTTTTTTTTCACAATCCCTGTATATGAAATGATGAAATCAAGCAGAGAACACATTTTCTAGAAGGAAATGACATCTCATTCAAGTACCTTTTTCCAAATTTCAAATATCTTTTTTCATTTTCGAGATATCAGCTGTTGAAGTCGAGAAATCCATAGTCAATCACCCTGTACCAGTATATCACCTGACGAAGCTACTGTGTTTGCGAAACATGTTGTGTGTTCAAGAAGTTTGTGGAAATCTTATCGTTTGTATATTTGCCATGGATTTCCATCAAGTAACGGCCGAGTCAATTAAAAAAAAATCAACTGTACTGTATCTGAAAGGAATCATCCATTACAATCACCTTATCTCAGGTGACCAGCCTCGAGCACATCTCGACGCAAAGCGGCATCGTGTCGGGCGTGGTGGAGAACCTGACGCGGTCGATAGCCCGGCTGTCTGACAACCGCTCGTCGCTGATCGTGTCCGACTCCGATATGGGCTACGTCGACTACCAGACGCGCATGGTGCAGTGCGCCAAGGACGTGGCCAAGATGGCCGGCGAGATATCGACCAAGGCCGCCACCGATACGCAGAAGGTGGCCCAGCTGGCAGCCGATCTGTCGCACAGGTAGGTGTCATCCTCTCTCTTATAACACACACCTTTTGAAATCTATTTATTCATTTCATCTTGATACATTGTATATGTTTGTATAATCAAAACCATTATCTGCTAAATATGGAGAAAAAATCTAGTTAGCTGTAGTATACTCCAAACATCCGGAAACTAGCCTCAGCTACTCATTGGGGAAGTATGCTTCAGTTTTCCAAGCAGAGGTGTACGCAATTCTCCAATGTGCGGAAGAAAATAACAGGAGAGCTGTGGAAAACGAGCAGATCCGTATTATGTCAGACAGTCAAGCGGCACTTAAGGCAATAGAAAGCCAGGAAGTGACATCTCGACTGGTATGGGATTGCAAGAGGGAACTGAGAACTTTGGCAGACCGGAACTGCGTCAAGCTAATCTGGGTGCCAGGTCATCAGGGGATCGCTGGCAATGAGAAGGCTGACGAACTCGCAAGAAGAGGGTCGGACAACGAGCCAGATCCAGGACAGACTCTTGGAGTACCAAAACGTACAGCACGAGGGTCAGTTAAAGACTGGATTCAGGCAAAACATAAGAGCTACTGGGAAAACATCCCAAGAAACAGACATGGGAAACAATACATTAAGGAACCAAGTCATAAACGAACTGTAGACCTGCTCAACTTGAACAGAGCACAGATAAAAACTGTTACGGGACTCATGACTGGCCACGCGCCAGTAAAGGAGCATCTCACCAGAATGGGACTGTACAATGGCGACCCAAGCTGCAGACTATGTGGCAAGGAACCAGAAACAGTAGCACATATACTGTGCCGATGTGAGGCATTGGACCGCAGAAGACAGAAGGTCTTTGGGCAACCAGTTGGCGAACCAGAAATATTCAACTCACATCCAGTGAAGGATTTGTACAGACTTGTTCAAGGTACAGAGATAATGGAGTGGGCACAATAAAGAACATTAGGTAAGATACAATGGGCCACCATCATAGGCCTAAGTGTCGTCGGAGACATGGTCAGACGAGCCTACAAATGGGGTGGAGTTTTTAGTGGGTAAATCCTGGCTAGAGTCAGGGGAGTCCCACACTACCATATGGGGGATAGGACCCATATGGTGTCCATAAAGGATTTAAACCACCTCGACAAAAAAAAAAGTATCTGGTCTGCTCAGACGAGGGAAATCACCTACAGGTTTCTGTGGCCGATACAGTAGTGCCACCATACGGCCAACTCGAGGAAACACTTATTTCAATTGTTTTCCTGTCGAACCGACATAACCTTGAAAATCGTAAACGAGTTGAGCGGTGCTCTCGGCAGTATCGGCCGGCGGCGTAGTTTGATCAGTGACTAATGTATCCACTTATGCCGCAAAGAAATATCACTTGCAAATCCATGGAAGGAGACGGTTTCATAAGTTCTGGTAGGCACAATATTTTAGAGACAGTTAGTAACAAAGTATCAATCAGAATGAACTACCATAAAACTGATAATAACAGAAAACTATAAACGAAAGGAATATTAGAACAACGAAAATTGAAAAAGAAAGACTGTTTTAGGGGAAATACAATACAAGTCACGATGGCACGACAACTCTTGACACTGACAACTTACATAACCACAAATTTCGAACCTTTTCTCGAAAAAAGTGAAGATCATTTCGTCCGATACGGTAACATCCTCTGGTGGTCATACACTCAAGTGAGCTATAGAGCAGACTAGTGGTTACAGCTCACTAGATTTTTTCTCCATATATTTAGCAGACAATGATCAAAACCTATATTAACATGTAAATATAAAACATAAATGAAACCACGAGTGGTCCAGGGGGGCGGTAAGATTTACATGATGGAATTCGCTGGCGAACCACGTCCTAGGACTATGTCCTCGTAGGCGAGTTGCTCGGGACGAGCGGTAGTTCAAATGTGCAGATTGATGAGCCTCTTTCTCTCAGCGAATAATGAAAGCAATTTTTAATGAAAGAGGGTGAATGTGGGCACTGCTTTATAGGTTACGTGGATTTCGTGACAGGCAATGTCAATTGAATATAATAATAATAATAATCCGTCTTTATTTCCTCAAAAGAATATTACATAGTAACATGAGGCATAGGTGGTATGTGCATCAGGCGAAGTTTAGCTAGGAAGCTATTCTTACACTTAACCTGTGCTCGACTTATAACCTAATCCTAATACTAATCCTAAAAACCTAAATCTAGCTTGACATCTACATTTTAACTTATTGTCTCACATGTAAAGTATGATTCAACAAATTGCTCTTAATTTTTTTACGGAATTGCGTCGATGGTGATTGTTTGAATTATATTGGAAATGAATTATACAGTATAACCGAGTTGTATGTGAAGCTTCTTTCAAACAGAGACGTGGTATGATGAGGCATTGTTGATTTTAGCTGATGTCTAACATTTATATTGCGGACATTTTGTCTGAAAATGAGTTTTTCTCTAAGGTAATCCTTAAGCAACTTGTGAATGAAATTAAAGAAATAATATTTTGAGGAATTGCTCACATCTAACCACTGAAGTTCCCTGAGTTTATGGGACACATGATCATATTTTCTCAAATTGAAAATGAGTCGACAACATGTATTCTGAATTTTCTGATGTTACAATGCTGGAAAATTGACAATATGAGACACTCACATAATTGTTTTCTCAGATTTAAACTCATGATGGTCTTGTTTTTGAAGAGCAATATCAATCGTGCATATGAGCGCTGTATTAATGTCTTGACATGTTCGACAAATCTTAATTTTTCTTCAATGGTCAGTCCTAAATTTTTCGATGATGTCGAGTATTCTAAAGATGTATCCTCTATGTGCAATTGTATACTTTGTTTGAGCTGTTCTCTCACGCCTTCAGAACAAAATAAGGTAGCTACACTTTTGGTGGAATTCAATGTTAAATTATGCTGAACAGAATATTGACTGATGGCTTGTAAATCGCAATTTATTTCCTCACATTTATCAGTTGCAACAGAGGGGTCAAAATGATGGACAAGTTGACACACAACTGCATAAGTTTGAAGATTTGAAAATTTTATTTTATCATAAATGTCTGCTGTATATATCAAAAATAAAAGAGGACCAAGAATGGACCCTTGAGGAACACCGGAAATAATGTGAGCTGGGCACGTCAAAACATCATATAAGCACTAACTCACAGTTCGTATCTTGTATGTTCTGTATTCGTAGAAAAGTTCAGGAGTATGGAGCTTTTCACAGTGCCACTACCGTCTAAAAATCAATAAAGAAAGAAGAACTTCACAGTCCTCTAACGTTTTCTCCTCAAAGGTACGCCCAGCTGGCGGCGGACAGCATCGGGGCGGCCGCCTCATCCACCAACGGCGAGGTGGCTGTGCGACTCAGGGAGGTCGTTCAGCAGCTGGGCGGCGCATGCGTCGACCTCGTGCACGTCAGCGGACAGTGTCTCGTACGCAAAGACGACATCGTGCTGCGCGAAGTGGGCGAATGCTCGCGTAACGTGTGCGAGAAGGTGTCCAGGGTGCTGGCGACGCTGCAGTCTGGATCGAGGGGCACGCAGGTAAACATGATAATAATAATAATAATGAAATGTTCGTATTTGGAGAAGCTGGCAATGAAAAAATTACAAAAACTGTCTTCATTGATTGATTGATTGATTGATTGATATGTTTAGGCGTGCATCAACGCCGCCTCAACCGTCTCGGGCATCATCGGCGACCTCGAGACCACCATCATGTTCGCGACGGCGGGCAATTTGAACTCGGAGAGCGAACACGAGTCGTTCGCAGATCATAGAGAGAACATCCTGAAAACGGCCAAGGCGCTGGTCGAGGACACGAAGACGCTGGTCGCCGGGGCTGCAGCTTCGCAGGAGCAGCTGGCCGTGGCCGCGCAGAATTCGGTCGAGACGATCGGTAAGCAACTCGGAATGAATTAGAATAGATAGACATCGCCACACATTCATGAATCATTGAAAAGTAAACGCCGAACATGGATAAATGAATGGAATCATGAATGGTGGGGATAATAACAAACACTTGTTCATTTTCGGGTGAGTGCTCAGACTTAATAGCAATAGACGTCGCAATTTGTTCATAAATCATTAAAAAGTGTACGCCAATCAATCTCAGACACCAAACATGGAATATGAATGGACTCGTGAATGGTGGGGATAATAATAATTCTGTATTGAAGAGAGTCAATGGGATGAGGAACATAGGCATAATATTTGATGTTACACTAACTATTAGAAGTCATATTACTAAGGTAGTGAACACTGCTTCAATAAACTAAGGTTTAATTACTAGGAACAGTAAACAATTCTCTCCTGAAACACTTAGTTCACTTTATTGCCATTTGGTCAGACCTTCACTATAGTATGGTTCCATCATTTGGACACCATTTTATCAAATACATATTGATAGTTTGGAACGAATTCAGAAAAGGGTTATCACGTTGTTCATATAAACTACCCAAATATCTCAATGGATCTTAATCTCCCAATTTTAGAAAATCGTAGATTAGTGTTGGATATGTGTCTCCTATATAAATTGGACAATGGCCTTATGAATTCTCCAGATCTAGTTAGTTTGATTAGATTCAATTCGCCGGCCAGAACAAGAAAGCCTCCTTTATTTTCCTTAACCTTTCAGTCAACGAATTATGGCAACAATAACCCTATTTCAAGGCTTCAAAAGAATTATGTTCTTCAAAATCATTGTGACCCATTTTGTGTCAGTCCTAAGTAAATTCAGAACTAATGTGAAAATAATTATGAATACCTAGTTAATGTAATAAGTATAACTTAGAGGCCAACCCTAAACACCAAACACGGATAAATGAATGAAATAGCGAATGGTGGGGATATAACAGAAAATAATAATCATCGATAAAATTCGAGAGCTTTTTTTGACGAAGTAAACTTGACATTTCAATGACAATTCTGTTGCCTGAAAATTTGTTGAATCTGTTATGAAACCTCTCGAATCTCTTCAAAATAAAGCCATAAATAGTAGAAGTAGTAGATTTTAGCTCCAGGTTGTGTTGTCAGAGTCAGTGTTGGAGACAAAAAACCGTGAGCTTTTTATTTATTATATTTTTTGTTTGTTTCCCTCTATAAACATTGTATGTTTCTTGGGATCAATACATGTTATTATTATTATTATTATTTCCGTTTTGAAGAGAATTCGTACAGCGACATCAATTAGAATAAGATGTAACCTTATGTTGCGATTTTCAACTGTTTATTGCGGTCAAGTTTATACAAAACAAAAGCGCATCAGTGCAGACACCATATCACTCATTAACATCTCACTATTAATAAATATTCTCCAGTCCAACTCGCCGAGGTAGTGAAATTCGGCGCGGCCAGCCTGGGATCTGACAACCCCGACTCGCAAGTAATGCTGATAAACGCCGTGCGCGACGTTGCCAGCGCTCTCGGCGACCTCATCCACGCCACCAAGGCCGCTAGCGGCAAGCCGATCAACGATCCGGCCATGGGCCATTTGAAGGACAGCGCTAAGGTACGATATCATCGAAGGATGGTGCTTAGATAGGATAGGTTGTTTTATTTTTTGCTGTTCACTAATCTCTTTTTTTTTCCTAATAAATGTTTGTTTGGAAGTGAGTTTTGTTTAGGGCTAAAGCGCGAAAGGGTGTGGGCAGGATACTTTAATTTTGTACTCATTTGTTCATTCAAGCTGAATATAGTTTTTTTATTGAAAGAAATATTGGTTGGTAATTTTTTTGGAAACTGTTTCATGTTTGCCTTATGTAATTTATCTGAGAGTGAAGTGTGACATAAGTATTACATATGAATATCAGATTAAGCGATGTAGAGAAGAAAAACACAATGTCTACAAACTGGTTTTCCTACATGGAGTTCGAATTTAAAGTTAAATCTTACTTTCGGTGAGGACTAACCTATTGGTTAGTTATTAGTTAGATGTTTTTCAAGATTTTTGGTATTTTCTCTCCTCTTTTCTATTAAATGATAATGTATTATTTCAATATACGAGTATAGTGTGGACAAATCGAATGATTGCCCCCAAAATTTCTCTGTGTTTAAAAATGTCACTATAAGAGAGCCTAGAAAAAAAATTCTATTGATTCTCAGTGAAAAAACATAGAAGAATTGAAAAATTTCATTCTTGTCAATTTTTTAATGCAGTGACGTTTTTTTGGGTAAGTTATCTGATTTATCCTCAACTCACGTATATTGAAATAACAATTATTATTTCATAAAGACGACGAGAGAAAATTCCAAGAAATCTGGAAGAATAAATGTACCACCTCCTCGATTAACCTACAGATAGGTTGGTTTTTAGTTTAGTTTTTTGACAATACTGATGCTAATTATCTAACATTTAATAGGTATATGATATGCTTCAAACGAGACTGGCGGAAAATGAGATAATTTACGGAATATGGTTTTCAAAGTGTATTTATGGATAACAATGGTTTTAGATAAGTTTCATTCAATACATAACACCCCATCTAATGATCACATATGATAATATACAGTGGGTCCACAGATTAGCGAAACAACTTGAATAAAAAGGTGAACATTCTCAATTCCAGTTTTCATGTATGACAAAATTTTCAATCAAATTTTCTTTGTTTTTATGTGGCATATTCTTTTAAATCATAGTCAATATGATATATACTGTGATTTTGAGCATTTTTTCTGAATAACTTTTCACATAATTGCTATTCGAAGTTCCTTGGAATGAATTTGAAGAGGGAATTGAAAAATCACTTATCCAAAGATTTCGTTGCTTCAAATAAAATTTTTCTCAATAACTCCCTCTACTGTATACGACATACAAGTCTGAAACTTTTTATTTTACCTCCGATTTATCAGAGGAGTGAACCCAAACGAAAGAAAACTGTAGTCGAGATTTTTTAACCTTCTACTAAAGTCGTTATACCATCAGAGACCCATTACAGATTGAAGAAAAAAGTATTATTGTGGAAGTGACAGAACAAATTAACTTTTATTGTTCAATGGTAAGTATTCAGTTGATTCATTCAGGGGTAATATCCGGCTTCAGCTTGGGAGTATTGTTCGGTCGTAATCGGAAATATGTCGCCTATAATAAGTCTGTTGTCAGTTGAAAAATCTCACTACACTAACTCAGATATGCATGCGCGTTATACTAATTGTATTGTTTTCTGGGAAGTGGACTTTAAATAATAATCGATAAATTAATATGGCGTGCATGCTATTATTTGTGAATCTTAACGAAATTTCTGAACTGGGGTTTTCAAAACATGTTATGTTGTTTAAAGTCCACCAAAGCTACTTTTAGATGTTTAATAGTTTTTGTAGTTCAAGATTTTTCCAGAATGTCTCATTTTTTTAATCTGGAAAAATCTCTATTTTTTCTGGTGGTGATACTTTATTAAGTACATGTTTTGATTGGCCCTCAGGTGACGGATTCGGAAACTGATTGGTGGATTTCCGATCAAGAGGAGGAATTGTTGAGGCTTTTGAGTGACAGCAAGGAGAACGTTAATTCCGATTTGCAAACCGATATTGTTCCGTGTTTAGTTACTGCTACATCTTGATCAAACAAGGAACAAATCTTTCATATATTATATTCTCTGTGTGATGCTTCTGACCAACTAGTTAGTGTTCTAAATGATTAAGTTCTAGTTTGATTTGTTTATTGGAAACCATGTCAATTGTTCGAAATTTTATATTGGCAGTGACTAAGTTTATTTTCCTATTTATTTAATAAAATTCGTGTGCTACCAGGCTGTTTCAATTCGACACAATTTTTCCTTTCTCAGATTCGAACTCGGTATGTATATTGTGGTTGTGTTGCGCATCAAAATGTTACCATCACCGTTGTCCCTCCCTTCTATTCTGAAATAACAATTCTTTCAGGTCATACCCCATTGCTTCGATATAGTGTGTTTGTCTAAAAGCATGTTATGTCTTTTCGAATATCGTGTGCCATTTATGATTCATCGACTTCTTTGCAGGTTATGGTGACTAATGTGACGAGTTTGTTGAAAACCGTGAAGGCAGTGGAAGATGAACATACGCGAGGTACCAGGGCTTTAGAATCTACCATCGAAGCCATTGGACAAGAAATGAGGGTAACTATAAATCTTTCACTGAGTTCAATTTTCATGAATTTATCCACCAGTCCTCCAAATTCTATCGATAATTTTTTTCCAATTATTTTAATTTGCAAATATTAGACATTATTATAAATCTCTGTTCACTGACCCAAACTATGTCTGCTGGTTTACTGAATAATGTCAATATCATTTTAGGCCAATCAAATAATTATATTTTGAGGAATTAATTTCCAGCAAGCTGGAAATCATTTAATTACCTTCATTCGGTCCCAAATGCGTGTAATCCAAGTTTGCACCATTCCAGGAGTTGAGCTTTTTTGCTTATAGCTGCAAAATGGTTCATCGGTCGAAAAATGTCATTCTATTCAATAATATAGAAGGCAAAATTCTGCGTCGAATGACATCTGAAAACATCAAATTCCGTTTAGTAGTATAGCCGAAATCGAATGTTAAAAAAGAAGAAAATTTCGTAGTTCGGTGCAAGCTTACATTTTGCGGCTTTCCAAGACGACATATCGTGAAAACAGATACTCCTATTGAAAAAACCCATAAAATAAAAGTTGTAGAGAATAAAATTTCACGTTATATAGATAGATGTCCAAATGTTTAAGTTTTCTTGATTTGTCCAATGATCCGGATATCTGAATGCCCGGTTCAGCTTCGGTCCCAAATTTGCATCAATTTATAATTATTTTTCATCTAGTGCGCGAAATGCTACTTTGGTGATCGAGAGCTGATTTTTTTAACGAGGCGCAGCCAAGTTAAAAAATAGTCGAAATCACCAAAGTATTTCGCGCACGAGTTGCACCGAACTACGAAATTTTCTTTTTTTTAACATTCGATTTCGGCTATACCTCTGAACGGAATTTGATGTTTTCAGATGTCATTCGACGCAGAATTTTGTCCTCTGTATTATTGAATGGAATAACATTTTCCGTCCGACGCACCGTTTTGCAGCTATAAGCAAAAAAATAAAAAAAGTGCAAAAATGTGGCGGTTTTTTGGCGATCAAAAGTTAAGCTCACCACCTGACATGGTGCAAACTCAGATTACACGCATTTAGGACCAGATTGAGGTATTAAAACGATTTCCAGTTTGCTGGAAATTAATTCCTCAAAACGGTTTTTTTCGATTTAATTTTATTAGCCTATTTGTCTTAATTAAATATTTGTCAATATGGACGATTTCAGGCTGAAGTTTTATCTTCTATTCCCCTATAACCATGATACTAAAAATGGTTTTAGTATAATGCTCTATAACTGTACCTACCAGAGATAGAGAAGATTATTATGTGACTATTTGTTAGATTTCTCCCACTGGATCACTTTTCTGAGAAACATCGGTTTGTTATCACTTAGATTTTATGTTCCTCAGTTGACAAACTACCTATTTAGGTATGATTCTTAGAGAGAGTCAAAATATTAAGGTTAATAAGCAGTTCCTGCCTTTATATTCTTCGCTTGGATGTCATCATATCAATAAAGTTTAAACAATAATGTTTCATAACAACACCGATGAGATCTAGTAGGCATGTCAGTGATTTCATCAGGCGGTGGCTATAAGACAAATGCCAAAATCAAAAAGAGATATATAGTATGTTCCGTAAACCAACTAGGTTATTTCGGTTGATAGTTTTCCGTTCGGAAATATGATATGCTCGGTTGGTTTCTGGAGAAAAGATAATTTAAGGAATCCGGTTGCTGTCAATCACAACGAAAATCAATATTCCCATTTTAATTATTGCGTTAAGTTCTGATTGATTAGTTTGCTGATGTAAATTGATAATATTCGAAATAATTTCAGTTTGATGAAGTTTTTTTTTCAATTTGGTCACTACATCCTTTGCTTATGCTTACTGTGCCAAAGAATTAGGAACTTTTGGGTGCTATAATTGAAAATCAAATACTGGCAGAGCAAAACCGATCAGATCTATAATCTGACAAAAGACTGTCATTCTGTAAATTAACCTCAACCATAGTCACCTCCACTGTCAAAATTATTGGTACCGGCTTTGAAAGTAGTAATAATCGGTAACCTCGGTTGAGTTACGGAACATATCCTGTATGAGAGCAGAAATTGACTGAAATTACAAGTTTGACAATGACATAGAACAAAGACATTGAAATTACAAAAAATAAAATGAGATGAGAAATCTTGATTTCTTACAAATTAAATTATGTAATTCCAGAGAGAATTGATGGACTGAGAGTTGATGAATTATATTTTTTCCTATTCTTCCACATTTTTGCTGAAAATGGGGAAAATCGCATTGCAATGTGATTTCAGAATAATAATAGGTTATGAACCAGACGTTTTTTTTTCTGGATGCTTGTCCTGTCTCCAGATACACCTCAGCCTCCTGTGATTTTTGTGCAATCCAGTTTGGTTTTAGAGCACCCATTCCGTAGCTCTTATCCCCTGCACAAGTCTGTACATGTTCTTCACCGGTTGACTGTTATATTCTTCGGGAATTGGCCTGGACTGCCCGAATATGTCTTGTTTTTTGCGATCCAGTGTCTCGCACACTTTTCTGTCCCTTTTCCGCATGGCCTGCAGAAAAGTTCCCCTAGTTAATAATAGTTATTTATACACCAAGGTAGATAAGAATATCATTATTACCCAGGGACTGAGATTGTATACCGAGGCTTCAGCCGAGGGGTATAATAAGGTCCCGTGGTATAATATTCTTTGCAAGTAAGTTGTATATTGAATTTTTTTACCACTAGCAATACTATGTCAATCATTATAGTTCTGTGGAACTGAAAAATGTACCTATTGCCACTACCAAATCACTTATTTTCAATTCCACAAGTCGTTATTGATAAACACCTACTAGATTCGAGTGTCATTCCTACGAATCTCGCATCAGAACTGTGAATTCAAGATAATTATAACGAAGATGAACATACGCGATCATTATAGTTCTGTGGAACTGAAAAATGTACCTATTGTCACTACCAAATCACTTATTTTCAATTCCACAAGTCGTTATTGATAAACACCTACTAGATTCGAGTGTCATTCCTACGAGTCTCGCATCAGAACTGTGAATTCGGGATAATTATAACAAAGAGTTCATAAAATGACGAAAACTACCTTGGTACGCCTTGAAAAAGGTTAAATAATGGTAGTTTATATAGCAAGTGGGGGAAAAAATACAAAACCTATTAGTCCACGACTTGAATAGGAGTAAGTAGGGCTACGTACTAGGTCTATTGGTAGAAATATCAATTTTCCTAACAAGTACGGAAAGTGATACTTTCCCACACGCGAATGCCGTTAGCGGAGTTCGGGCGAGCATTTAAGTGCGGGAAAGACACTTTCTGCATGAGTTAGGAGCACGATTTTTTCTACAAGTGTAGGAAATTGATTTGTTCAATCAATCATTCCTGCAAATAGGAACAACTAACAAAACCGTTTGAAGCATTATGTAGGTAAGCTGATTGCGGAAGCCAGCATGCCCATGTTGTTTGGCCTCTAGGTTTCACACATTACTAGGAAATTAGCCAAAAGTACATCTTCTTCATTTGGTGTTTCCACTTTTTTACTATTGCACCATTCAATAAATCCTGTGTAGTGTTTCTCATACCTTCCTAAGACTTCGTTGGCAATAATTCATCTGTATCACATCTGTAGCTGGACGTTTTCCATCGCAATTCCACTGAATCGAAAATGACAGTAACGCTCTGTCTGTCACTATGAGAATTACACTAACTAATTTGTGTTTTGATTGATATGACGAATATTGTTTCCCACATCAGATCAATTAAAGGCTATAGGAGGATTTATATAGCAATCAATTATTATTTTTAATATTCCTTCATTTTCACAATGAATAGTACAATTTGTTGGACGATTTTGTACAAAATCACTAAATACTGCAACAAAAAAAACTAAAATTTTCATATTGTGTCACCCACCACTCATATACATATAAATGTCTTTTCCGTACTTCTGCGGGAAAATTACACTACCCAAACTAAATTGCGTGCGGGTTTAGGGTGAATAACGCACGCTTGTAGAATAAATTTTTTATCTAATGGTAATATCCTTCAGGCTTTGTATTCGAGCGACGGCTGCCGACAAGGCGTGACCCCAGAGGACCTGATCCGCTGCACTAAATCCATAACGAACGCCACTGCTAAATGCGTCTCAGCAGGAATCAGCAACAAGCAGGACGACATCATAGCGGCGGCCAACCTGTCGCGCAAGTCCATCTCGGACATGCTGGCCATATGCAGGTAGGGATTGTTTGTTTGATTGATTGATTTATTGATTGCCCTTTTTACCGCAAGAAACATCGTTGTTGATACAGTTACTAGTCTTATTTACCCTCCAAAGCATTTCATGGAAAATCATTCGGGGAGACCACTGATTTTTTTGAAACGACATTATCGTCCGCTCTGTAACAAAAAACTGAATCGAAAATGACAGTAACGCTCTGTCTGTCACTCTGAGAATTACACTAACTAATTTGTGTTTTGATTGACATGACAAATATTGTTTCCCACGTCAGATCAATTAGAAGCTATAGGAGGATACTGCAACAAAAAAAAACTTAAATTTTCATATTGTGTCCGCACTACTGCTGGAAAATGACACTTCCCAAACTGAATTGCGTGCGGGTTTAAGGTGAATAACGCACGCTTGTAGAAAAATGATTTATTGATTGCCCTTTTTACCGCAAGAAACATCGTTGTTGATACAGTTACTAGTCTTATTTACCCTCCAAAGCATTTCATGGAAAATCATTCGGGGAGACCACTGATTTTTTTGAAACGACATTATCGTCCGCTCTGTAACAAAAAACTTCCGTAAATATATTTTTGAATTTTTTATTCAGGACGATAAACAATAAATTGAAATATATAGATAAAGATAGTAATGTTTCTTCACAGCACTAATGAGTTTGTTTCCAGTTCCTAAATTCAAATTGCATCAATGAATTGATCTAAGCTATTATTGCAAGTTATCTACTCCTGTGTATAACTCCCGGTTAATTTCACTATTGATCTTGATATTATCTAAGATTGGCTGAGAATTCTGATATGATGTGAATGTCATGTATTTTGTTCTATCGAAATGGATAGTCAACAAATTTTCATCAAATCAATTTTTGATAGTTGAAAAATCATCGATTACCAAACTTTTCATTCTCTCCAATTTTTGGCAGAGTAGAGAATAACAGTGTCATCAGCAAAATAATGTATGATACCTTTTTATTTCAGTTGGAATAAATCATTAAGATAATTATAAAAAAGAAGTGGGCCTAGAACACTTCCATGAAGGACAATATATTCAAAACATTTTGGATCGTAGTTGTAACAGTTCGATAAATAATTTCTCTACTGTCCTCTTTTGCAGGGGCGCAGCTTGCGACCTCGCGGAGACCGAGGAGCTTCGTAGAGAGACCCTGAACACCGGCCACGACTGCGCGAAGCAGTTCAGGGAGTTGCTGATGCTGGTATTGCAAGGCAACGGCTCGGCGGACGGCAAGCAGACGCTGTCTCTGGTATCCAGGAAGATCGCTCAGAGCGTCACCGATTTGCTCAGCATAGCTAAGAAGCTGAAAGGTGAGTTTGCCTTGTTCACTTTTCGTATAGTACTTGGAAAACATGGGAAAGTGGCTCTCGGTCATAGGTGTGTTTAGATCCGAACATTCATTCCTGTTAAAATGAGAGGACTCCTTGATGCAGAACGCCTTGGGGATCACGTCATATACACCGCCATTTTCTGAGCAAGTACTACTTACCATTAGCAAATTCTCCGTTTTTATTCAACTCAAAATGAGTTTATTCTTCAAAATAAATAACGAGTTTGAACATTTACTCAGTTATCATTCGTGGTTCGGCTGCCGAGACGCTGCTTTTGGTACCTTTAGTACAAAATAAATTGCGATGCGTGCTCGGCAGGAATCATAAAATGTTATAAAAACACAATTTCAACGCATATAACAAATCATTTTCATCAAAAGGTCTCACACCTAAATAGCGACATGCAACTGATTGAGACTGGGGCAGATATTTGTTTGGAAACATATTTGGCAAACATTTTTTGACGTGACGGCACAATGCAATGTATTCAAATGGAGTTATGTTCTGTTTCAGGTTCCGACTGGGTAGACCCTGACGATCCTACTGTGATAGCGGAGAACGAACTTTTAGGAGCTGCAGCTTCCATCGATGCTGCTGCTAAGAAGCTCGCTAGTCTTAGACCCAGACAAAACATTAAGGTTAGTAATAAACATTGAATTTCCTTTCTTTTGATTCGATGTCTTCAAAATGTAATTTGCTGAAGAAGAAAAGAAGAACATTGTGTATTCCTGTGAGATATGTTTGATATTCTTGGTTGTCGATTCGAAAACACCCAGGAGTCAAACATATTATTACAGTGGTACACGTATCATCATCTGGCATGATTTTCAATCAGTACAATATGAAAATATGACTGTAACTATTTGTTCATCTAGATTTATTTCTTCAATTTGTTGAGTATATGGACCTGTTTTCTGATGCAAAACTATTTCCTAGAATATTGTGTATTCATAATCTCTAGGAGTGAAAATGAATTAAGTGTATTACTGGATATTATTTTATTATGGCGCTGCTGGTAGGAAACATTGTAAGAGTGTGTTGTTTCTTTATATAGAATTGTATTCAGAACAATGTTTTTTTTTTGTAAGTAAATTGAATTCCATTCAGTCAGTCGGACATAAACGTAGTTTTGTTGGATATATCAAAATCCAAGTGATGCAGTTGGTAGGACGCCATCCCAATCCCGTATTCCTCAGCAATATCAATAATATCGTCCATTTGCAGGCCCAGGACTTGTAGTAGTATGAATCATCATGTTCCACCTCCTCGTTTAACCTCCACACAGTATTTATGAATCATTAATATTGTATTTATTACCCAAGAAACATTTTTGTTTATAATAGGGATACATGAATACATGAAAAATATAACAAAGGGTTAATTAATGAATTCCACACTCTGGAATCAATTTAATATTCTTTCTTAAGATGAAAGTTTCAGCATTTTATTTCTGAGTTATCAAATCATGACACTTATTTTTCATTCAAATTGTCCTGAGCAAGTATTTTATGAAATTGATTGATTTTAAACCTTCTTGTATCCTGTATATTTTTTAAATCATTTGGTAAATTGTATAAAATTATTCCATTGTGATATACAGATTGTTTGCCAATGTTCGACTTTGGTGTATTTGCTTTACTCAATACTTGTTGGAGGTATTAGACAAAAATGACCAAGTGGACGTCATCTATACGGATTTTGCTAAGGCCTTCGACAAAGTTTTCCATAAAATACTACTGCATAAGTTGAAATATGGATTTGGATTTCACAATGATCTGCTGTCTCTATTAGCATCATACCTATTGAAACGAAAACAAAAAGTGGTGGTAAGAGGATATGATTCTGAATACTTCGTTGCATCTTCAGGTGTCCCTCAGGGATCTAATTTGGGTCCATTGTTGTTTATTCTGTTTGTGAATAACCTGCCAGAGGTGATAAATGGGTCACAGGTTCTACTCTTTGCTGATGACCTGAAAATATTTAGGACAATCAGGACTGACCAAGATTGTCATATACTGCAATCCAATATAGTTTCACTTGATGTTTGGTCAAAAAAGAATGAACTTTTTTTCAGCGTGAGCAAATGTTATCTAATGACTTACACCCGTAAGAAGAACGCCCTCATATTTAATTATACTATGGAAGGGGTAGCGCTAGCCAGAGTTGATGAAATGTGTGACCTGGGAGTGACATCTGATGCTGAACTTTCATTTCGAGCGCATATCGCGAATGCAACGCGGAAGGCGTCAAAAATGTATGGATTTATTGTTCGTAACACGTGGCAATTTACAAATATTGACTCTATAAAGATATTGTATATTTCATTCGTGAGGAGTATACTAGAATATGGAGCAATCATATGGAATCCCAAGTTCTTGCGATTTCTGCATTACAAAGAAACTGGGCACTACAACAATGATTCAAGGGCGTCACTTCTACTTGAATATAATTTATCTTCTCTTGAGAATCGAAGAACAGTCTCCAGTATGCTGTTTCTTTATAATCTGATACATGGCAATGTGGATGACGTCTGTCTTCTATCACAAATCAACTTCAATGTACCAGCATATTCTACACGTGTAACGACCACATTTTATATATTTTGCTTTTGGGTGTGTGATAACTTGACATTCATCATACAGGGCGTGGAAATGAATTCAGAATTGAGACTCTATCACGAATGCGATTAGAGGTCTATAAAAATCACAAGTTTCCATCGTTCAAGTTTGAACCCCCTGATTGGGTATAAAAGTGTTGAAAAGAAATATTCTCAGATAAATTATGAACATACAAAAATGGATATATATTTATATAAAGCAATACATTGAGTATTCGCATATAGCCAGGAAAGTAGTTGTTTTCTATTGAATTAACTGAAAAAGAGTAAATATTCTCATCACATAGAAAATGCGAATTCTCAATGCATTGCTTTATATAAATATATATCCATTTTTGTATGTTCATAATTTATCTGAGAGTATTTCTTTCCAACACATTTTATATAGATTCTCATCGTACGAATATACACTGCTGGTCCTTCAAATACTATATGTGTAATACATACAATGGTATATCTCAATCTTGTGATATTTGCTCGTTGAGTTTGAATAGATTTTGATCTAGGATATATGATGAACTGTAAGATGTTTATTAAGTGACTGCAATGTAAGTCTATTATATTATAAAAGTAACTATTGTGAGCTAAGGTATCTTCCGACTCTGTAATTGGGGCAACCTGTTGAGTTTGTAAATTGAAATGAGATAAAATAAGTAATTCAATTGTCTAGTCCCATAACTGTAGACTGGATTGACTTCATCAAAAGTTCAATTTGATATTTTCAATTTATTCCTGGCAAAATAAATAAAACATATTTTAAGTTTATATAACGAAATCAGGTTCAGAAAATGTCTACCTTTGTATAAATTTACCATTGGTTCTGGAAAATGTAGATGAAAAATGCATTAAATTGATTTGTTTAGTAATTTCCCTAGTGGTCTTAGGCGTGATATGTTTGTACTCCCAAAACGTTTCTTCATTAGTATTGGCGCAGTCGGTAGGATAACTACCAATAAAATCGCACATTTTCCAGACGCAGGACCTGGACGAGTCGCTGAACTTCGACGAGATGATCCTGGAGGCGGCCAAGTCGATAGCGGCGGCGACGTCGGCGCTGGTGCGGGCCGCGGGCGCCGCCCAAAGGGAGCTCATCGATACGGGCAAGGTGGCGGGTGCGCCCGCCTCATCTTCGGACGACGGGCAGTGGTCGGAGGGGCTGATCTCGGCGGCAAGGCTGGTGGCGGCCGCCACGCACAGTCTGGTCGAGAGCGCTAATGCGCTGGTGCAAGGTGAGTCGGTGGTGTGCTCGTTTATACAGGGTGTTTCTTAAGTACGCATGTTGCTGACGTCAAAGTAAAAAGAAAAGTTCGTCAGAGTCTCATTTTTGTTTTTTGTCAATACATTTCAAAATAATTGTGATATTCAAATGAAGTTTGGTATCTCAAGGTATTTTTCGATGGCAATATCAAATTTTTTTCTTTGTTTGTCTCTTTCGTGGGGGTGACGCCACCTACATGTCTTTTGAGTCTTTTGAAAAGTCATAACTTTTTTGTGCGTATCTGTATGACGTTTTATAGTAAAAAAATAGATTTCTAAAACATTTTTGTGTGAAAATTATATCACTGGTAGAGGTGGCTGCGAGCAACTGTTTTCGAGTTATTGGGATTTGAAATAATCGTTGCATTTGAATTATTTCCATGGGGTTCGTTGGTCGCCTCTAAGTAGTAAATATCAGGAAAGATACGTCAGTGCATTTTTCATCTTTCATTCAATATTCTCCTACATTCAACATTGGAATACCGGCAAAAGATAATTCTCTCCCAATTCAAAAAAGTAACAATCAAATGAAAGAGTCTCTCAACATGGACTACCGAATCACCAGAGATTCAGAAACCTTTTTCAGCGTCTTATGGAGTCTGGATCCTTTAAAAAAGCTCCAGTGATAGGCAGACCGTTGACTACGCTAGAACTTCAGAGATTGAAGAAGCCGGTCTTCTGGCAATCGAAGAAGATCCACAGACAAGCACGAGAAAAACTGCGCAAAATCTTACGAGCCCCATGGAAATAATTCAAATCAACTGATTTAGAAATCCGAAATGAGTTCATTGCAATAAAGTCATATAACCTGTGTGTGAGAGATAATATTTCCAATTTTCATTTCAATGCTGAATATATTGGTGAAAATCAAAGACAGAGAAAGATATATGGATATACTCTTCCCAGGACTGATGGAGGAAGGAAGATGCGAGGATCCTTCATCTAAGCGAAAAACATATGCTTGTCCTTGTCTGGCAAAACATATGATTTGCTTCAAAATCGTTTGGGGTTATGTTTGATTGTCACTGCTTGCCTAGTGTCCGTACTCTAATGGGTTGCGTGCAAGAACTGTCAGATGACCGACATTGGAGGCAAAATATTGAAACACAACGTCACTTTTCTTATTTGTTTACAAGTGATCGAAATAGTTTTCCACAATTATTTTGGCATATGAATCGTATTTTCCGCTATTCATCAATTCGCTCATGCCATCACATTGTGCTGTTGTAAAATGCACAAAAACTGCAGCGTAAGATGAAGGAATCCGGATGGTACATTATGATTTAAAAGTAAGTACCTACTATAGTCACTCACATATAGTTTTCATTTTTGAAATTTGGTTATTTCTCTGATTTCTCATCGGAATTCCTTCTGCAATAAGATCTAATAGAAATATACCTGAAATTTCTAGAATAATGCAAGGAGATTGGATTCATGCAATCAATCGGGAGGACTGGTCTGACATGCTGACGATCGTGTGTGTTGTAGACATTTTCAATCTATTAGCAGTATTAGCTTGTATTGCAGAAGTGACAGAAGGCAGAAGGAATTTTAATAAGGAATGACAACATTTCATAATGATAACTATGTGAGATTACTATTTACCTGAAAAATCATATTCTTTAGTCTTTTGCTGCATTTTTTGTGCATTGTACAACAGCACAATGCGAAGTCATGCTTGAATAATTAATGAATAACGCAAGAAACACGATTCGTATGCCAAAATATTGTGAAAAACTATTTCAACCTTTTGATTCCTCTCTAAACAAATAAAAAAGTGAGGTTGTGTTTCAATAATTCACAGAATAGTGAGGTTGTGTTTCAATATTTTCAATAGAATGAAGAGATTTTGTATTTCGTGTAAATTTTTTTAATTATAAATCGCAAAGCGCTTTCGGCTAAAAAGCCATCATCAGTGCTATACTCGTCAAGTATTTACAAAAAGGTCCAAAAATTAGTGATCACAAACATCATTATGGTACAAACGGGATTATGAACAGACATACATTTAACAAAAATGTTCCCTAAAGGGTTATTGTAAAATTTTTTTCAAAAATACATGTTGAGATTGTTTTGTTCAAGTCCAGAAAAAAATCATTTTTTTCTGGACTTGAACAAAACAATCTCAACATGTATTTTTGAAAAAAATTTTACAATAACCCTTTAGGGAACATTTTTGTTAAATGTATGTCTGTTCATAATCCCGTTTGTACCATAATGATGTTTGTGATCACTAATTTTTGGACCTTTTTGTAAATACTTGACGAGTATAGCACTGATGATGGCTTTTTAGCCGAAAGCGCTTTGCGATTTATAATTAAAAAAATTTACACGAAATACAAAATCTCTTCATTCTATTGATCAGTTACGTGTATGCAGCTAGTAAAAATCTTCACATTTCAATATTTTGCCTCCAGGGTCGGTCATCGTGCACGCGACCTATACAAAAAACGTCAAAACAGCAGTGTCGAGTATATTTAGGAACTCTACCCCAACCAAACCTAACTCAGCCTTAACGATTGTTCTTCCCTTTTTATGTTTGGGCAACAAATCTGACCTAGCTCGTCCTAAATGAATCTTCTTCTCTTCTTAGGCTTGGGCAGCGAGGACAAGCTGATAGCGGCCGCCAAGCAGGTGGCCAGCTCGACGGCGCAGCTGCTGGTCGCTTGTAAAGTCAAAGCCGAGGGCGACACGGAAGCCACCAGAAGGCTGCACGCCGCCGGCAACGCCGTCATCCGGTCCACGGACAACCTGGTGCGGGCGGCGCAGCGGGCCAAGAGCGAAGAGGAGGACAGATACCTGGTGCTGAACAAGCGGATGGTGGGCGGGATAGCGCAGGAGTTCGACGCGATGTGAGTATTAGAATGGGCTTATATCACAAAAAATTTATTTATTTCATAATTCGATAGAACTCACCCAAACTAGCTCACCACCGCAAACCGTTTCTTGCTGTGAGCTCCCTAAGTTTTATAAAAAAATATTGAAATCCCCGATTTTTCAGACCTCTGAAAACGAGGCGATGATGTGACGTCAAAACCCTAATACTGAAACAAAACTATTCCAGACAGAGATGAATGTCATGATTTCTGACAAAGCACCAAGATTGGTGAATCGGCAAGTTGATTTTTGGGACAAATATAATAATAACAAGAAGAAGATCAATTTTAACCTATATTAACTTTTTGCAGCTCCATGTAAAACGGGTCAACAAAGCAATGTTGCTGCGTTTATGAAATATATTGGACTATTGTGAAATTGTAATGGTGCTAATGGTTTTGAGATTGAGACATTTCGTTGTCTAGAGATTGTTTATATTCCAATGATTCAACCTACAATCGACAACTTGAATATATTTTTCTGTAGTAGTGGTAGTGGATATCAAAAGATATTTCAATATCGATTTCGATCTCTCGGGTATTTTGTTTGGATATGGCAACAGTGATAAGTGTCAGTTTTAACTATGGCGATATGAGGTTTCTACGTCATAAGAGGGTCCGTTTTCAGATGGTACTTTTATTTGTTCAAAAATAAAACATTCCAGTTAATTTATCGATCGAATTATGTCGTCAATCATTATTTATGTATAAAAGGATCATTATAAACATGGTTTGAGTTGAAAGTTCTACTAAGGTGTACACGCCCATTGCCATATTGCTCAAAGTTGAGTTAAATTGATCGAAGGAAGAAATGGAGATGACTTGGAGCATTCCTTTCTTCCTTTGATAAACTTCAGTCAGCAAAGTCTTCAAGTATAAGTATATTCGCGAAAATCACGAACCAATAGAAAGCGCTATTTAACGTCAAATCAACGTCAAATTTCAAACTGAGTATGAACAACAAAAACATTGCCGTATTGGTTATTGGAATTGGGAAGTTTCCTTCGAACGAATTATCATAGAATGGGCCTGTTTCAGTGAAACATTTCATTTCATTATTTCGAGGTACTGACCCTATAGTCTAAGAACTGGGGGCCCTTTCTCGAATGTCGAACGAAATATGTCGTATGCGACATATGTCGATAGAAATTGTCGCACAACGTTTAAGTGTGATATTCTCGATTGCTTTCAACTTCAAACTCGCATGAGACCAATTTTGCCGAATAGCATGAACTGGCAACATCGAATTAACGATTCTCGAATGTGTTCTGTGCCAATGTGGTGTGGTTTCTTTGTTGTTATTATGGGGGTTATGTCAATGTTAAGTTGAAATAATAATGGCCGTGGAAAGAAAAAGAGTTATTGTGCTTCATCTCAAAAGGAAACACTAAACTCGATGAAAGAAAAATAGAATGAGCCACTTTTATCTGGCAAAATACATGCAGAAGACCAATGTCCCTGTACCACAAATGGTTCTACCACTCACTAGCAGTGTAATGGACTCTCACTACTTCATTACCTAAATAGTTTTATATAATTTATGTCCGATAAAAATCTGAACGCATTTTTATATACGTTCTCTCGTGGCCGTTGATGATTTTCTTGATTTTCCAAATGTTCAATTTCTATTAATGAAGCTGCCATTCTCAAGAAAACAAGTGAAGAAATCAGTCAAATATTCAATCTTGCATTCGACATCAAAATGTCGACTGCTTAAGATTAGAGAATGGGGTCCCTGTCTACATGAGTTTCAACGATACTCGGTACAGTCACAATTTTCTTCTGGAATGGTTTCATTTATGGTGTGGAAGGTGCGAGTCTGCCTGGTCGGTCTGGGGGACTTATGTGGGGGCGAGCGGGGAAAGTTACAGAGTTTCGAAGGTAATTCATTAGTACAGTCATGAAATTTCGTGTACATATAGTATGTAACTTTAGAAAGATATTTTGATAATTGGTAGACAGTTTTCCGGGGGCTAGTGTTGGCAGATCGCATCAAAGTGGCGAAAAAAAATCGCGAAAACAACGTGAAATTGGGTGTACGTATTGATCATATATCAACTTGTGTTTATGCTGAATGGCAGACCAAAAAGTGGAGGACAACACCATGGCAGACAGCGAAACTCTGCAACTTTCCCCGACAAATCTTTGAAATTGATGTCATGTAGAGGGTGATTGATGATGTATTTCATGCTTTTAACACTCAATGACTTGAAAACAAAATAAGATATTGAAAACTTCAAAACAAATTCTTGAATCAGACGTTCTTCCCTCTTAAATGATGCCCTCCAAACATTATATCTCCATTCCATATATGAGAGGGTTGTAAATTATAGTTCAATTGACATTTTTTTGACACATCTACATGATTTGCCATAATTCCGGTTTTACCGGAAGTGACCCCAACTTTCGATTTCTAAATGGGACACCCTGAACGATACTATTGTCTTTACTCGGATGAAATAGTAACCACGCCTGGAAAATTCTTCATTTTCTTCCTAACTATACTAAATGATGAATAAGTAAACATAAATCTAAATACATTCATGTTTTTTCTGCAGATCGGACATATGTAGAATAGAACGAGAACTGAAGGAAGCTCAGAACAAACTGAGTGCCATTCGCCAGGCAAAGTACAAGCTGAAGGGCTACAACACTTCAGGAGATGAAACTGACGGATACGTTAGCTCCGTACAAGAATTTGATACTATGAGGTGAGTGTGGAATGTGCTGTTGTTTTGCATTGAACGTGTTTTTTTTTTAAATTTGAAGAGTGATATAAATCTGAGCACTTTAGATCTATGAAAGATGTAGTTAGATATTTTTGTATTGCATGCTGATTTGGATTTTAACATAATTCATTTTTATCATTTCCAGTACTATTTATTGCTCCTAAACAACTTTTTCCTGATTAATAATAGCTGAGGTGTCACTATATTATATATAGAGGTTGTTATAGAGGGTTGGGCATATGTATTGTGTGGAAACACCTAATTCTTGAATGAACCAGAAGTTTTATTTTTTTCAATCAAGACTTTTCTATTATTTTTTTCTGTTTTACACAGTGGCCAAATGTTGATTTTCTGGTAGCTGTCATATTGTAAATATGGCGCAGTCAGCAGTTTTTTCAAATAGATCAATCAGCCTTTATGTGATTATTTTTCGGATAGCTGTTCTTTCAACTTACATTTATATGAAGTTTCACGTGTTTTTGATTGGTGTTAGAGAAATATAAGATAAAATAAAATTGATAAAAATGTCTATATTTGACTTTTATTCCTTGAGTTGTCAGAAAAATAATAAAAAGTGTTCAATAGTAGACCTTCTTCTGCTTGCCAATAACCAAACATATCAACGAATCCAGTGAAGGACGAACCTTATTTTTGAAAAATATCTATTTTTTCCTCAAAACTACTCGAGGAGATTTGTTGATAGGTTAGGTTATTAAAAATCAGCTGAAGGTCTACAGTTTGAACACTTTTTATAGTTTTCAGACAAGTAAACGAGAAAAAATCAAATAACAAACATATTTTATCGATTAATATTTCGTCTTATATTTCTTCTTATATTTCAACAACAAACAATCACAGACACGCCAAACTTTGTATCAATGTGAGAAGAATAGCAAACCGAAAACATATTTACATACCATTTAAAAAAACAGAAGAAATTATCAGAGTCTTGAAAGAAAGAAAAAAAAAACTTCTGGTTTAGTCCGAAATTAGGTGTTTCCACACATATGCCCATGAAAGAATTGGCTCTTTCGAAAAAATACTTCTAAAGGGGACTCGTTTTTATGTAATAATATATACCTACTCTTTCCTCTTTAGGCAACTCTCTGCTTTCTTCCACATGACAAGTCTGAATTTTTTTTTTGATAATCAATATTTGTAAAAGGAATATTGTGACACCCACTGTATCTTTTAATATTATTTCTGTTGATTTGGTGAACTCTTTGAATGTTTCATGTAGTTTCTTCTAAATTAATATATCTTCTAGTAGGTACTATGTATTTGATACTAACTATTTTGATTGTTTGTTGCATGCACAGGGTGAAGGTTATAACTAAAGACACTAATGAAAATTGAAATGGTGAGTACTCAGTTCACATGCTAGTATTTAATTAAATTGACATTTCTTTGAAATATTCAGCTCGCTTTAATTTTTTCTATGATGGAAACTTATTCTATTCAAAATAGATACCCTGCTTATCATTTCATTTACTATTTGTACTTGCTGTAAACATACATTTCAATGAACTCTTTTCTAAGTTCATTTTTCCATGCATCGACTTTAGTAATACCAAAAGAATTACTAAGCATTTTCAAAATGTGTTGCTTTGTAGAAGATCAATCTGTATCTGAAATAAGCAAAACTGAGATTCTGTAATTTCCAGGAGCACCAGGGGATACGATTCGTCGCACTCGCAATCCAGCCCGCAGCAGAAATACTACTCCGACACCTACTCTCACCTAGAGAGCCCTCAGAAAGTCAACTCTTTAGAGCACAACAAGACCAACCTCAGACCGCACACCAACAACTCGATATACGATCACATCGACCACTCGCCCACCTACAACCCCTATTCGCAAAACTCCATTTTCTCCCCCAACGACACCTACTCCCAACCTTACGACAAACACTATTCGGACGGCTACTCCAGCTCCGAATACGTCACCAACACCATCAAAACCCCCGAAGGTTACAAATCCAACGCGTTCAAGTACGAGAACTACCACTCCACTCCCCAACCCACCTACTCTTCCAGTAGCGAGAAGTATTACTCGAGCTTGCCGGCTGTCATATCTCCTTTGGAGAAGAAGAGCTTCGAGACGTTTACTAATGGCGACACCCAATACCAGTCGTCTTTCGCTACGAATGTGGAGTATATCAACGAAGCCCCCGTGTTGAAGGACGAGGAGACGCTGGAGCAGCGGATGCTCAAGAAGTCCGTGACGCAGCAGATCATCGAGAAGAAGACCGTTTCGATGACGAGAAGTAGCAAGCAGGAGTCGTCGACTAAGAGTTTTAGGTTCGAGTGAGTTGTCGCAGTGGTTGTGGAAAATTTTTGGTATAATGGATGGGATGAACTATAGTGAACACAGTGATACTGGTGGACAGGGAAATGATGAGTAACTAGTCCAGGAAATGAGGATAGATGAGAAAAAATTAATTTATGTAAATTTGCCAATAGAAAAATTGATAGTTTTCGACTACAGACAGCAGAAGGATGATCGTTCCATTTGGCGCCATAGGAAAAGATGTTTTTGGGAAAATATTAGTCATACAGAGAGCAGAGAGATGTTCGTTACATTTGGCGCCCGAGCAGGGATCTAACAAAACCAATGAATTGAATTTTTATTTATGCATTCATCTCCAAATACCTTGCTGCAAATATTATATACATCCCAAATTTTGTCTTCTCTGTGCAGTATCTCTTCACTCCTGTCACTTTATCTTGCTGATTGCTCACAATATAAAATATTTCCAGATATATCAATTTCCTTTTTGACGAATCTGTGCAAATTATCATTTTCTTTTCTATGATGATAAGGTGCCCATTTCATTCATTATATAAGTGTTTTCTACTAACTGTTTCATGGTGGGTGTAAATTTCCGGAAGTCTGTGTAGTAGGACTTTTCACTCAGATGAGCCATCTAATCAAACAATGTCTAATCAAAGGTACTAAATTTCTGAACACTAAAGCTGTCTAAAGGATTTAAGATTTTATGACTACACTTCTTATGAACTGAGGATATTTGAGGCCATTTACAAAGTGACTTATAAATACATCATAAAACATTACATTTCTTTGTTGACAACACTAGAAAACATATTTGGGCTGCCTCATAGGCGCAAGTAAAAATTCTTGTCTCACGAATGGGTTCCAATTGAACCTTTTGCCTATGTTATTGATTTCAATGGTTATTTGACGTTAGGATATTGTCATCTTGATAAAAAGCTCTATCGATTATGGAAAATGACATCGATAATTAGGGTTCCGATTATCTATATGTTGTGTTCAATATTTATTTCATTGTATAAAAGTGTATACAAAATTCTTGACCCCAGTGCCATTTTTCGAATTGGTGAATTGTATATTCTTTACTTAATTGAGTGTCCTTACATCTTGAATGGTGCTGTGTTTCTGCTTATTTGAATTACATATATTATTCATTTCAATAACCAAAAATATTTATTTTTAATGTGCCAATAATATTGTATAAGCTTTTTGAAATTTTATAATTTTAGGTTGTACATTGTTAAACTTTTTATCATATTCAAAAGAACTAAGTGCCTGCCGTTTTTTATGTATAAGATTATATATTATATTATGTTGACATGGTAACAAGACTTAGTAGTGCCTAATACTTAATATGCCTTATAAAAAAATTATATACCTACTAGGAATGTTAACTGATTATATAAAGGAGTTCAACAGTGAATTGAATAAAATATCATTTAACATGTTTGTGTTTTAATAGACAAAAATGTTCTAAGAATAAAATTTTTAAAAACTTATTGTTATGTTATAACAAAACGATTCAAACGGGTCCTAGACAGTCCTTTGGGGTAAATAGTAACTCTATATAGGTCCCCTGCACGATGACCGACCCTGCTGGAGGAATAACATTCATATTGAGTTTATCATAGTTCATTGAGGGCCAGAGCTGAATTGAGCCATATTGAGCTCTTTACTTTTCTACCTCAAACGAGGGAGAGAGAGGAAAGTTGTCTCTTCTCCCATCTTTCTCTTCAGTGCTACCAACGTTGTCGCATTGAAATATAGAGATATCCGATAAATCTTTCCTTGTCTAACGTCTACTTTGCGCCACTGAACTATGTTCGAATGATGTGACATGTCCATGTCATAAATGTCATTGACTAATAACCTTTCGAATTTTTTAAATTAAATTTCGAATTATATCATCCTTATGTTGACATCATTTGTTAATATCGTTAAATTTGAGTGAAAAATAGTTCAGTGGCACAAATTAGATGTTTGACAAGGACAGATTTATCGGACCTCTATATTTCAATGCGGCTACGTTGGTATCATTGAAGAGAAAGATGGAAGAGGAGCTAGAGAAGTAGAGAACTTTCCTCTCTCTCGTTGAAGATAGAAAAGACCTCAATAGATTCCTTCCTCACTTTTTTGTAAAACATGGAAACTAGGAAACACAACCATAGTTTTTCACAATATTTTCGCATTATGAGTCATGTTGTTTGACCTATTCATTATTTCAAGCATGCCATCACATTGTGCTGTTGTACAATGCACAAAAAATGCAGGGAGAGATGAAGGAATCCGATTTTTTCAGGTGAATAGTGATCTTACATAGTTTTCATCATTGTCTGCAGAATATGGAGATATTTAGCAGATAATGCTAATGAGAATTGAGAAATGGCAACTTTTCAAATTGAAAACTATATGTGAATGTATCTATAGCACTTTTAGATCACAATAGTCCCATTCCCAATTTACATTGGAATGCTCAGATCAATCTGTATTATTCCATCATTCATTTTGAAAAATATACAACTTGTGGATCCTGAGCAATGGTGTCAGCAAAGAGTTATGAAGAAATTGTCAAAATAATACTAAGTGGAAGCTTTTAGTAGTTTTGTTCGATTCATAAATTCTACATCCACCTATTGAAAGTTTATTTTTTTATAGATTAGTAATTCACCTGGATGAAGACCAAGAGATATACAATTTCAAAGCTGCTTTTAACCTTCTATTTAGTGATCATCAAATGTCTATAAATTCTCAATCACATTCATAAGTTATGTATTCATTTGGAAATGATGATGATGATTGTGAAGTTTGTCTATAAAAGTGAGTTCTTCTATATTCCAGTTTTAAATACCTCCAGGATCTGTGATCTGACAGATCTTGCAGGCAATCAGGCAAAATAGCACTGTTTTTTTCTTCTTGCTACTATGATGGAATATAATATCCAAGCAGAGGATAAAAATTGGTGGGTGAACAATGAACATATCATATAACCATGACAGATTGAGAACTACCAGCTAGTTCTGTGACATGAAGAGACACACCATATATATTCATATTAACCATGTCTATTAGGACAGAATATACCTAGTAAATATGATAATGAAATGCAATATTTCTGATAGTTGATGCATTGTTAATGTCTAGCTGGAGCAATAGTTGCCAGGTAGTTTGTACTGAAATTAATCAATGTTCTATTCTGTCTCAGAGTATTATCACCCTGTAAGTTATCAAACCACCTGCAGACATTCAGATATCTCTCCTTTTCCAGGGTTGCCAGTGATTCCTGAAATGATTTATTTACATGAAATTCTTAGTTACTCAAAAATCTGTGCTCAAAGCTCATAGCTGGAATAGGTACCCATTCAGTACTTACCAGGACAGTGTGTAACTTGTAAAATAAAAAAGCATCAGCTATTGTGAACCTATGTGCAACAAAGTAGGTTCTTGTAGATAGAAATCCATTCAATTCCTGTAAGATAGCAGATTCATATCATTAAACAACTATCATAAAGTGCAACATAAATAATCACTCACACATAAGATGAAGTTGAGATTTGAACCTTGTGTTTTAGACAAATAGAGAAGTCCGTATTCAATCCACTGCTGGATTTCAGCACTTTCGCCCGTATTAGATGGTCCCAAGTTTGATTTTGAATCTTCCAATAATTTAAATATTGTGGAAATCACTCCATTCCCAGGGCTCTAGAACAGCAATCAGTTTGTAAACTATTATGGCATTAATTGTGTATTACCTTTCCGTCTTTTGCATTGGTTTTTAGCTTTACTTTCAAGAATGAAGCAATAGGTTTCAAATGTTGTTCAACAGCTGTAACCATTATAATTTTATTTGAATGATGTGAAATGAAGATGTTATTTTTTGAGATCTTGGGCCTTCGGGGGTGATCCAGGTTTATTTTATCATCTTCTTTTTTTGAAGTTGAATGTGGTCATGTTTTTGGGTATTCGGGCAAACTATCATCATGACATTTGAACTACTCCTATACAGCTATAATGCCAATGACCTTTAACGCTTATATTCTTCCTTAACGCAAGTACCGAGGAAAAAGATGATAATCTTATCTGAGATCTGAGGTTAAGTTAATTTCATTTTCAAAATGTTCGGTTAGGTTCAAGCTTATTTTTTTTAATCATTACTGATATAAATATGTTTATCCTGTTCAACACTGTTCAAAAGCGTATTTTGAAACTGACAGATTCAACTACAAAACTACTAAAGGAATTTCCATGTCATAACCTGAAAGCACAATCACTGGTATCAGTGGTATCCCCTAGGAGGTACTTTGCTGAAGAGAAAAAGAACATAAATGTAGGCACAATTGGACATGTAGATCATGGTAAAACAACTTTAACAGCTGCTATCACAAAGTACTTACAAAAAAAGGGGCTTGCGAAGTATATTTCTTATGATGAAATTGACAAAGCTCCAGAAGAGAAAGCTAGAGGTATCACTATCAATGCTGCACATATTGGCTACAGTACTAAAAAGCGAAGCTATGCTCATACTGACTGTCCAGGGCATGCTGATTACATAAAAAACATGATATCAGGGGTATCACAAATGGATGGAGCAGTATTAGTTGTTGCAGCTACTGATGGACAAATGCCTCAGACCAGAGAACATATTCTGCTAGCTAAACAAGTTGGTGTCACCAAAATCATTGTTTATATCAATAAAGCTGATGCAGTTGATCAAGATGTGAGTAGATAGTAGGTGATTTCTTCACTAAATTATCACTCAGGTCAGTCAAGTTGTAGGTGCTGGACCTAGTTGAGCTGGAAATCCGTGAACTTCTTGAAGACTTTGGATTCAATGGGTCTGACTGTCCAGTCATCATTGGTTCTGCCCTGGAAGCTTTGAATGGAAAAGACACAGATTTTGGTGAAAAATCAATCTCTAAATTGCTGGACACATTAGATACATACCTACCTGAACCAGAAAGAGACCTGAAGTCTCCTTTCATGGTACCAATAGACAATGCTTTTCTGGTGCCTGGTAGAGGAACAGTAGTTGTTGGTACTATTAGCAGAGGTATTGTGAAAAAAAATCAAGAAGCTGAATTGCTAGGGTTTGATAATCAAATCAAGACTACTATATCAGATATACAAGTATTCAAAAAGAGTGTACCAGAGGTAATGTTTGAATTGAATCATCTAGAGGTTGAATTCAGTTGATTTCTCTTTCAGTCAAGTGCTGGTGAGAATATAGGGGCTTTGTTGAGAAATGTTCGCCTGAAGAATGTCAGCAGAGGCATGCTTCTATGTGCCTCTGGCAGTGAAACTCTGAGTAATCAGTTCAAAGCAAGCATTTATTTTTTATCAAGGGCAGAAGGGGGTCGTTCAAAACCAATTACAAGCAGATACTGTCAACAGTTATTCAGCAGAACTTGGAATGTACCATGTAGAATAGATTTAGGTATGTGTATTCCAAATGGGCCTTTCAAAAGTATCATAAAATTTTACCCTTTTTCACTGTAATGTTATGATGGAAAGTTAAAAACTTTATCCTGATGACAAATGAACTATTCAATTATGAAAATGCTATTTCAATACCTGTGAATTCAAAGGCTACTGAGTGGCTCTGCTCTGATGCTGGGAATCACAGCTGTTGCCAGATCTCCATAAAATCCTTGCATTGATTCTATGTACAAGATGGTGCAAGGAATGCAATGATTCAAAATTACTATGTAATTGGTAATTTACTGCTGATCACATTCAAATTACTCTGAACTTCAAAGTATTCCATTAGCTTCAAGATAAGCTAGGATAAAATGTAATACCAGCATTGAAATTTTGGTGACTAAATGTAATAATAATCAAATTGAACAGTGTTACTATATCTGAAGCACTCATTACCAGAAAATTCAATTGCTAATCTGGCAATTATGTCTTCCCATGAAGCAACTGGTGCTAACAAAATGGCTTGTACTAAAATCAATAGTAATAGAACCAAGTAAGCAATTCAATATTGATGGATTCAGAATTTGTTCATTTCCCTATGGTAGGTAGGTAAAGGTAGGTACATAATAGGTGAGTACCTAAATTTGAAAGTACTTCATTGGAAGGGTTTTGAAACTGAATGTCATAAATGTCTGCACTCTGTAATTCAATACAAAATGAAATTTCACTTGCAATTTTGAATAATTCTCCAACAGAAATCAACCAACTAACTAATCATGGAATGCAAATTTTCAATGCCACAAATTTTCATGTAAGTAGTCAGTTGAGTTATCTAATTTTCTATTTGCTAAAATGAAAAAAATCAAGGAATGAATATCTGACTAATCATAGATTTCAGTACCTACATATGATAAATTGATGGAAAAAAATCGTCAAAAAAATTCCAGAGCCATGTATTTCAAGATATATTTTTTCTAGAAATTTCTGGAAAGGCCTATTGTTCATAATCATACATCATGCATTAATATTTATAGGGATTCAATTATGTTGTCTCAAGATCATTTCTGATGACTAATCAGTATATTTTTTATGAATATTTTTGTTTCTAGATAATAATTTAGAAATGCTGATGCCTGGGGATCATGGTTCCATCAAACTAACTCTTCTATGGAAAATGGTGATGACATTAGGACAACAGTTTACAATTCGAGAAAATAATGTAACAGTAGCTACAGGAATTGTGACAGAAACATTGCCAAATATTAATATCAAAACCAATTTGGGAAAACTTGAACTTTGATAGGTTTTATATGAAGTTTTCATAGAATATTCTTCAAGAATAATGTCTTCAGTCTGCTGTAAATTTCTAGAAAAATGAGGAATTGCTGAAGTTTTTACTCTACTTTCAGATTGTGTTAATTTCATATTAGTGGTATTTCTGAACCCGCCTGTGCGCCTGTTTCTCTTGAAAATTTACATTTCCTATGCAAACTATAGGATATCAATAAAGAACATGAAAAGCTTAGTTTTTGTTGACACAAGATGATAAATATGAAGACCTGGATAATATCCATATTTATATGCGTCTTCAGTAATATTAATAAATAAATAATCTAAATAAATATCCACTTTTAAATTTGAAAAAAAATTAATCATCTGAAACTGATGATGTCTTTTCCATTATGTTCAGTCATACTTCTCGTTTTTCTATCTTCCCATGTTTGTAAGTCAATATGTTTACCAGGTGTCACACTCTTGGTGTACCCTAGAGTGAGTATTCTAGTGTTCCCCCCTTCCCTCTTTTGTTTTTCTAGCTATATTTCTGAAATTTGAACATCTAATATGCTCACTGGGTACTTTTATCACATTTTAGATTTCTTTTTTATTTTCTGGTCTTCCTGGAAATGAATTCAACTTTCGATTTTTCCATATGCTCAATGGGTGTGACGGCGCAATATCGAAACTTCTTTCTCTGTCACACTCATTGAGCATATGGAAACTTTTGAAAATCGAAAGTTGATGTATTTTCCAGAAAAACCAGAAAAAGAAAAAAAAATCCTGAAATGTGAGAAAAAGCCCCATTAGTGAGCATATTGGATGTATCAAATTTCAGAAATATAGCTAAAAAAACAAAGGAGAAACGACCCGGCATACATATTGACTTGAATACATAGGAAGAAAGCAAGAGGGAGAGTATCAAAGAACCTAAAAAACAATCTATTACATGTATTATACATGTAAATAAATTCATCATCTATAGTGACGTTTCAAATTCCAGAAATATAGCTAGAAAAACAAGGAAGAAAAGGGGGTATTCTTCTCTTAGTTCAACCTGTTTTCTGTGAGAAAATCAAGGTGGAGAATTTACTGGTTTTGGTCTTTTGATGTTTTTTCCTTCTAAGGTAATATGTGAGTCAATGTGTATATCATTCTTTATCTTGCTTCCATCCTAAGGTATGCAAGTCAATGTATATAGACAGGGTGATTAAAGTTTCAAGGTACAAACTGGAATGGTGTGATAAATCTCATCATTTGAATCACAAAACTTTATATTAATATGGTTCCCATCTCAATCAGTAGTGGGGTCAAAATTGAATTATCTATTTTATCAATTGAGATATCTACCTCTCTTCTGGGTATGGTCAATACTTTCTGGAATAAGATCATCATTTGAAGCCTTTGAAGATTTTCAAAATTTACAGGGTGATACATTTTTGGAGGTAGAGGCTTCTTCATCCCCCAAATTTTTCTTTGTACCACTTTGACATCTTCCAATTACCAAATAGGGTAGATCGTTCACTTTGAAGTCTTTTTTTGCTCCTTACTTCTTTTCTAGAAACAAACTGTATTTCTTTATATATATATATCAATTTTTTTGTGTTCATAAATATATCTGAGAATATTCCTTTTCAATATACTTTCACCCAATCAAGGTGCTCAAACTTGAACGATAGAAACTTGTTATTTTTATAGACCTAATTTTCAGATTTTCAATTTTGAACATTTCTTCTAATGAGAATGATTCAGTTATTTTATATAATTGATTTGTTGGTGTATCATATGGTAAACGATACAGTACTTTCAAAAACCTTTAAATGCTTGATTGATTCTCCAGATATAGTATTAACTACACCAAATTTCAAATTGATATCTCCAAAAGTGAGCAAGATATTTCAATTAAAAGAAAAAAATAACTAAAATTTGACCCTCCGTAGCTCCGCTACTGACCTAGATCGGACTCATGTTTATAAGAACTTTTTAAATCAAAACGGAAAGATCTATCACCCATTTCAGTGTGAACCTCGAAACCTGAATAATCAATCTGTATAGTAATTTTTTTCTCTTCTTCAAACCTATTTTCCGTAAAAACATAAGGTGAAGCATTGATTGTTCTTGATTTTTTGAAAATGTTCCTAACCTCCTATGTTACCTGTCAATGTGTGTACAGTTACTATTTTTGTCTATTTTTTATGAGAAAATCGAGAATTTTTTTTTTTCATTTATGAATCTTTTCAATCATATGTTCTGTAGGTACCTACCTATTGCTACCCTCTAATGGTATGTTATATGCTCAACACTGAATTACTTCCAAATTCTGAATCCCAAACCAGGACCCAAACAGGCATGGCGTTGCCATCAAAATAAATGGGCAGAGTCTATCATATGATTGAGTCATCAGTTAACAAAAATGCTGCTGTAGAAATTCTCATTCAGACATTGTGAAGTTTTTTCCTGGATTTCGGGACGGTCCTTTTTTCAGGCAAGTGTATTATGTACCATTTAATTTTTCATAAATAGTGCCTATAATGCCATGACGAATTTGATAATATAATAAAAAAACTACTTTATCATGGAATTATATAATCTGTATCTATAATTATTATTTAATTTATCATCATTTATAAAGCTCAACTTCCAATATTCATTATTATTTACATTGTTACTGTTTTTCTTCTTATTCTTAAAAATTAATTATATCAATAACTATCAAAACCTAATATGTAGAGACAATGTCCCATATCAATCAATTCATACATAAAATCGCCTTTACTCAATCTTTGAAAGTCACAGTCCTAAGTGAATCTTCTGGTAAGATTTCCATCAATGCTATAGTGCCATCATTGAAACAAAAAGATACGCCTCCATCAACCACCAGACAAGCATCAAAACAATTGGATTTTATTTCGATTTTGGAAGCAAACCCCCTGGATTTGATGCCCTTGGGCTGGGGCCAAACACCAGCAGAAATCAGATCTCTTATAGTGTAACCCATTTTCTGGTCATCTACAATTTGAAACATAAAGATCATATTCTGATTATAGTGCCTATAGTACCATATAGATCCATATACTGTGTATGTACATACTTTTGTGCATAATCTAGATGAAAAAAAAATGACACTCCAACAACGAATGAGATTTGCAAAGACAGGTTACAGAGACAGATGTTGATGAAATTTGGTACAATCAAATTAGAAGTGGAAATAGATGAACAGATGACCCAATGGGCGTGTAGACCTTAGTAGAACTTTCAACTCAAACCATATGTTTATAATGATCCTTTCATACATAAAAAATGATTGACGACATAATCCGATCCAAAAATTAACTGGAATGTTTTATTTTTGGACATAAATGATAGAACCTTCTGAAAACGGACCCTCTTATGACGTAGAAACCTCATCTCGCCATAGTTAAAAGAAAATACCAAACGCCCGACGGAGACTGAGGCAACTGATATATTATTATTAATTCTTTCAACTGTGATCTCGCGCTAATTTACTCTGTCAGAAATCATATTATATCATTCATCTCTGTCTGGAATAGTCTTGTTTCAGTATTGGGGTTTTGACGTCACATCATCGCCTCGCTCCTGTGTTTTCACTGATGTTGATGAAAGATCGGAAGAGGGGTGAAATGAATTCTACAAAATCAGACAACTACCTACCTGATCATGTTCAGATAGAATAAGTACTCTACATATTTTTTTGAGGAAAAACCTCCAGAAAAATAGAATTGAAATTTCATTTTCTGAGCCCCAACTGTTACTCTTATTACAGAAAAATGAATCATTGAATTCATAGCCATAAGTTTTGTTTAGATCAGATCTCAGTGTTCTGCCTTTGGAGATTTTTGTTGCTGGATAATATGCCATAGATGTTTTCATTCTACCACTAATTTGAATATAAAAATGTGTATAAACTCACCTGGAGGAAAAATTAAGCTTTTGTTGTATGTATCAGACAAAACAGTAGCTAGACTATCTTTTCCTTCAGCAGAATTAATGTCAATTAATCTGAGTAACTCTGCAACACTTTGAACAGGCAATCTGTTAATGCTTGAATGCCAGGAAGTAGATCCTGTCCCTGTTGATACACAAATTCCTGAACACTTTATGTTAGTATTCTCCATAGAGCCATTCAGCCTCATTTGTAAATGTGATACTCTTGCTGATAGTTTTTCCCCCACAAACACCTAAAATAAAAAAAATAAGAAATATTTCATTAGAATCAATTTCTCAATCTCAAAGTATGACACTCACCTCATTAAGTGCTAAAACTGGTAAAATATTATATCTTCCATTCTTCCTTATTGCTTTGGACTTAAAAATAGTATTACTATCACTATCAAATTCATGTAAAAAACTTGGAACCAAGTTGTCATCATCACTAACTACCAGAGTTGTTCTTATTCTACTACGCAGCAGCCACTCAAATTTTCCCTAAAAATTAAATTTCCACTTGTAATACCACTAGAGGTCAAATTATTCCCGGAAATTTTTTCAAGCTCATGGATATTTTGAAAATTATTCCGAGTCGGAGACAAGGGACACTTTTCGAAATATTCATGAGCAAGAAAATATGCCCGGAAAGTAATTTATTGACCTCGTGTGGTATTAGGTAAGAAAATTTCACACCAGATTGTGTTTGGAAATTACATAGTTTTAGAATTTATTTGTTCATTTGATTTGCATAAAGGTTCATTAATAAATTTAGTTTGGGACGCAGTTTCTACCTATTATATTTGCATGAAAATACTAGTTCAAAATGTAACATATTATATACTTCCATTTTATATTAACTTTGGGATACAAGTGATAAGAAATTACAATTTGGTCAATTAATTTTTCACAGGTATAGCAGAGATAAGTTAGTGGGTAACTTATCTCTGGGTATAGGAACATTCCGTGGATTTCTGATGAAGGTCAGTATGTCCTTCCACTAGTAATTTGATCTTCGATCTTCCTGTTGAAGCGTATCAGTACCAGAGATTTCGAATTTTTGCCTTCCATAACGCCTCACACTGGCCCAAGTAGTGATATGACATTCTATATAATAGATGCAGTTAGGGCATCGATGGATTCTTAGCCTATTAATTGTTGATTTCTACCCAATTCAAGTGGCACAAAATAACTATTTTAGGACAAAATATTATTCTGTCATTAAAACGTCATAAAAAAATCCGATTTCATACGCTGGTGGGTATACCCATGAGTAAAAAATTTCCACTGAAACACATACGTTGGTAATTTGTCATTGAAACCCTGTTTACATCTCGCATCCAACGACAGTGGCGGCCATTTTCACTGAAACACTTACACCACAGTACCACACTCCTCAGTAACGAATGAGTAACGTTTTTTGGAATTAAATTATTATAATACAATTAATACACACCAGGAATATAAAAACAAGAATACTATGTTGTTATTGTTGTTTCTCAATGACGAATGCCCATGGTGGTTGACACTGTTGACATTTGACAGAACGTTAATAATACCCGCCATATTCGAAATGGCCAATCAGGATTTTGTGTTGGAATTATAGCCAATGAGACTTCACCTTTGCATTACCCAATGAATTGTTGGATCTAAAAACGAGCGCATGCGTCTTGAAAATATATCTAGATGAAAAGGCCTATTTAACTGTATAAAAATCACGGGTGTGGAATTTTCTAGAGAATATCAAAACTAATGGGTATAATTTTGTATTTTCATTTACTTCTTGTAACCGTTCAATTGCTTCTTGGATATTGGTCGAATATCTTTTGGGAAGACACAAATATCCTTCTGAGCGATTTGGATCTGAGTTGAACCCCACAACTAATTTCTTGTTGTCCATGACCATGCTTGCAGCCAACAAAAAGGTACCATCACCTCCTGTTGGTATTATTATGTCTGCTTCATCGACTTTATCACCAGTGCAATTGAATCTGTGGATGAACATTTTTAGTAAGGTATACAGGGTGTCCCTCCGGGGCGGAACTGCATCGATCAATATATAGAAAACCATAGGTGGGCCGAATTTGAAAATTTAGGAGTACACTATTGTTGATAAGTGCTATCCGGCTAAAATATTTTAAAGATTGTGGCACTCCCGGTTGTACCGGAAGTGGACCCCAAATTCGTTATTTCAGAAGGGACACCCTGTATATTATCAAGGTTTTAGATTTTACGCATGATTCTAAACATGTCTCATGTATAATGTCCTATACCCAAGTTTAATCGGTTTCGAAATATTTCAAATTTTAAGTTGAAAACTGCGTTTGCAGACCGAAAAATATATTTTGTTCTGGACATGATCATTAAATTTCGATTGTGTATATTTCAAATACTGTTGAGTGTAGGCATAGATAACCTTATTCAAAGTCAGCTTCATTTTCGATGCCGGATCGAATTAGAATATAAAATTGAGGGGTTTCCATTTGAAAAAATTTGTTCAACCGGATCTGTATCAATTTCTGGTGAACGCCATGTATAACTGTAATCCAATTGATATCGAAACTGAACTGGGTCCTCTCCTACTAAATCGATACACAATTGAAAATTAATGAACATGTCCAGAAATTAAAAAATATATTTTTCGGTCCCATTTAAAATAACGAAGTTAGGGCGGTACACTTCCGGTACAACCGGATGTGCCACAATCTTCAAAATATTTTAGCCGGATAGCACTTATCAACAATAGTGAATTCCCAATTTTCAAATTTGGCCGTTACCACAGATATTTGGCCCACCTATGGTTTTTTATATATTGATCAATGCAGTTCCCGGAGGGACACCCTGTACATGGGTTTATTGATTATTAATAAATAGACTAGCAGCAAAATTCCTCAATACTTTTTTACCTATTTACCACTTTGACATCTATCCCCATACTCATCAAGGTATTTGACACTTTTTCTTCAAATTTCTTATGCAAATTATGGAAATGTAGGAGCTTGACCAAATCTGTGCCTCTGTTTCTAAGTAATTTCTCAAATTCTTGATCGGTGAGTTCCTCATGTTTTTTTCTCTCATATTCATACCTTGATAATTTGGACACCACCAGAGCCTTGCTTATTTCAATTTTTTTGACGTTATTGGAGAAATATTGACCTAAAAATCCTACAAAAGTACAAAATATTCAAATTTTATCAACACATAACACTTCTATGACTTCTCGAATCTAAATGGGTGCGTAGAGCAATGCCCATGCCCAATTCCCACGATGCCCAATTATCTCACCATGCCCACCTTCATGTTGACGATTACGAAAATTATTGCTGAAGAGAACAACGCTGTCCAATTCCCACCATGCCCACCTTCATCATGTTGGGAATCTGAAGAAAGTGGGCATGGTGGGAGTTGGGCATCATAGGGATTGTGCATTGTGGGAATTTATGAGAAGTGGGCATGGTGGGAATCCAAGGAAGGTAGGCATTGTGGAAATTGGGCATCGTGGGAAGGTAGGCATTGTGGAAATTGGGCATCGTGGGATGCTCTCATCTAAATCTGTGATTGACATTTGACACTATTGACATTGACACCTTTTCACGGTTGGTTGGTTTATGCCGATTATGGTTCGACGTTTGACATTTCACACTGACACTTGACTTTTGACAGTAACTAAACAAAACCACAGTAGAGAGCTCTCTACTGTGACAAAACCATACGCTGTTGACTGTCAAAATTATTTAATAATATTGTTTATATTTTGAAATTGAAAGTATTTTTGTTTTCCTGAGTACCTTACCTCTACAAATACGTTTGATCAACGGCTTTGGACTGTACATCGATTGAAAATTGTTTATGCAATTGATAAAAAAGTGGATTTAAAGCTTTCTTCGAAATTGGGTAATTTCGTTTTCTGTAGAGGTTAGACTTGGACCACCATTACACTGCACTTTGTACTCAATACACTTATCACAGTTTTTAAACCACAAATTATTTGTTAACGATTTATACATTCATCCCTTATCAGCTGTATGACCTATTTGAGTAATAATACTATAAATTGTGTTGAATTTACTAGGAAGTAATATCACAGGTCAAGCCTTTTTTCGGCATATTCGAGAAACATAACCAAATATTTTCGCGGGAAAAATGAAATCAGCTTCTCAATAAATATTTATTTTGCATTATGTGGACATTAGAATTACATTTCAACAATACATTTTTATATACATTGGATCTTAAATATGTAAGTATCTGAGGTGCTTCCAAAACGGCACATTGCGGGATGAATGAACACTAGTAAAAATCCAACATTGGGTCGTTTTTTTGGTAGCAACTCAGTGGTGTACATAAAGTAAATAACGAGAAATGGCCCTAGTTTACTTATGTGAGGTGGAAGTTGTGTCTATTGAAAAATTGGAAGCTTGGTAACTATTTTCACATGCCTTTTCAAAGTGCAATATTTACATTTTGGTGAGTTCATACATTGTCTAGTAAGCACTGATGACTGTATACTGTATAAGTGAAAACTGAGAAGCACTTTACTCTTCTAACTACTTCAATTTTGGTAAAATAAATACCTCAAATATGAATTTTTATTCATTTCATTTTGTATATCACTACATGCAAATTCTCATTATCAATATTCATAATTTCATGTATAAGGCTACTTTTCATGCAAGACAGCATTCTGCATTTACAGGAAGGATTTTTAGTATCTTTTAATCAAATGGTTGAACCTTCCTGATATTTTCTTAAAGGGTTATACCTATATATCTCCAAAAAGTGCCATGCAAGGAGTCGATTTTTCAAACAGAAACAGTGGAAGACAATGTTCCTAATAGGTGCAGATGTTAGGAAATATCATTCAAGGTGAAGAAATATTATTATGTACCTACCAAGTTGAACATCATGCCATATATTTACTAAAAATCAGGGGGGTTTGAGAGGAAAATGAAGATAAGACTAACCAGCATAAGGAGATTTTTCAAACCATAAACATACTCAGATATAGGTAACATAATTTTAGTAAAGGAAATAATGTTGTAAAAACTTCACAAACGATAAGCTTTCTACAAAATTCTTAATTACATGACATGTTTTGCTAACACAGTAGCTTTATCAGGTAAAATATTGGTAAAAACTAACTTTGGCTTGCCTAACTTTTATGTATCCTACTTTCCCAACCTGAAGGAATATAATTACCTGTGGATAGGTTCCATAAACCTTCATTTGCGGAAAATAGGCACAATATCTACATTGAAATACAGTGTACCTGTTCACAGGTAATTCTAATCCTTGGAGTTGGGGAAGTAGGATATATAAAAGTTAGGCAAGCCAAGGTTAGTTTACTTCATTGTAAAAGCAAAAAGCCAAACATGTCCTGTGTTTGAGAATTTTGTGGAAATCTTATCGGGAAATGGGAATATAATGTTATCAACTTCATTTTCATTATATGTGCACAAGGGTAGACAATCAGGATTCCATATTCATGAACGCAAGTACCAATAATTTATTTATAAACTTCTTTATTACTGCAATCAAATATGGGAATGCCTCTATGGTAATCAGATGCCTATATGGTTTGAAATTTAAATCACCTATCTAAATAGAAATACATTGTGTGTCACCCTGTATTTTCCATTAAAATCTTTGAAAGCACTGATAATTTCAACGTCATTCAAATTCTTTATTCAGCAGACATTTTAAAATAGTCAATTCAATGAAATATTATGCTGTTACAAAAATGAAGAATGTTGTGGCCTTCATTTAGGTGGTTCAAGATGAAATGTATAATAATTGTTTATTTTATCTGAGTTACTCAATTGTGAATGATTTTCTCATTCTAAATTTTTTAATAGGATGTTGACAACAGTGAACTATTTTGAAATATTATCATAATATGGTCTCCATAATTCCATTTGTAAAATGGATTATATTTAAACACTCATGTATCCTGACTTAGTTTTAGTTTCTGAAATTTTGAATCCAAAAAAGGTGACCTACAAAAAAAAAGATCTCTTCAGAATGAATGGTGAAAAAATATATTGTCACTAAAACCCAGTTTCTTTCTTTAGCAATGATAGAATGTGAAGGTGATCCTTTATTTTTTCAGCACTTATTACTATGAAATAATAATTGATGAGTTATTGGTGTTTAGAAGCATTTTCAAAATGGGTCATTTCTTTGATGGCACTACAATAATATGATATGAAGAGTTCTAAAATTCTAAATATGACAGAAAAGTTGATATGCTACAAGTTTCACTATATTGGCAGAAGATAGAAGAACAATGCTTACATATACAACATACATATTTTCAAAGTTATCTGAATGAAAATTACTATCATACATTTAGGATAATTCAAAAGATTCATAAACAAGACACACTAAGTCCACAAATTTATTATCTGAATTATCAGTGTCTGAACATTTTTTGGACTATCAATAGTCCATCACAGCAGAAGCATACTTGAAATAAACTCTAATTACTTGGATGAACATTTGAACAAGTGTTGATGGTACCCTCCATAAAGCCCTTTGGGCCATGGGCATTTTGCCCTTCATTGAAATGTAAATTCAATTGTATAATATTATTGTTGCCTCCTTTTTTCACTTCCACAAATTTTCTTTTAAAATTATGCTTCTGCTGATGATGGACTATTGATAGTCCGAAACATATTCAGACACTGATAATTCAGATAATAAATTTGTGGAGATGACTTAGTGTGTTTTGCTTTATTCACTCTACTTTGAGATACCATGGACGTTTACCATAGATTAATTTAAAAGATACTGAGATCATTTTAAAATCAACTAGTTTATATGTGAGCATGTGTCAGAGAATATTCCACAAGTGCAAAGATTCGTGCTTTATTGTCTAATCATTTCCAAAATTAAATTCAACTGATTAATCACAAAGAAATTAGTATTTTTTAATTATTTTTTATTGCCGTGTCTTTTTATTTTGATTGATTCGAATTTGAAACATTTTGAATTTCTTGCAAAAGGTTCCTACAGAAGTACTCGAATGGATTTTTCATGATCAAGTATACCTACCTATACCTTACCTATATAGAATCCATTGAAAATCGAACTCGGTAATGAAGTATTTTGAATAGGTAATGAGTATTTTATCAGATATATACATTCCATATCCAGAAAATGTTCACTAAGCAACATAAAAGGCACTTGACCTTGATGTTGAATTTCTTTGTGATCATCAAGGCAAACTATCAATCACAAATATATACCCATAATACTCAGTAGAACTGGGAATTAAATAAAGATCAGTTGAGCAATATGTTCTTTGACTCTTGTGGCAATGCTTAGACGTGTAGCCAATATACAGGGTGTGCGATTTCAACTCAAAACAGTCTCCGAATTTGGAACCCGTCAACCGATTTTCAAAAACGAAAATCCCAGAATATAGAAATCAACGAGCTTTCCTCAAAAATGTGGACAAATCTGATATATTCAGATTTTCAAGGCGCCTACTTTTGTTTGTTGAAAGGGTCGCGTCGTTCGTGTCAACGGCAGTCGCGTGCGGGAAAGAATCACTTTCCGCACTTGTTAGGAAAATTACTATATCACATTAAGTATCAGTTTATCTACTTGCAGTCTTTGGAGAGTGATAGTCTGTCATTCTATTTTTTTGTTCTATTCGACAGCTTTTTATCAATCGAGACGATTTTCAAAGTAACTGTGTGGGAAAGTGTTTGAAAAACAGTTTAAGCACTTGCGTTTTCAAAATGGTGAATCTCAACTTTAAGTTTTATTATTTTTTGGTTGACCTAGAAACATCTTCTCATAGATTAACGACTCCCCCTATCTATGATCTTCCTGTAGAACGTACCATAATGAAACTTCGTATCTAAGTATGCTATGTGTTTCTTCATCGAATTACCACATCATCGGTTACATCACATATTACAGGGTGAACCGAAAAAGCGAGAATTCTGAAATTTGCCATTGAATAACTATATAACACCCTGTATGAGATATTGCGTTCAAATTTTGTGTGGGGGTATTTTAGCTATGCCTAAATCGACTAGGCTAAGCTATTTCGAAAAAAAAATCCTTGTACTCAGTCGTTTTTGAAATTTTGACCCCTGCAACAAATAAAAGTAGGCCTAGAAAACCCTAATATGGAATTTTTATTTTTGAAAATCGGTCAACGGGTTCCAAATTAGGAGGGTGTTGCGGTTTGAAATCGCACACCCTGTATATTACAGTACTACAGAGGCAGCCGAGGCTCTCTTAAATAAATAATATTGTGGTACTTTGGGGGTATATTTGTCCGAAACTTCACTTCACTGCCTACCATACCTAATTTTGCAGACTATTTCACTCATCACATATTCGACCAATCATGACCCAGAAACTAGAGCTTATCGCGAAAACATTAGTTGTCTTTCAATTCTGATTGGTCTATCAGCGTTGAAGTTTTCAACGATGTAACCATGGATAGTGATTAATATTGAAGCAAAGTCTGAATGTAACCATGGATAGCGAAGCAGTCTGCCAATTTGACATAAGTACTGTCAGAATGAATCACTCATTTATAATGAATGCTTTTTATGCTTCGTGAACGTGAAATAGTCTAGCGAAAAACCACTCTGTTCTGAATATCTTCTCATAATTCTGTCTTTTATTGTTAACTAAATTGTGTTGCCGAGCAATACCACAAATCCGTCAGGGCGAATGGTATTTTGCTCTACGGCAACACAAAAGAGTTAACAATGAAAGACAGAATTATCAGAAGATATACAGGGTGTTTCTTAAGTTGGTGTAGAAAATTTAAGAGCATGTTGCTGACGTCAAAATAAGAAGAAAAGTTTGTAAAAATATATGTCCGAAAGTTATTCGTTTCTGAGATACAGAGAGTCAAAGTTGAATTCTTATTTTTGTTTTTTGTCAGTAAATTTCAAAATAATTGTGATATTGGAATAAAATTTGGTTATCTAGCGGGATTTTTCGATGACAATATCAAATTTTATGTTAGTTTGTCTCTTTCGTGGGGATGGCGCCACCTACATGTCTTTTGACATAACGTTTAATAGCAGAAAAATAGATTTCTAGAACACTTTTGTGTGAAAAGTATATTACTGGTAGAGGTCGCTGCTAGCAACTGTTTTCATTCCAATATCACGATTATTTTGAAAATAAACAAAAAACAAAAATAAGAATACAACTTTGACACTCTGTATCTCAGAAATGGATTACTTTCGGACATATGTTTTTACGAACTTTCCTTCGTATTTAGACGTCAGCAACATGCTCCTGAATTTTCTACACGTATTTAAGAAACACCCTGTAGATATGAAAATGTATTCAAAGCAGGCCTGTTTGCAATCAAAGCATCTACTAAACAGGGTACTGGTCACATATCATCACGTATCATTTTTGTTTTCAGCCCAAGAAGCATATCATACTCGTATAAATATCATCAGTCGAAAAAAATGTGATGCGCCTCTACATAACAAGATCCATACCAGGCCTAGGGTTCAAAAACTGTCTACCTCATGCACAGACGTGAAAGGAACAACACTACGGGTAGCAGGTAAACGCTTTCTGTAATTCCGACAATTTTTCGTGCAGTGTTGCACATATCCTCCTCACAAAAGCACATGTGACCCGTTCCGCTACTTTCCATCATGCACACGTGATCTACCATGAAGAGATTGATCTGGAGCTGACTGGTACAGGTTCGTCTCACCACTTCGTATGCTGAAAAAAAAAAAGAGAGAGAGTAACCAAATACCAGAAAATATACAGTCTGTCCAAGATAAGGTTGAACAGCATGGGGATCTCGGAAACAGTAGGAGATAGGAACTAGGAAGTCCTTTAAATGGGGAAAAAGTTGCGCATTCGGAGGCTCATATCAAGAGCCTCCGAAAATTCTCAAAATTATTTCTAGTTTTTGAGTTATATCGAAAAAAGTGAATTTTTGGAATTTCTATTTCATTTTTTTCTCCGTTATTATTAGAGATACAGAAGAACTGAAAATATTTTTTCTGACTGGTACAGGTTCGTCTCACCACTTCGTATGCTGGAAAAAAAAGAGAGAGAGTAACCAAATACCAGAAAATATACAGTCTGTCCAAGATAGGGTTGAACAGCATGGGGATCTCGGAAACAGTAGGAGATACGAAGTCCTTTAAATGGGGAAAAAGTTGCGCATTCGGAGGCTCATATCAAGAGCCTCCGAAAATTCTCAAAATTATTTTTAGTTTTTGAGATATCGAAAAAAGTGAATTCTTTGAATATTTATTTTATTTTTATTCTCCGTTATTATTAGAGATACAGAAGAACTGAAAATACTTTTTCGTAGCAAAAGTACTCACTTTTTTCCCGTGGGAAAAAAAGAATTTATCAAAACTGACATTTTATAACCTGTCAACAGAGATGAAATGACAAACTTTTTTCCCGTTACAGAAAATAATAGATTGTTTTATTAGGATCAAAAGTGACACTATGTTTGATAAGCGAATTTTGCATTTGCGAGGCGGAGCGTTTAGCGAAGGCGAGCGAAAGCAAAACTTGCGAGTCGAACAAAGTCACTTTTGATCCGAATGAAACATGCTATTTTTTCTGCAACCGCAACAATTGACTCAAATAAACGTGTGAAGTAACTACCAATGCCGTGCCATATGTATGCAATGCAACAAATATTGACAAATAATCCATCATGTGGTGAGAATATTCTACCTGCATTAACAGCAGGTTAGGTTTTCAAGGATGTTTGAATTGTAGTTTCAATATAAATACAACCACAGAGTGACATATTTGTGTATGGACCAGGTGCTCTAATGGCAAATACCGCGCCAGTGCCAGCTATATTGGAACAAGACGTGGAAAATGTTAGGTTAGTGAGCATATCAACAATGATAATAGTGATTATTTATTCCTCTCCATACTACACTGTGTTCGACTTGATAATCAAATGGAGCTAAACAATATCGTTGTTTGAGACAAAAAAACTATTGCTTGCCGTGATTATTCAAAAACAAGTTATCCATCCCGAGAATAACAAATGAAATACAGATCAAGCAAGTATTTGAATCTTGAAGGCTTCCATGATCAAAACAAAAATACTTAATTGAGATGTTTATAATTCCAATACTAAACTATAATAAGGTGTATTTATATTTCCAGCATGGGTATGATAGGGGCGGCGAGTTTTGTTTTGTCCAATGGGAGCCAAAATTGAGGGGTCAGGGTAAGACAAAATTATGCGCCGCAGGCGAAAATTTTTCATGGTTCAAGGTCAAATGCCATCAAATTTCAAGATAGATCAAAGCATCATTCATTTTGCATCAAGTGTGAAACACCTCTACCAAAATCTAATATTTTGTGACTAATCGCGTTTCGAGTTTATGGTTGATATTGATATTAATATGAACAAGGATGAGAAATAGAAGAATTTTTTTTTCACCATTGAAAAAAGTGAACATAACTCAAAATTTGAAACGATATTAAAAAATTCAATCTCTACAAAAATAAAATAAGATTTAATAATTCTCATATCTATTCAGTATTCAAAAAATGGAATAGAGAAACTTTGGGATTCGAAAAAATTAGCAAGTAACCCCAGTTAATTTATTGCAAAGGTATTCCTACTGACTGTATTATCAATGGATTCATTAGCCACTTCTATTTTTTTTCAAACTGGCACTTGTAACCTGTGATGTCATAATGTCTAAAATTTAAATCGGAATATCTGCACAGTGCACAGTGTCAAACCCTGGATGCACATGAATCGAAAATACGGTTCGCATGGTTGTTTACCTATACTTGTCCAGCAACAATGTGCAATATTTACAAGTGCTCATTTCGCCCGTATCTAATTTGTTTTTTATACGTCTGTTTCGACCAATGGGTGCATTGCACCCATACCCACTGCCTACATGGGTGCATTGGCCCCGATGCCCCCATGCACTCGCCGCCCCTGGGTATGAAATCGGAAACAAATCAGGTATGCGTCTCAACCCAAATAACCAACCATCACAATGTTGTTTATTCTTGATGACGTCCAGTAGACGTTAGTTCCTAGGAGCTGAAGTTCAACTTTAGCTCGCCTAGGAACTAAAATTCAACTTTAGCTCCTAGGAACTAAATATGTTGCCTAGCAACATAACTATTTTTGTGTCAGTAATAGAAACGTCAATTTAAGAGCTAATTTTGGTATCAAAATGGACGACTTTTGTGTCGGTTGCAGAAAAAATAAATTTTAAGTAACATTTGAGTGGATTTATAGTACGACCCCTGTGTACTAACTTACGTGATTTCGCATTTCGAACCATCTTGACACAGCATCCATTACATGTCATCAATGGGGGTTGGTCTCTTGGTAGGGCGGTATAGTTGAAGGGGTCTTTACACCTCATATCTGACCAGGAGTCACATTCGTAGCAGTATATTTGTCTTGCTGGAACATATTTACGTGGCTTTTCAGTGTGGAGAAGTACAATGTTCGTTCAACTTCGATAATTAAATCATGCTTCAATACAAAATTGTGTGATAGTGGCCATACTGTCAACCTTGTTGAATTTTGTATAGACTTAGCTGTTACTTGTGAAAAATCCATAGTTAATATAGAACATTTCATAAAACAATAAAATTTCCACAATATTCTATCTTACAATGAATAAATCCAACATTGAGTTGTCTAACTTTTATACTAGGCTAGGAAGCAAAGTTCCAATAAACATCAGTTGAAAATTGGCTCCTGAGGGAGCTAGTGCTGTGGCTACGGCTCCTTAAAAGGTGCTTCTGAAGATGATATTTCCGAAACGTCATGATATGAAATGATGCAATTCGGTACAATAACTGAACTTTATATGCCCAATGCAGTGAAAATAAAATCAGTGTATAATACAGAGTGGGACTACATTGAATATTACTCAAACTTTTTTGTATGCGATCTCCTCGGCTTATCAAAATCTACACCTCTTTACAGAAAATTGATGCTCCTGTTCCGTATTGATAAGATTTTATTGTTTTAAAGTAAAATCGATTCGAAAAATACTGCTACATTTCATATATTATTCATAACATTGCAATAAATCCTAGTGTGGCTATCGAAAAAAAATGAGAGTAGGTTCTTCCTCCTTCTTCCTATTTTACGCGCCTCTATGGAATTGTTTGGTGATAAGAATGATGGAAGTAAGATATGGTGCGCGCATTCGGCCATTATTACGTATTGGAAATTTCAGAAAAATCACTCGACCGCCTACTATGATTTCTCTACGTCACAACGAGCGAGACGTTGATTCTACATTTTCCCGCTAGATGATGATGCTTCTATTGCTGCTGAGACGAGTGGAAATGAAATGGCAAATGGCATTTTAGGTACGCGGAACATTTGTTACCATTATGTAACAGTGGGATTATTCAACTCTTAATTCGAAAATTCTGCGACAATTTCAAAACTGATGAAGATCGACGGAACCATTGCTCTCGCTGTTCTCGAGAGGTCGAGTAAAATTTCTGAAACAAAAGCGCATCAGTAATTACACCATATCTTACTTCCATCATTGTGATAAGAAAGTAGTTGATTATGTTATAGTCACTATGATTTGAAAATCGAAACGTCGTTATGCATAATATGTGAGATGTAACAATATTTTTAAATCAATTTTACTCGAAAACGTTACATCTGATCAATAAAGAGAATATTTTTCCGGAAAGAGGTGTTGATTTTCATAATTTGGACACAGAGAATATTAGTGAGGCAAATCAATGTTAGGTTAATTCATTGTAGGTACCAGTATTCCATTTGAGAAAGCCACTGTATTATTAAAAATTTTGTCAAAATCTCATTGTTTTTGAAGTTGTTAACATTAACCCTGTTGAAGACCTTCATATTCAGATTCTACATAATCTCAGAGGAGTTTGAATGCAATTATAGAAAAACTGGCAACTGTATCAATAATGTACCTACCTGTAGAATAATTTTCTTCAATTAGAGAAATATTCGTATGTGTATTTGGGTATATTTCGTATGAACATAAAAAAGTGCAAAAACGTTCCTATGGAACCTAGGCTGCATTTGCTAAAGTCTATAAAAAATAATTAAATTAAGAGTTATATGAAGAAGCGTCTACTTTTTTCATCAGAAACAATTATTATTAACACCAAAATACACATTTATGAAAGGACAGACAACAAAACTTACTTTGGCATTCTGCTTTAGTTACTGAAGTAATAGCTATCAATATTATCACTGAAAAATAAAACCATAAACCATGTTAATTCTTACTTGTGCCATTGATTGAAGGTTTTTCAGATCTTGGTTTTAAGGAATTATTAGAAAAATAAAATGTTCTCTTTGTATTTGGAGAATCAGTATTTCATTCAAAAATACTTATTAAATTTTATAAAAATGCCAGAAGAAGGAGATGAGTGTTTTAAATATATCCTTACTTTGTTCATGTGTAGGCTCTATGAGAAATTGTTTATTAATATGTTTTAGTTTTTGTCTAACCGCTTCTATAAACAATCAGAAAATATCTAATCAAGTATTAGTAATAATTACTTCAAGCAAAAGTATTGTAAAAAATCAAATGTTTCTTTACTCACGAGCACACTCCCATTGAGTAGATCCAAAATTTATAAAACAGACTGGAAAAGTTAACTTTTTTCATTAAAAATATTCACCAAATTGTAAAAAAAAAAACTAATGAATTTCAAAATGGATATTTGGATTCTAAAATGAAATGCAAAAAATAATGATGAAATTTGTCGAATGATTATATAGGTACTCTAAGACAGCCTAAGAAAATGAGGAAACACTTGTGAAAATAATTAAGCTTCCTTTAAGATTTACCTAAGGGAATGAAGATTGTATACATCTTGAAAAGAATCTTCACAATCACAATAATCAGGTACCTATATATTATATTTTCTAGTCTTTCATCACTAACGTATTATATTGTCCATTTTGATTTCTGAATTCTGAGGAGGCTGTTTTAGCCCAAACCGATCTACCTCCGACATTTCTCAAATATTTGCAGAAACTAACTCGATAGGATAGGGGAAGAGGGGGATAGACGTAATGGTATTGATTTAATCCACCCCTCATCCCTACCCTTCACCCAGTGGCGTAACCTTTATCTGAATTAAATTTTTCATAAACCTTCTGACACTGAATCCACTATTCATAATAAATCAACTCACCCTTATTCACTTGGAAAAAGTCTTGTCGGGTGCGCTGCTTTGTGCCCACATTTCGTTACTCCCACTTCGCGTTGTTCCACATTTCGATATGCCCACATTTCGTTAGCCCCATATTTCGATACACCCACAGTCTCGGAACATACCCGAAGGAGGCACTGTTGCCAAATACTATCCTATACAGTGTGTCCCACTTGCCACCATGTGTATCTTTTTAACGGTGAGAGATACGAGGTCGGTTAAATGACACCAAATGTGGAGTTTGTCAAGGCCAACTATAATGTGAAAAAATATTTTGATGAAATCTATTCGTTTTTGTTTTATACGCAAAAAACAGATTTTGATCATTTTCATGTCTCCTCCGTAACTTCTTTATTTATGAAAATATTCAAATAGGAATTTCACATTCTCATGGCAGTTTTTCAATGTGATTTCGAAAAAAATATGAAATTTATACCAACTCTTCTAGAATTTGAGATATCAGCAACAACTTTAGTTTTTCAAATGTAGGTCATGGCTCACTATGACTTAGTTACAAATAACTTTTTTTTCTCTTACGGATGATATGTCGCAGTAATAGTTTTGTGTTGATAACAACGGAGTTATCGTCATTTATACAAAAACAAAAAATTATTTTGGAGCCGCCATCTTGAATTTATGAATTTCAACAAAAAAATCATGATCTCCGACCTCAAAAACCCCCACTTACCAATTTTGAATGGAATCGGACCAAATCTTGTCCGCCATTTTTTTAATTGAGAAAGTTGATTTGCAGAAGGATGAAAAAATTCATGGGGAATACGGGAGCTGCTAATCTTTTCCGCTTATTCAACACTCTTTTTTTGTGCCATAACTGGAAAACTTCGAAATGTTTCGAACAATGAATCTGGAACAGAAAGGACGCATCTTGAACACTGCATTCCAATTGAAAATCGGTTGATTTGCAAAAATGTTATCGCATTTTAAGAAACGTCGAAAATTAGAATGGTCCACTTAATTCATTGAGCCGTATTGAGTTTGTAACTTTGTGAAAATACGAATACATTGAGGATACCTTATAGCATTCGAGTATCTACGCCCATGGTGTTTTCTAGTAGTTTGTTTTTCAAGTTGCATAATATTATGCAGCTACTGTTTTTGCTGAGAAACTATCAAAAAAATGACCTCGCATTTCCAGCATGACAAATTTACCATTGAAATGTTATCAAGGAACATTCGTGCTTGGATTTAAATTTGCAGAAAAAATAGTAGTGACGCGCACGCCCAGTTTCACAAATGTGCTGCAGTATTTTAGTATCTTTGATGAATAGGTACAGAATGATACAAACCAAAATGTTTCAGCAGTTTTATTGACATTCAGTTTGGATAACAGATTTTGAAAAATATTTTTTATTGTTTTAATTTATTTGAACTCATTTTTAGTTCAAATCTTGATACCAAATACAAGAAGTAAATAAGATATTGAGAAATAAACTGAACCCAGTGATTAGATGATTCAAAAACTTCTTGAATGAAGCCTTTTCATTGTACCCTTGAAACTTGATACATTTTAACAATCTTCAAGATATTATCCCCACCTTTTTGATTTTACTCTCCAATTTTTTGCACTTTCGGCCGTCCGAAGATGGCTCGGTGACTATATCGTACTGAAGTCTTAGGTGGGAAAATGAAAATTTTTATTTGGCCTATTAAAAATCTGAAAAAATTCACATGGACTAATTCGATGTTGAAATGAACGAATCTGTGGTGGAAATCGGGAAATTTTGGAAAATGGAGACGTAGTAGCCTACTGGAGTGCTCCTTTTGGCAATAAAAGCGAAAAGCTGACTTTGAGCGCCGATATCTCAAAAACTATTTGTTCTATAGGGCTGATTATTATCTCATTCGTTCCAGCGGGTCATTTTCTTCTGGATAAGCGATAATACGTGATGATTTCTGCCGTTTTCTGGCACTTTCGGCCGTCCAAAGATGGCTCGGTGACTATATCGTACTGAAGTCTTAGGTGGGAAAATGAAAATTTTTATTTGGCCTATTAAAAATCTGAAAAAAACCACATGGACTAATTCGGTGTTGAAATGAACGAATATGTGGTGGAAATCGGGAAATTTTGAAAAATGGAGACGTAGTAGCCTACCGGAGTGCTCCTATTGGCAATAAAAGCGAATAGCTGACTTCGAGCGCCGATATCTCGAACACTATCTGTCCTATGGAGCTGATCATGGTCTCATTCGATTCAGCGGGTCATTTCCTACTGGAAAAGCGATAATTCGTGATGATTTCTGCCGTTTTCTGGCACTTTCGGCCGTCCGAAGATGGCTCGGTGACTATATCGTACTGAAGTCTTAGGTGGGAACTCGGGTGGGAAAATGAAAATTTTCATTTGGCCTATTAAAAATTTGAAAAAATTCACATGGACTAATTCGATGTTGAAATGAACGAATCTGTGGTGGTAATCGGGAAATTTTGGAAAATAGAGACGTAGTAGCCTACTGGAGTGCTCCTATTGGCAATAAAAGCGAAAAGCTGACTTTGAGCGCCGATATCTCAAAAACTATTCATTATATGGGGCTGATTATGGTCTCATTTGTTTCAGCGGGTCATTTTCTTCTGGATAAGCGATAATTCGAGATGATTTCTGCCGTTTTCTGGCACTTTCGGCCGTCCGAAGATGGCTCGGTGACTATATCGTACTGAAGTCTTAGGTGGGAACTCGGGTGGGAAAATGAAAATTTTCATTTGGCCTATTAAAAATTTGAAAAAATTCACATGGACTAATTCGATGTTGAAATGAACGAATCTGTGGTGGTAATCGGGAAATTTTGGAAAATAGAGACGTAGTAGCCTACTGGAGTGCTCCTTTTGGCAATAAAAGCGAAAAGCTGACTTTGAGCGCCGATATCTCAAAAACTATTTGTTCTATAGGGCTGATTATTATCTCATTCGTTCCAGCGGGTCATTTTCTTCTGGAAAAGCGATAATACGTGATGATTTCTGCCGTTTTCTGGCACTTTCGGCCGTCCGAAGATGGCTCGGTGACTATATCGTACTGAAGTCTTAGGTGGGAAAATGAAAATTTTTATTTGGCCTATTAAAAATCTGAAAAAATCCACATGGACTAATTCGATGTTGAAATGAACGAATCTGTGGTGGAAATCGGGAAATTTTGGAAAATGGAGACGTAGTAGCCTACTGGAGTGCTCCTTTTGTCAATAAAAGCGAAAAGCTGACTTTGAGCGCCGATATCTCAAAAACTATTTTTTCTATGGGGCTGATTATGGTCTCATTCGTTTCAGCGGGTCATTTTCTTCTGGAAAAGCGATAATTCGTGATGATTTCTGCCGTTTTCTGGCACTTTCGGCCGTCCGAAGATGGTTCGGTGACTATATCGTACTGAAGTCTTAGGTGGGAAAATGAAAATTTTTATTTGGCCTATTAAAAATCTGAAAAAATTCACATAGACTAATTCGATATCGAAATAAACGAATCTACTACTTAATGTATTATGATGAAGTGAATCCCAAATCGATAATAATTAAATTGAATGTATGTACGCTGGTTTTGGAAAATAGATTTTCAAATTTCATACTACAAATGTTCCTTATCACCGTTATGGGTTATATGGTAGGAATTTTCTATTTTCAAATGAAACATCCCCCGTATCTTATCATGTTTTTGAGATGAAGATGGATATGGTTATGAAATCCAATACCATCACAAAATTGACTTTTTAACCATTAGGAAATTATTTAGATGTTAGTATGTATGGAAGAAATTAATATTTTGAAGGTACCTATACCTGTTTAATCTTTTTTCTTAATAAATGTAAGTCAAAATGATAGGTATGATAGACCATTATTGGGTTTGAAATCAAGTGAAGATTCAGTCTTTATGAAATAAATCATAGGGTGAATTTTGAAAAATAAAATCTAAGGTTTTGAGTATGCAATCAATATAATAGACTTTTTCGCCATTCACACAAATTGCTTCAACTTTTTATCTCTCAAATCAATTAATATATTGCTTGTTGACGAAATTATGGAACATCCTGTTTGTAGGTACAAAATGGGAAGGAAAACGACAAAAACTACTTTCAATGAGCACAATGTTTATTTCTGAATATAAAAAAAATCACTGGATATTCTTACTTCGAACTCAAAATAAAAAATCATCATAAATCATTAGGAATAAGTACGAAAAATAATAACTATAAATTATCAGTAGGGATAGGGTATATGATACGCAAAAAATGCACATATTCTAGCACTCAATTCCTCAACAATGAAAAGAGACTCAGTTTTTTTTATGTTTCAATGACAAAATCAATTCTTCAGATCTCAAAGTTGTCTTCTTGATATTCTCTTTGTCATCTATAGGTTCTTTAGCAAAAAAACTTGTTGATTTTTGCTTTCTGCTCCAAAATGTTTCAAATTTTTTCTTTTATACCATAGTAAATATTGTGATAGTTGATAATATTGATCAATAAATAATTATCCAGGTGTATTTATTATTATAGTCTATGTCAAAAAATCCATTTAATATATTTTTTTGATCAAACAGAAGCCAAAATGTCTGCAAAATTTCATCGAAGCTATGTCTATCAAGACTAAGGAGTCCATTGCATCCTGTATAATTATTGATCAATATAATCAAATGCATCTTCAATATAGTATTTCTGTAAGTCATTACACATACACTGGCCAAACAAAATTGAAGCATCGGCAAAAATTCAAATAGGTTTGAAATTATTTCTTTCCTGAATCCTGAGTTCGATTTTGATGAATTCTTCCATTTGACAACAAAATTTGCGTATCAGTTTATAAGAAAAA